AGACAGACAACAGACAAAAATTCTAAAAACAATAAATTCGGTCTCTGTATCTATAATCATGTCTATTTCTATAAGATTTTCCAAAAAATATTTAATGTACAGATTCGACTTAACTACAATTTTTATATATGTATAGACTAGTGCCTCACCCTCGCTCCGCTTTGGGTTCATCCCTAGGGACGAACTTGTCTAGACAAAAACAAATTTATTCCATGGGAACCGTACATTTTTCCGGAATAAAAAGTAACACTATATAAAATTTCCCATATTCTTTGAAGAAAGTAAACAATCTGTGAACAAGTAGCAATTAAATAGAAAAACACGCTACTATATTTGACTTTGACGTTTTTTTTCGTGGGGTTTGTTTTAGTCCGAAATGTATATGTATATATGATTATGATGATGATGATCTCCTGACCGATTCCGGCCACGGCGGCCAATCTCATTGAAACTAGCCAACTGCGCAGGAGATATTATAGTGCACAAGTGTACGCGCAGGCACAACGTGCACTCTCTATTCCTGTCACTCTCATACTCCGGTGGGACGACACGAGACACGACCGGTGAGAGTTAAGGCGCAGGACCGACGTCTTTACGTGCTCTCTGAGGCACGGTGGTGCAACACCGCCAACTTCCCAACTCCGGGCTGTTACTGAGACTTACTATACAGAAAGACTCAATAACTAAATTTGGCCCGACCCGGGACTCGAACCCAGGACTTCCGGGTGTGCAGCCGTGCATGCTAGCCACTACACCACCGAGGCAGTTATATGTATATATATAGATGACCTGGAGTAACACATAGGCTAGTGTTTAGTATCTAGAGACTAATCCGAGCAAAAGGGCAAATCGCTGGTACTAAACCAGTCTATACTAATATTATAAAGACGTAAAGTTTGTTAGGTTGTGACGTTGTAGGGGGTAATCTTTGGGATGCTGAACCGAATTAGATGAAATTTGGTAAGAAGATAGTTTGAGACCCTGGGAAGGACATAGGATATTTTTTATCCCGGAAATCGTCCTTTCAGGGGGTGGAAATTGGGATGACAGTTTGTATTGGGAAGCAAGCTAGTATAGAAAATAAAACTTAATTAATAAAATATTATATTATTAAACTTTTACAAGCAATTTTGAATCATTTTCATTTCAAGAGAGTGTTGTCAGTCCGTTAGGAAGCTGTCCCATGACAGTTCCGATGAGATGAAAAACTGAATAGATATGTACATTCGATTAAATTGTACAAAAATCAACGATATCTATTAAAAAACAATGAACATCGAGAGTCGTGCTCGTACTATAATTTGACCAATCGAAAACTTTTGTTAGATCTTGCAAATACAAGTTTTGAATTCACTGGCAACACCACGCGACCTTGCTCGTATAATGAGGGCAACTATATGACACTATAATTATAAACTAGCGAATTACCCTTGCTTTGCTCCGGTGCGTCCCTAGGTACGATTTTGTTCACAATTTCATAGGTTTTATTTGTTTTGCGTGGAACCTTAATCTTTTTTCTATAATAAAAGTAGCCTAAGTTACTCTTTATAATATCAGCTATCTGCCAGTGAAAGTCCCGTCAAAATCAGTCCAGCAGTTTCGGAGATTAGCTAGAGCAAACAGGCAGACAGATAAAAATTTAAAAATTGTTTTTTGTACATAAATTACCTTAAAGAATTTCATATGCATTTAGTAAAAAGCTGTTATTTTGACAACACTTCGATTTTATTTATCTGTATAATTGTCTCAATGACAAATTTGTATGTTTGTGTTTATGTATGTTTGTATGTTTGTGCTTATGTATGTTTGTTACGACTTTGACTGGACAGATTTGGATGAAATTTTTTATAGACAGATTGACTAAGACCTGGAATAATACTTTCTTAGATTTACGCAAATATTTGATATTTTAAATAAACTACCTTTATATATAGAAATATTTATCTTAATTACTGTTATCTCGATCCACACAATATGAACTAACTACATACATCTAATGGTCTGTTATGTTTTCTTTTGTTGTTAGATTTTATTATGTTTACTAGCATTGCCCGCGGCTCCGTCCGCGTTCAGATGACTAAAAACCAAATTCTTAGGTTTTACATATTAGTATACTCTTACAATGCGGTTTTTGTATTTTTTCTTAGAAATGAGATATTTTTCCGCGGTAAAAAGTATCCTATATGTTGATCCGGATAACCAGCTATCACCATACCAAATTTCATCAAAATCGCTCGAGTGGTTTTTCTGTGTAGCGGTAACAGACAGACAGACAGACAAAAATTCTAAAAACTATAAGGTCGAACTCTGTATCGATAATAATGACTATTTCAATAAGATTTCCCAAAAATATATAATGTACAGATTCGGCTTAGTTACAATTTTATTATATGTATAGACTACAGAATCCCAAGATGATGGTATCTAGTACCCAGCCACCTTCCCTATGGAAGTTTGGACTTTGGATGTTTTTTTAATTTCAATAGCTTTGAGATAACAAATGCATTATGCCCTTGAGACGTCTAACACCTCAGTATCTCCCGTGACCGTGATTGCTGTAAAGCATTCGAAACGTCGGGAACCAAAAAACAAAATAAATCCGGCAAAAAATAAGAAAAGATACTTGTATTTAAATGACCTGGACTTTACATAGCCATTTATTTTATTAAACTAACAGTTTATCCTGGATTCGTTCTTGATCGATAACTATTAAGTTTGTCATTTCAATACAATCAATAACCCAAATCTGTATAAATATATAATAAATGTGAAAATGTGTTTGTTTGTTTGTTTGTTTGTTTGTTTGTCCTTCTTTCACGTCGAAACGGAGTGACGGATTGGCGTGATTTTTTGTGTGGAGATAGTTGGGGAGCTGGAGAGTGACATAGGCTATTTTTTACAGCGAGATATCATCTAATTCCTACGGGAAATACGTTATAATACAATCCAAAGTTTGTATGAAACTACCCTTTTAGAGATTTTTTTTATTGTAGTTTTAGCGCAAGCGAAGCCGCGGGTTCTGCTAGTAATATTGTAAATGCAAAAGTAACTCTGTCTATTACATTTTCACGCTTAATGCGCTGAAGCAATTTAGATGAAATTTGCTAGAGAGATAGTTTGAGATCCTGGAAAGGACATCGGATAGTTTTTATCCCAGAAATCAACCCTTAAGATGTTTGTATGTGGAATCAATCATTTCTCAAGTAAGGGATATATTTTTTATTTTCTAAAATACTTACCTACCACCTTTTTAGGGTTCCGTACCCTAAGGGTAAAACGGGACCCTATTATTAAGACTTCGCTGTCCATCCGTTCGTCTGTCTGTCCGTCTGTCACCAGGCTATATCTCATGAACCGTGATAGTTAGACAGTTGATATTTTCGCAGATGATGTATATCTGTTGCCGCTATAACAACAAATACTAAAAAATAGAATAAAATAAATATTTAAAGGGGCTCCTATACAACTGACATGATTTTTTTCCCCATTTTTATAGATAATGGTATGGAACCCTTCGTGCGCGAGTCCGAATCGCACTTGGCTTTTTTTATACCTATATATGTATAATAAATACTCTATCTATCCCATACTAATCATTAAAACGTACTTATATCAACATGTTGTAACATGTTGTATAAGAAGTCCCATTTCCTCTTCCTTCTTGTTATCTATCGCTTATTTGTAAGTGATTTCTTAATAAGTAATTTAAGACAAAGTCTATTATCAATAGATTTGGTCTAATCTGTCAAGTGTTGTTCCATCTCGCTCGGAACGTCCCGCTCTAGCACTTAAACAGGCCCTTAGGGTCTGGAAAATGGATTGGGAAAGCTGTCGAGTTGCCTTTATAGATTTATTTTTAGATTAAAATTTATAATACTAGCTACTCACTCTCGCTATACTCCTATGTCCTTTCCAGGGTCTCAAACTATCTTCTTACCAAATTTCATCTAAATCGGTTCAGTAGATTCAGAGATTACCCCCTACAACGTCACAAACTCACAAACTTTACCTCTTTATAATATTAGTATAGATTTGTGTTTTTAATGTTATTTTTGTAATAATATGTACTCTATTAGTTTTACATTTTAAATAAATCTGTCTTCTAACTGAGAGTCCCGTCTCTCTTATGACCATGATTGTTATAAAGCATTTGAAACGTCTAGAATCGAAAATCAAAATAAATCCACGAAAAAAATATCGATGATATAGATTTTTTTTTTGTAATGTTTGGAAAGTAATCTATACATATTATAAAATTGTAACTAAGCCCTATTGGGCTTAAATATTTTTTAGAAAATCTTATTGAAATAGACATTATTATCGATACAGAGGTTGAATCTATAGTTTTTAGAATTTCTGTCTGTCTGTCTGCTGTCTGTCTGTCTGTCTGTCTGTCTGTCAATCTGTCTGCCTGTTACCGCATCACAAAAAAACCACTGAAGGGATTTTGATGAAATTCGGTATGATGATAGCTGGTTACTTAGGATACTTTTTACCGCGGGAAAATATCTCATTTTTGAGGAAAAAATACAAAAACTGCAGTATAAGAGTATACTAATATGTAAAACCTAAGAATATGGTGTTTGGTCATCTGAACGCGGGCGGAGCCGCGAGCAATGCTAGTTCAAACTATATCTTTACAATATAAATTTAATAAAATAGTAACAAATGAAAATCTGTACAAGAAATATAAAAAAAAAACAACTGTTACCCCAAGCAATAGTAATTGAAACTTTTGTCTGTATATCTTTTTGCCTGTGTTTGTCTGTATGCATTTTACGCAATAATAATAAGCGCAAAACTAATAAAAAGAGAGAAAGAGAGAGTAAAAAGTAAAATTTAAAATGTTGATTTAATAAAGTAATATTGAAATTAGAAATAAAAAAATTGTAAAACAAATTCGACTCCGTATCAATTTTAGTTCTTCCCTCTCGTGGTACAGCGCTCGGCACTCCGCTAATCTTTTACGTCACTTTATCTTATATCTATAGCGTGAAGTAATGACCGAGGGTTTGAAGCGTAGGAAGAGTCCTGGGTTCGATTTCAAAGTGAAAATACATGTAACATATTACTCGATTATAACATGTTACTCGATTGTGGTGAAGCCCAAAAGGAGGGTTATGAGTTTGACCTCTTATGGACATACATCCAATCCTATGTTCCCTCGTAATTACTAAACGGCTTAACCGATTTTGATGAATTACGTCGTTAGATTCGTCGTAATACTGCAAGTGTCTTAGGGTATAATAAAATTATAGAAAAAAAAGATAGATTTTATAAGAGTGGAGTGTCAAAATTAAGATTATTCTGACTACCTAGTACTCTGTTCCTACTAAATCTTGTTTCCATCTTTTCAGTTCCATTTTTTCCAAGTTTTTTTCATTTTTGTTATTGTAAAGTTAGTCGATATCCATACTAATATTATAAGCGTGAAAGCGTGTTTGTTTGTTTGTCCTTCTTTCACGTCGAAACAGAGAGACGTATTGCCGTGTTTTTTGTGTGAAAATATTTTGAGGTCTGGAGAGTGACATAGGCTACTTTTTACCGCAGAAGATTCCCACGGGAAAATACGTTATAATACAAACCAAAAAAATGTGATCAGATTTGTGATCAGAATTTCTTGAAATTTGGTATTAATACTCTTCAGTACAAATTAATAAATACGTGTTTAAGCATTTTTCGAAATTCATACTATAAGAGGGTAAAATAGAGGATAAAAGTTTGTATGAAACCTACCTTTTTAGAAATATTTTTGTAGTTTTAGCGCGAGCGAAACCGCGGGTTCTGCTAGTATGTCTATATATAAATAGGCGAAAAAAAATTCAGTACCTATGTCAATAGGTACTTAGCGTTATTAATAACATAAATGATAATGGCTGATTTTCGATCACTCGGAGAACACTAGGTAGCATGTTCGCGTTTTAATATTTGCATCCAATAAGAATCGAACCCACATCAGCCTTCAAGTTGCACCAGAAATATTCATCCAAGTTAATTAATTTTCTTATTTTCTTAGGACTACAATATTTAACGGATTTAAAGCGTAAAAGATAAAGAAAGGGACACTTAAAAGGATTAATGAAATGTACTTAGTGGTCATTGGGATTTGAATAAATTATAATTTAAATTAAAATATAAAACCTTCTTGTAATTTTATTGTTATCTAAGCGACTTTTTTTTTAATAAATGTTGGAAAATGTATTTACGTATACCACCTGTATACATACAGATGGTTATGTGGAACTCACCGGCTAGAAAAACCAGTACTACTCAATAAAACCCAACAGAACCACCCCGGTTTTGATGAGGCGTCACAGGATCACTTACGGAATCAACTACGACGCCCCGACGGCAGGTCTGCTGAAGCAAACCACAACAACCATGGGGTTGCTCCGACAGTCCACTCTGCTATCAGAGGAGTACCAGGAACAACCCGCATGGCACACCGCCCACCAAAGTGGGCCACCTTCCTGTGCGTTTCTTGGCTTGGCATCCGGCTGCTAATGACCCACTCACCCCGACAAGGTGAACGCACGTTAGGGGGTAACTAAGCGACTTTACCCAGCTTCGATTGTATGTTTTTCTGAATACCTAACTTAGACTACGAGTATGTTTTTTTTAACGTTGGGAAATGCATTTACGCACGAGGTGTGGGACTCACCGGCGTAATAAAGCCAGTACTACCCACTAAAACCCAACAAAACCTTCCCCCGTCTTAATGGGGCGTCGCAGGATCGCTTACGCATTCAACTACGACGCTGACGATTTTCATAAGCCGTAGGGACAAAAATCGAATATAAAGTTTATGTAATAACAACTGAGTCCAATCTGTAGGTACATTAAATATTTTTTGGAAAATTTTATTCAATTGGCATTATTATCGATTCAGAGGCCGAATCTATAGTTTTAAAAAATTGTCTATCTGTCTGGGAAAGCAACACGAGAAAGCCACTGGACAAATTTTGATGAAATTTGGTATGATGATAGCTGGTTATCCGGATCAACATATAACCGTTGAAACGTAACTAAGGACGAACCCGAACGGAACGAGGGTGAGTCGCTAGTTTATATATAGATTTTGAAGTCGTTGATGTTGGTATTGGATGCATTAGAAGTAAATAAAAAAATTTACTTGTCCGTCTGTTGAAACTTTTCTATTAGACCTGTATAAGATCAAAAGGTAGTTAAAAAATAAACTTAAATTTCAATACAGCTTTCAGAAGTAAAGCCGTTAGTAATAATTAATGAGCAGAACCATTTTTTTAATTTACAGAATATCATTTGTATATTTTGATGACACGTTTCGCTCAGTTTGTAGTGACCCTACTGATTGCGCCAGCTGTCGCGGGTTCGAGTCCCGTTGGGGGCATTAATTTGTGTGACGAGCACGAATGTTTGTACTCCAGTCATGGGTGTTTATATTTATAATATGTATGTATTTAAAGTTATATATGTGTAGTGTATCAACTATCTGGTATCCACAACACAAGCCTCGTAGCTTACCATGGAACTAGATGGTGCTGTGTGTTAATGTACCAACATATTTATTTATTTGTTGATGAAACATAGAAATTTATATGGAAATAATAAATTTTCATTTATTAACGAAATTTATAAATAAATAAATAATTTAATTACAGAAACGAAGTCAAATCAAACGCTAGTCTCGGACATAAAAGGCGAGGGATTGTACTTAGAGAGAAAGAGATAGATGTAGCCGAATATACGGGAGTGAAAGGAACGGGTAGAGAAATTAAGGACCTCTCGTCGACGGCCTGAAAAAATATGAACGGTACTGAATTTTTGAAATTCAAATTTATTTATTATTTACTTTTGAGTTTTATTTGTATGAAATAAATAAATCCATACTAATATTATAAATGTGAAAGTTTGTTTGTTTGTTTGTTTGTTTGTTTGTCCTTCTTTCACGTCGAAACGGAGTGACAATTGGCGTGATTTTTTATGTAGATGTAGTTAGAGGGTTAGAGAGTGACATAGGCTACTTATACCGCGGGTTATATTTAAATATATATATATATATATATATATATAAACTGCCTCGGTGGTGTACGGCTGCACACCCGGAGGTCCTGGGTTCGAGTCCCGGGTCGGGCCAAGTTTAGTTAGTGAGTCTTTCTGTATAGTAAGTCTCAGTAACAGCCCGGAGTTGGGAAGTTGGCGGTGTTTCACTCCCGTGCCTCGGAGAGCACGTAAAGCCGTCGGTCCTGCGCCTTAACTCTCACCGGTCGTGTCGAGTGGTCGTCCCACCGGAGTATGAGAGTGATAGGAATAGAGAGTGCACGTTGTGTCTGCGCGTACACTTGAGCACTATAATATCTCCTGCGCAGTTGGCTAGTCTCATTGAGATTGGCCGCCGTGGCCGGAATCGGCTAGGAGAACATCATACCGCGGGAGATTATCTTATTCCAACGGGAAAACACGTTGTAATACAATCCTATAAAAAAAATAATCAGAATTTCTTGAAACTTGGTATTAATGCTCTTCAATAAAATAAATACATGTTTTGGCATTTTTCAAAATTTGTCCTATAAGAGGGTCAAATAGGGGATGAAAGTGTAAATTTCTTCTTTTCAATGTGGATCAGTAAATGAAACTAATACACAGTGCAGTAATGTAGTAAATATATAATTTTTAAGAAATAACAAGTTCAAAAAAATAGGGTCGTCTTGGGGCTGTATGTTTATTTGTGTATGTTATAATACTATATCTACGCCAATTGTGATTATTTGAAAAAAAAATGTACTTGGCCAAGCCATAGTTCATGGCCAAGTTCCATATAAATAAAAATAAATCTTAGTCTTAAGCTAAACTAATTACTTTATGGATAAATTTTTTAGTACCAAACCCATATGTTTTATATAATAATTGATAATAATTAATTAATAACTGGCATGCTTTGAAGCCAATAACAAGAGAATTGAATTGAATTATTAATGACACAATTCAAAGTTTTTTTTTAAATCAGCACCGCAACTTCGGATTACTTCTCGGATTTATTTTGATTTTTGGTTCCCGACGTTTCGAATGCTTTACAGCAATCATGGTCACGGGAGAGACTGAGGTGTTAGATGTCTTGAAGGTATAGTTGTTACAGACAGCCTACCCACAATTAACAAAATGAAAATTGCACCAGTTATCTTACAATATTTTTTAACTTTAAACATTTTTATAATTCTTTTTTTTTAATTTGACCGCGATTGCTGTAAAGCATTCGAAACGTCGGTAACCAAAAATCAAAATAAATCCGCGAAATAATCCGAAAAGATAGTTTTATTCAAAATGTCAAATATTCGCGTAAATCTAAGAAAGTATTACTTTTTGCTTTTGACATGACATCATAAAACTTCATGACTTCTAGAAAGATAATACGAAAATAATGTCACATAACACTGTAATGCGTCCATTTATCAGTCCGAACCACTTTAGCTATCAAACTGCTAATTTTAGAGGAAGTACGACTGTAATTTCATATATGTATGCGTATCCAGAAACATTAGTTACCAGATAGCTTGGCCTTTGTTTACTATGAAAGGATATAGCAAAGAGGGGTCAAGGTGTAGATTTGGAAAATCAATAATTAAGAATTAAAGATTTATTAGAATTTAAGTAAGTGTATAATAACAATCCTATCTCATTAATCACATCCCATCCCATATAATAATATAAAAGGCGAAAGTTTGGATAGAAGTTTGTTCTTCAATCACGCCAAAACGGCTGAACGGATCTGGATGTAATTTGGCACAGAGATAGACTATAGTCTGTAATAGCACATAGGTTACTTTTTATTCCTGAAAAATGTACGATTCCCGTGGGATAGGATTTAAAGACATATGTACGGATACCCAAAGATACTTCGCACTCTTATGTGGGTTCAGTAATATTTCAACCTTCTAAAGTTTTATTTCTCATAATTTGATCACAAAATTGTTATGGATATATAATACTCGTAAATAGTCTTCGAGTAAAATTACTGTGACAGACAGATTGACCTGACGGAATTATAATGGTCCCATTTGGTTCCTTTTGTGTTTTGGCTACGGATCCCTAAAAAGGCAATAAACAAACGCCTACGTCAGTCACTTCTTCATATTAAATTTTTACTTATTGATTTAAACATTAATAGATAATAGGTATCGATTAATATAATAAATTATTTTACAAATCGATATTTAGTCCTTTAAAATATCAGCTATACCCATTTCCATCAGCATAACGCACTTTCAGCGGGAACTTATCGAAAACCTGTAGCTTTCATTATATATTTCAAACTAAAACCAACCATTCGCTCTCAGTAATAAAGCACATAATCGCTTACACAATCACATCATAACTACCCTCCATACATCACTTTGAAAAACCAACTCTATTCCCATAACATAAACTTTAAAATCACTTAACAAGTATATTTTTAACAACCTACCCACTAACCAATGCAAATTCAACCGTATCACACAAGGAATAGCGTCTTTATTCGCGTGTTTTTTTCAATTTGAACAGTACAACCGACCAGTTACCAAGACCTACCCCGCCCCCCGGGCTTTTATAGAAATTGTGCTATAAAGGGGCTTAGAACGTTTAAATGGGAGATCAGTGTTATTGGTTTTCTTTACGTGGTCATTTCGCATTGTAGCCTGTGTCAGTCGGTCCTCGGACTTCGGGAAGAGAGGACGCATGTGAGGTAGCTTAGTTAATTTTAATTATTTTTATATGAAGATGGGCGTTTTGGCGATTATTTAGAGTGAGTATTGTTTGAATTCATTGGAAATTTTCTTTGATTTCTTAATAGTATAGTTATACTAATCTATACATATAATAAAATTGTAACTAATCCGAATCTGTACATTAAATATTTTTTGGAAAATCTTATTGAAATAAACATTATTATAGATACAGAGGCTGAATCTATAGTTTTTAGAATTTTTGTCTGTCTGTCTGTTACCGCAGTACAGAAAAACCACTTGAGGTATTTTGATGAAATTTGGTATGATGATAGCCGGTTATCCGGGTCAACATATAGGATACTTCTTACCGCGGGAAAATGTCTAATTTCAGAGGAAAAATACAAAAACTGCAATGTAAGAGTACACTAATATGTAAAACCTAAGAATTTGGTTTTGGTCATCTGAACGCGGGCGGAGCCGCGGGCAATGCTAGTAATATATAAAGCTGAAGAGTTTTTGTTTGTTTGTTACGCTAATCTCAGGAACTAGCAGTCCGTTTTTGATAATACTTTTGGCGTTTTATAGTCTATTAATTGAGGAAAGTAATCTATACCGATAAATAAAAATAACAACTATTTATAAGACAAACACTTTTTTTTTAATTTTTGTCTATTTGACTGTTTATCTGTGTCTGTCAGTTTTTCGGGTAATCTCCCAAACGGCTGGACTGATTTTGTAGGAACTTTCGCTGGCAGATAGCTCAGGTTATAAGGAGTTATTTAGACTAATTTTTTTAGAAAAAGAATTAGGGTTCCGTTAAAAAAATTAAAACGTACCTAGTTACGAACCCGAGCGTAGAGAGAGTAAATCGCTTGTCTTATTTAACACTTATATAAATAAACTACGTGAGAAGAGTCGCAGTATTAATAATAAAAAAAAACTAAATGACATCAGACGACACGTTTGGCTCAGTTTGTAGTAGCCCTGCTTGCTGTGCCAGCGGTTGCGGGTTCGAGTCCCGCTGGGGGCATTCATTTGTGTGATGCGCACGAATGTTTGTAATCCAGTCATGGGTGTTTATATTTATAATATGTATATATTTAAAGTTATATACGTGTAGTGTATCAACTATCTGGTATCCGTAACACAAGCCTCGTAGCTTACCATGGAACTAGATGGTGGTGTGTGTTAATGTCCCAACATATTTATCATTTTATCATATTTGATTTTTTAATTTTTTTAACCCCATATTAATATATTTCTATAATAATTGTCACACGAAAATATGTAACACATATGTATAATAAATAATAGTGCAAATAAAAAAAAATTTCAGCGTCAGTAATTTTAATATTATTTGAAATTGTAATAAATCAGGTTTTTTTCATACATGAAAAACATGGGACCGATTATGATGAGATTTTAATCAGAATATAGAGAAATTAGTGGATGACAAAAAGTATTTATTTAAAAATAAGCAAAAACTAGTCATTTTTTATGCGTATTATTATTAGTCTTAAGCGGGTTCGAATCCCGGGTCTCGCACCTCTGATATTTCCAACATGATTACCACTTGTCTTACGGTGAAGGAAAACATCGTGAGGAAACCTGCAAGTCTGAGAGAACCTAGCAAGTTTTCAAAAGACATGTGAAGTTCACAGATCTGCGCTCGGTCAGCCTGATGGACTATAGTCTGACCTCGTGATGAAAAAATGCCCGTGCCTTGCGTGGGACGTTAAAAAGGCCTGAATAAAATATTTTTTTATAATATAGGTAACTTTTCAAATAAAACTATCTTTTCGGATTCTTTCGCGAATTTATTTTGATTTTTAACCGGCTTTAAAAAAGTTTCGAAGGTTCTCAATTCGTCGGTATCTTTTTTTTATGTATGTTTACCGATCACTCGAAGACGTCTGAACCGAATCGGTTTTTTTTTATTTCAAAGTATACTTCCCAGGTGATCCCATATAAATTTTATCGAAATCGTTCGAGCGGTTTTTAAAAGAATCAACAATAAATATTTTTTTTAAATAAACTGTTTAATCGAAAATGTTATTAAAAAACTTTCTTCTTACAAATTACCTGCTTATTACGTCTACACTAAAAATGGTAAAATAAGTGAGTCGGTGCAAAGCAAATCTAATATATTTCGATACGTAAAATGCATATTTACCTATTAGATACTCATATCTTAAAATATTGTATCTATTCTAAATGAAAACCTCCGTATAGTTATTTTTTACATTTTAGTGCCTGGAAGTCGGTTTTTTAAAAAAAAAGTTTTATGGTTCTAAATTTATCCAAATATATAAAAAAAAAATCCAAATAAATTCCCGAAAAAACTCGAAAATATAGTTTTATTTACAAATATTGGCGTAAATCTAAGAAAGTATAAATTTTTCAAATTAACTAAAAATAATAAATTTCAAGGAAATCTTTTCTTTTTAAAGCTAGATATTTGTTACAACTCTCGCGTTGCTTCAAAGGGTTTAACCAATCATTGCTACTATTTGTACGTAATGAAAAACCTTTGAGATCAACAAGTGTTTGTACTCTAATATCTTTTGAACGTCGTAGTTTAGGATTTGTCTATTCGTTTTAAACCGACTTTAAAAAGGAGGAGGTTCTCAATTCAGATGTTTTTATGTTTTTTTTATGTAGGTATGTTCGGGTATAACTCCGTAATATATAGACGGATTTGGAAAATTACTTTTTTGTTCGAAAAAGGTTTATTCCGAAATGTTGCCATTTAAATTCGATAAAAATCTACTCCCAAGTGTAGAAAATAGGGATGATTGATTTTTCATCTACTGAAATTTTTAAATACTCTCTTTCTACTAAACACCGACTTCAAAAAAACCCACTAAAAAGAAAAAAATAACTGATTGGTAGTTTTCATTTACTATATAATATATATAGATACCTGATCAAATTTTTGAAGTCGGTGCCACCCGATACAAATCAAAGTTCACCGACTTCAAAAATATCTGATCAAAAGTCGGTTTCAATTTTTTTTTTAAGTTTTTTGGACGAATGAATTAATGGAATGAACCCGCTTCACTCAGTTTCCAAAGCAAGCGTTTAACCACTGGGCTATCAATGCCTTGAAAACCCACTGTATTCATTATAGAATCATGAAAATTAGTTTAATATCTATTATATTTGACGACACGTTTGGCTCAGTTTGTAGTGACCCTACTTGCTGTGCCAGCGGTAGCGGGATCGATTCCCGCTGGGGGCATTAATTTGTGTGATGAGCACGAATGTTTGTATTCCAATCATGGGTGTTTATATTTATATTTGTAATATGTAGTGTATCAACTATCTGGTATCCATAACGCAAGCCTCGTAGCTTACCATGGAACTAGATGGTGCTGTGTGTTAATGTCCCAACATATTTATTTATACCTAAAAACTGGAGAAATCATTACGTTATCTCCTTCAACTAACATGAGAGGGTCAGTTTGTTCCAACAAATTACAATTTTAGCACCGTCTTATACAAATATTTTTAGGTAAAGTTCTGAAACTGTGAGACCACTCGACCTCATTCTAAGATATGAAATTTGAAATTACGTAAATGTTTAATAGTTGACGAGCTATTTCATTATGCTTTTATTAGAGTTGAAGTCACTTTAAATACGAACGTGCTTGTGTTTTCGAAAGACTTACATATAAAATACATCCCGCACTTGGCCAGCGTGGTGGACTATGGCCTGATCCCCCTCGTATTGAAGGGAGGCCCGTGCCCAGCGGTAGGACGTCAAAAAGGGCTAAATACGATCTGCCCTTATCTTGAGTTTTGGACAGACATACATATAAAGTCCGTTCCGCACTTGGCCAGCGTATTGGACTATAGCTTGATCCCTCCCGTACTGAAGGCTGGCCCACGCCCAGCAGTGGGATGTCAAAAAGGGCTAAATACGATCTGCCCTTATCTTGAGTTTTGGACAGACATACATATAAAGTCCCTTCCGCACTTGGCCAGCGTGATGTACTATGTCCTGATCCCCCTCGTACTGAAGGGAGGCCCACCCCCAGCAGTGGGACGTTAAAAAGGGCTGAATACAATCCGCCCATAGCTTCATATGTCAATCGATTTCTTCGTAGCTATTACGAAAGCTCGTAGCGCTACGCTCGTAGAGCTGGCTTTATTGGAGATCATAAAGTTGTAAAATTTGTTTATAAAACTTGTTCATGGCTCTAGTTTTGTCTGCTTTTATTTAATAAAAAATATTTTTAACTAACCAATTAAAAAGAAAGAGGTATTTTGGTTGTGATTTGCGGTGTATCGTCGTCTCAGTGCTTATTTGTCCAAAGACCAACTTACAGACAGAGTTTTTAATACACAATTATTGACTTTATAATGTCAACTCTATTGGTAAAAACACTTTACTTTAAAAAAAGCTGCATAGATGTTTATTTATTTATATCTTGTCAAGGTAACATTCGGTTCAAGTCGGTGTGCTTTGCTTTGTATGGGCTGGCACCGATTTCGAAAATATTTGATTAGGTATGTATAGTAAATGAAAACTACCAATCAGTTATTTTTTAATTTTTAGTGCTTTTGTTTGTAGTCGGTTTTTATTTTTGTCTGTCTGTATGTCTAGGATCGAGAAAACCACTGGACAGATTTTGATGAAATTTGGTATGTTGATAGCTGATTATCGTGTAAACATATAGGATAGTAGTTTTTACAAAAAGTTGTTTTTTTTTATTGCGGAAAACATCTCATTTTTGAGAATTCTATACTAATACTTTCTTAGATTTACGCGAATATTTGACATATTCCCCAAAGGAAACCAAAAATCTAAATAAATCCGCGAAAAAATCTGAATAGATAGTTTTTTTTTAAATTCTATACTAAACGTCAAAACATAACTAGGGACGAACCCGTGCGGAGCGAGCGTGAGTCGCTAGTATGTATATAAATCTTAGAAATAAGGCTTTGTTTTTAAAATAGATATATATAGAATAATATACAACAAGTATTTCTGATTTGAACAAATAAAGTAGTCCTTAGACGACGGTATGTATATATGTGTACGAGCATGTTACGCGATATCTATGGTAATTGTGAAATTGAAAATTGCTTTTCGTGTATGTAAAAGTAAAAAATCCACTCTAAAAGGCGGAAGGCGAATTTTTTTTAATTTTTTTAACTAATAAAAAAAAATTTTTTTTTGGAAGTTTGACCACCAAAGCAAAGTTCACACATTTCAGTTTGGCAACAACGTATGAAAAAAAATCTTATAGTGTATGAGATTGAAAACAAAAGAATGTCATAAAGCCGATGAATTTTCTCGTTGACTGATAAAATGAGCCGGATTCGAACCCGGAATTACAGGCGTAATTATTTATACCATTATAAATTTTATAGACGACCATTTCATAAAGAATTCTACAAAATGGCGAAAGGTTCAAAAGATGGAATGAAATCATTTAAGCAATTCTTTTGTGAAATTCGTAGCGCTATCTAATGGTTTTTTACATTTTTAAATGTTAAATCCAAGTACCGCCAAGTATTTTTTTTATTTCATGTTGGTACCTATAATTATCGAACTCTGAAAAAGGATGTTTATTTAATACTAGCGACTGCGTTTTTATCAATTAGTATAGATTTCTCAGAGAAGAGATATATTTGGTATGATGACAGCTGGTTATCCGGATCAACATATAGGATATATAGCATATATGTTGATCCGGATAACCAGTTATCATCATACCAAATTTCATCAAAATTTGTCCAGTGGTTTTCTCGTGATGTATTCCAGAGACAGACAGACAAAAAATCTGTAAACTACAGATTCGGCTTCTGTATCGATAATAATGATTTCAATAAGATTTTCCAAAAAATATTTAATGTACAGATTCGGCTTAGTTACAATTTTATTATATGTATAGATATAAGGATTAAGGATCATATTTCATTAACATTCCTTTGCAGATTATCAAAATGGGTGCAGCATCAGACGGGTTTGGAGGATGGCGCGCGCGCATCGCCGCGTGTCGCGAGTCCCGAAAGCTTGTGCTTATTATTGTGGCCATTGCTTTACTGCTGGACAACATGCTCCTGACCACAGTTGGTAAGCAGACTTCAGGATCTTCAGATCTTAGAAACTATACTATATATATATATACATGGCATTTTGAGTTTTTTTAAGGTATTTTATTTTTGAAACTTCCTCCCCTAAATGGGTTAATAAGGGATGAAATTTTGTATTATTTCTTAAATGTAAGTTACTAGAAAGTCGCTTAAACTATTTATAGCTTAATATATAAAAATATGTTTGCGTTTGTTTGTAATTATAAATTAAAAATTAAAAAAAATCCATACGCAAATTAATTGTCATTTAACGATTACACTGGCACGCGTGAAGCACTTAATCGAGTAATCATACGCCAAAATGCCTTACATCATTTTGGAAAAGAGCTGATACTCTTACACTGCTGGACCGATATTAACCAAACATAGCTAAAAACCACCGCAAGGAAACTGGCTTTCGAATGAAAAAAACCGCATCGAAATCGGTCCATCCCTTTGAGAGCTACCATGCCACAGACAAACACACAGACATCGACATCAAACTGATAAAACCCCTCTTTTTGCGTCGGGGGTTAAAACAGCCGTCTCACACTTGATCGATTTCAGAATATTCCAGTATCTAAAAGCTCAAGCTTAAAAGCTTTATAGCTTTAAAAAAAACATGAAAAACCACGTCGGAAAGCCAGTTAAAATAAAGAAAAGCAGTTTGTGTAAGTAAATGAATATTACATATCCTTAAATAATGTATGAAGCAGTCCATTCTCTAACGTCTTCAGATAAAATGTTAGGTGAAGAATAAATTTATCTCAACGTGTGTTCTGATATATAAGCAAGTTTCTTTTTACGGTTTTACTTTGGTTTTTGATTCGATTAGTCACTATACTCTTCGGATGCAGGATGGGTTCGATTCCTGAGTCTTGAACTTCGAGTAGAAACTTCTCAGAAAGCAAATTGGTGTAAATACTGCCATTTAAAGAATATTTTTTACAACTTTAGTAGTGGTTGCCCAGTGGTAACGCGCTTGTTTGTGAAACCGAGTGAAGCGGGTTCTAAACCCGGGTTCGCACTTTTGATATTCTCTTATGCGAATCATTTTCAATATATTTTCGAAAGATATATGAAGTCCGCCACGCACTTGGCCTGCGTGGTGGGCGGTGGCCATGGCCACATAGCCAGTGTGGCTATAGGTTGATCCCCCTCATATTGAAAGGAGATCTCCAGTAGTGGAAAGTTAAAATGAGCTACATACTGGATTGGAATAGTTTTCTTTTTTAATTTATATATCTACTCATATCTTTTTAAAAATAATATGACTACGGCTTCACAAAATACCACGTTTAAATAAAATTTCAAAACAAGCTTCAAACATTCCTTATAAAAAGTTATAAGTAAAATTCTTCTTCGAAGCAAAACAAAAATTCTAAAAAAATCTTGTTATTGAAGATTTCTCTTTGAATTATTTTATTACTCTACAAGAATCCATACTTAATATTATAAATGTGAAAGTGTGTTTGTTTGTTTGTTTGTCCTTCTTTCACGTCGAAACAGAGTGACGGATTGGCGTGATTTTATGTGTGAAAATAGTTGGAGGGTTGGAGAGAGACATTGGCTACTTTATACCGCGGGAGGTTATCTCATTCCCACGGGAAAACACGTTATAATACAATCCAAAAAAATATTTGCGATCAGAATTACTTGAAGCTTGGTATTAATGCTCTTCAATACAATCAAATAAATACGTGTTTTAATATTTTTAGAAATTCATCCCATAGGGGGTTAAAATAGGGGTTAAAAGTTTTGTATGAAACTTACCTTTTTATATATTTTTTTGTAGTTTTAGCGCGAGCGAAGCCGCGGGTTTAGCTAGTATCTTTTTTTTGCTTAGTACCTATTGACGAGCTGTTAATGATTATTACGGTCGAATTTATGTGTAGTGTATCAACTATCTTGTATCCATAACACAAGCCTCGTAGCTTACCATGGAACTAGATGGTGCTGTGTGTTAATGTACCGACATATTTATTATTATTATTATTTATTTCAATTAAGTAAAACTGAAATAGTTTTTGTAATAAATAATACTAAAAGTTTTTTTTTTTTGATTTAGAGATTTTGAATTTTTAGTTCTCGCCGTTCGCAATTTTGATTTTGTTACATGCGCACTAAAATTTGACCAAGGTTTTGAGGTGTTTTCCCTTTGACTACCCATAGCTCGTATCAATAGGTCAGGCCGTTACACGTTTAAGTCCATATCATAAAATATACTGAACCGATTTTAAAGATTTTTTTATTATTCCCTAAGTTGAAATAAATGTAAGTAAATAAAAAAAGAATGATCACGATCCTAATACTAGTTTCGGAGAAATGCGTGGACAAACATACATACATACATACATCTATTTGTTTTTTTATCATTATCATCATTTGATTATCATATGTGAATCTATCTTGCAGTTTCAATAATATTACATAAATTGATAACCTCCTTTTTTGAAGTCGGTTAAAAATGAATAGATAGGTATTATCTCCAATTAAAGTTTTTTAGATATTCAATGAACAATCTGACGCACTTACAATTTTATTATATGTATACATTTCTATATTAAGTGAAAATATAAATTATACATAATAGCTTGTTATATCTAAAATTGAAAGCTAATTTAGCGTCACCACTTTTAGAACTTCGAATTTCATAGAGATCAAAGGAGAACTCAGTTAAATGCTCTAGCACAATAAGGATGTCCTCGAGTCGATGTCGATAATCTTTAAATATATAGTCAATGGATATATTACCATAACTAGAAACTATAAATGTGAAAGTTTAGATGTTTGGATGTTTGTTACTCAATCACGCCAGAACGGCTAAACGGATCTGGATGAAAGACAGAGATAGATTATAGTCTGGAATAGCACATAGGCTACTTTTTATCCCGGAAAATGTACGGTTCCTGTTGGATAGATTTGTTTTGGTAGTTGTTTTTGTTTCAAATATATATCTTACTTACTTTTGACTAAATTTAATGTATATGAGTCTCATGAAGAATAAAAAAAATAATTGAAGAGATCAAATGAGTTCGAAGAGATCCACTTCCTGACTCCATCATCAGATTTCATATTCACAAAGTTATATTTTCAAATATTTACACTCTGTTAAAATAACTAGTTTTCGGCTAATGATCGAAATTCTACCATAATCATTAATACTGTACTGCTTTATCTTTATCTATCCATATAAAAAAAACCTGTTTCCAAAAATATTTTTATTGATAACACTAAAGCTTGTCCATTACCTACTAAACAAAAAAAAAAATCGATGTAAAAATATTATATATTTTCTTTTCTTCTAGTGAATAGGCACAATTTTACGTATACTTTATCACTTAGCATAGTATTACGTATGACTTTATTTAATAGGTAAATTTTCATTTTTTACATTATTTTGAAAGTGAACGAATGTATTTTTGTTTCTTCTACACTTCAGAACGCATATATACTGAATAACCCACAATATAAAATTAGTAACAAAATAAGTATACCTTTGAGACGTCTAAAACCTTAGTCTCTCCCGTGACCGTGATCGCTGTAAAGCATTTGAAACGTCGGGAACCAAACATCAAAAAAAAACCGAAAAGTTATTTTATTTATTTATTTTAAATGTTTAACTAAAATTATGTCGATAAATAATAAACGATGAAATTTCTCATCACTAGAGCGAATCCTATTACCTCGAGTTTTCGCCCTCACTAACCACGTTTCGGGAGCGACTGCGATATAATTTAATCTTTAGCTTCGAGCGATATTTGGAACTAAGTTTAATATAAACATTTATTGCCATAAATAACACCCAGTGGCCAGTGGTTTAGTGGTAATATGTTAGCTTTTAGCAAAAGGAGTATACTTATACTATTCCAGGTCCGACAAACGTAATGTTAATTTTTTTGTAACCGACTTCCAAAAAGGAGGAATTCGTCAGAATCTTTTTTTTATGTATGTTCACCGATTACTCGAAGACGCCCGAACCGATTTGGTTTTTTTTTTGTTTCTAAGGGTATACTTCCCAGGTGGTCCCATATAAATTTTATCGAAATCGGTCGAGCGGTTTTTAAAAAAATCAACAATAAATTATTTATTTAAATAAATTGTTTAATCGAATATGTTATTAAAAAAAATTCTTCTCATAAATTACCTGCTTATTATGTCTACACCAAAAATGGAAACACAAAAACTTAAAAAAAAATTTAAACCGACTTCCAGGCACTAAAATATAAAAAATTACTAAACGGAGGTTTTAATTTAGAATAAAGAAGTCGGTGCCAGCCTACAATATTTTAAGATATGAATATCTAATAGGTAAATATGTATGTTACGTATCGAAATATATTAGATTTGATTTGCATCGGCTGGCACCGACTTCGAAAATATCTGATTAAGGTACGAGTATCTATTCTAAATGAAAACCTCCGTTTAGTTATTTTTTACATTTTAGTGCCTGGAAGTCGGTTTTTTTTAAGTTTTTATACGTATCGAAATATATTACGAAAAAATGCTGCTATTACGAAAGCTTGTATGTATATTTGTTGCTCCTTAATCCGAAATGGCTGGACGAATTTGCATTAAATTTAGGATAAGATAGATGATTATTAGTAAAAGACAATATTCTATAAGGCATCTTACGACGCAACCTAGTGAAGCGAGTATAAATCGATAGTTAAATTATAATATTTTTGTTCTATCGACAAACAGTTTACATCACTAGCATGCAATACGTGCACTACAAATTGCTTTACCGAGTTGACTTTAGTAGCATTATGACAGCGAGCGCGTGGAAATTGAATCTGTCGTCAAGATCTTATGATATTTCTATTTATACTATGTACTAACATTGCCCACGTCTCCGTCCACGTTCACATGACTAAAAACCAAATTCTTAGATTTTACATATTAGTACACTCTTACATTGCAGTTTTTGTATTTTTTTTCAGAAATGAGATATTTTCCCGCGGTAAAAAGTATCCTATATGTTGACCCGGATATCCAGCTACCATCATACCAAATTTTATCAAAATCCCTCCAGTGATTTTTCTGTGATGCGGTAACAGACAGACAGACAAAAATTTTAAAAACATTAATTAATCGGACCCCTGTATCGATAATAATGAATATTTGATATTTTATATACAGATTCGGCTGGTTAGAATTTTATTATATATATATATAAAGGCTACAGAAGCCAGTACTACCCACTAAAACCCAACAGAACCTCCCTCGTCTTAAGACGGCGTCGCAGATTCGCTTAAGCACTCAACCTAGATGCCTCACCCTTTAGCCTGGTTTAGACGTTCCACTCTGGGCTTCAACTATATTATATATCAGATCCACCACGCTAACAAATCTGTTATGGCAAACTACACACGTTTTTGGAAAACTAGTTAGGTTCTCTCAGACATGCTGGTTTCCTCACGATGTTGTCCTTCACCGTAAGACAAGTAGTCATCATGGAAATGATTCGCCTTAACAGAACCCAGAGCTGTCCGGGGTTTGAACCCACTTACCACTGCAAGTAATTTAGGACTGATGTTAATACGTGCTATATGGTAACGTGAAACTTAGCTAGAATGTTTGAATATTCAAATAGTAAAATAAAATTTTCTTCATTCAGTCGTCACCAATGCTCGTAGCACAGCCATTTTAAAAGAAAAATATATTTGAAAAAGTTACAAGAATTTCTTCTGTTGAATTCCAACAATTTCCAGTTAAATATTTTTTCTTAAGTAAAGCTCTTTACACCTTTGTTTGTTTCTCTTGGTTCTTTACATTTCTTTACTTTTATTTTCACTACAACATTCAATAGTGATTCTTATACTCGAACAAACATAATAACATTAAAATTATATTTTATATCGACATAACTTTTTTATTTATAAACCGATTGAAATAAAACAAATACTAAATTTTAAATGAAACTTACCACAATACACTAGTGAAAACCGCACCTAAATCGGTTAAGCCGTTTCTGAGATTAGCGCGCACAAAAGCACAGACAAACAGACAAAAAATTTTAAAATCATTGTTTTTAGTTCTATTCCGTTAATAAAGACCCCCAATTTTTGTTTTTTCTCAAATATTTTCTATGTACAGCCAGAAATCAGTCACAATTTTATTATATGTATAGATAGTAGTGGGTTTGTTGCTCCTTCACCCAGAAACAACTGGACGGATTTATATGAAAGTTACAAAGAAAATACAAATAAAATAAAAAATATTTTATACCATTATTTTATATAAACGTATCGTATAGATTTCAGAGATCTGATATTTTCCTGCAGTAAAAAGTATTCTGTATGTTGACCCGGTAACCAGCTATCATCATACCAAATTTCATCAAAATGTGTCCAGCGGTTTTCTCGTGATGCGGTCACAGACAGACAAAAATTCTAAAAACTATAGACTCGGCCTCTGTATCGATTATAATGACTATTTCTATAAGATTTTCCAAAAAATATTTAATGTACAGATTCGATTCAGTTAAAATTTTATATGTATGTTTAGATTAGAAACAAATTAAAGTAGAAATAGTACAATAGGCGGCCTTATCGCTAGAGAGTGATCTCTTCCAGGTATAGAGAGAAAGAAAGAGGTGCAAACGATCTTAAGGAGATATTACTATTTGTCTATCGATTTTCTTTTATATTTTGTAGCTATTGATGAGAGTATAGAGAGATAGTCAGAGTAGCGAGAGATAGAGAAAGCAGAGAGAGATATAGATAAAATGAAATAAAATGGCTCTATTAATCTCTTACTCGGAGATTGTCGAAATGTCTGTGACATACAGACAGACAGACATGACGAAATTATAAGGTATATTCCTGTTTAGTATTTTTTATATGGCATCATCTTAGGTCGGGTTTGAAATGACAGTTGTCAATGGCATTCGGTATTCTTCGGTCGGTGGACGAGAGCTTCCCTTTTGAATTGTGTCGGTTACAAAGAAAATCAAAGTATTTCGGTCGGATTGATTAATAGGCTTATATATTATATTCTACATACAAACAAAACACCCCAAGTGATCAGTGCCTACTCAGGATTAAGGGTTCCGGGCCCGGCAACGCTTCCACGGCTAAGTCCACGTACAAGGTACACAATATATATAATAATATTATAATTTATTAGCGTTAGTTTATATATTTTACTCCGCGTAACGCGGATCATACAGTTCCACTTTTGCTCTTTATCTCTCTCTCTCTCTCTCTCTCTCTCTCTCTCTCTCTCTCTCTCTCTCTCAACCATAATAAAAAACGGAAAGAACCGCATGTAGAAAATAGTGAATAAATATTTTTTCCATGAAAATTTCATCCTAATAACACTCAATGGGACAAGAGATAAAGAGCGGCTGGTATTGACAGGTTATTCACGTATAGTGATGTGCCTATTGTCGATAATAATAAATTATATTAAAAATATTTTATTTATTATATTGCTCATCACTTCAAATAGGCTGGATTGATTACAAAGGTTTTTTTTATTACGAGTATATAGATGAAAGTATAGATTTAAGTGCCATGGTCTTTTGTATTTTAGTTAGTCTAAAATGTTTTAGAGATTGCCTGTGGTTTATGGCTATTTAACTGCCTCGGTGTTCAAATCGAAAGCATGTACGGATGCAGCTCGAAGGTTCAGGGTTCGAGTCCTGGGTCAGGCCAAGTATATTTATTGATACTGTCTTAGATTTACGCGAATATTTAACATTTTAAATAAAACTATCTTTTCGGATTATTTCGCGGATTGATTTTGATTTTTGGTTCCCGACGTTTCGAATGCTTTACAGCAATCATATTATTTATATTTATTGAGTTTTTCGTCGTGGAATTTACCTACACAACTAGTGATTATGTGATGATCCATCGGTTAGAGAAACCAGTACTACCCTCTCTAACAAATGGGGTTGAAAATTAAGAGCCCCAGTTTTATCGTATACACTAAATACTTACTTCAGTACGACTATATTTTTGGTGGATATTTTTTTTACTTTACTGACTTTTAAAAACAACGTTAAAAACAATAGTTAGGAACATCACTACCAACTTTAATTGGGGAAAATTCCTTAAAAAAATATGAAAAAAATAAATTTATATCGATGCCATCCCATCACTAAGGGCTAGCTATCAAACCCTTTGATGCAGTTACGGAGTCATCAACCCTGTAACTTCGTTTAGGGGAGCGTGGGTCACTTTGACCTATATAACTATACATATAATGTAACTAGGTCAAACTAGGGCTTAATGTGATTGTGATGAGATTATTTAAATTTTTTCAAACACTGACTTCAAAATCACTTTAAAATTATTTTTTCCACCCTTGAAATTTTTATATTGTAAAAAAAATATTAGAACGTTTTACGTTCTAATAAATTTTTTTTATCCTCTGTACTTTTTTACAAATAACGTCTGACTTTCATCCAGACCTATTTAAATTACTTGCATACAAGAACTTATATTATGTACTAGCGATTCACCCACGCTTTGCTCAGATTCGTCCCTAGGTTGATTCCCGATATAAACTTTCATTCTCATTTTCACCCCCTTAAGGGATGATTTCGGGGATAAAAAGTCAAACTATCGTCTTACCAAATTTCATCTAAATCGGTTCAGTAGATCCAGAGATTACCCCATACAACATCACAAATTCACAAACTCGCTCAGTAGATCCAGAGATTACCCCCTACGACATCACAAACTCACAAACTTTACCTCTTTATAATATTAGTATAGATGTATGTACATTGTACATTATAGAACGTATCTCTGAGCGCTCGCAATCTAATGCGGTCATCAACTCATCACTCCTTTATTAAAAGGAGCTCGGGGATATATGGGCTTTGTGCATATTAGTTATGTTTGTGACCATATTGTGGTTGAATACAAAGTACTGAATACATTAACCATGTTTGTTTCATTTTATTAGTTTTGGATTTGAACCGAGAAAAGATATTCTGTCTTATCTTTTGACTTTAAGTTTCGTAGTGTTTATATAACTGTTAATACCTCTCCACACTTTAGCAGATAAATATACATATTGTACGAGAGCTGGTGAAAATTTTAGGGTAGGTTCATGATGCATTACAGAAAATTTTGTAATTGTCCTTGAGGGACCCCTAAATAAGATAGTCGAGGTATGGCTGAAGGTAAGCGGCACCCTAACAGCCCTTGAATTTTTTTTCATCTAGCAGGTAAAAAATTCTATCAAATTTGCCTGGCTTTTTGGGATTATTTGTCTTTAAGTACCTACTCATACTCATATTACTCTCAAAAAATATCAAACTGCCTTAAGAACATTTTTTTCATTTGTTTGAAAAACCATTTTGCAACAGTCGGGTTAACATTTAGAGTCGACTGATTAGTCTGGCTTTTTATCATGGCGTGGCTGGATAATCAGCTATCATCATACCAAATTTCATCAAAATCTGTCCAGTGGTTTTCTCGTGATGTGTTCCCAGACAGACAGACAAAAAACCTAAAAACTGCAGATTCGGCCTCTGTATCGATAATAATTATTATCTTAATAAGATTTTCCAAAAAATATTTAATGTACATATTTGACTCAGTTAGAATTTTATTATATGTAAAATATTTGCGAAAATTTAAGAAAGTATAATGAAGTAAAGTAAAATGATACAACCTGCAGTGCCCATTGCGAGTATAATATAAATATTTTTTTCAAAAAAAAAAAACAATTAATTGTTTTTTTTGTCCACAGTACCAATCATCCCCGAGTTCCTCTACGACATCCGCCACCCCGACGCTCCGCTGTCCATGTCTCTGGAGGACATCACCACCCCTAAACCATCCCCTACACCATACTGCCCCTGCTTGAACAAGACTCTCTTCGTCGAAAATGTTACACAAGGTAAGTTTGAAGAACTACAAAAATTTATCTACACTAATATCCATACTAATATTATAAAATATGTGAATGTGTGTTTGTTTGTTTGTCCTTCTTTTACGTCGAAACAGAGTGACGGATTGGCGTGATTTTGAAGATAGTTGGAGGGCTGGAGAGTTGTGACATGGGCTACTTTTTACCGCGGGAGATTATCTCTTTCCCACGGGGAAACACGTTATAATACAACCAAAAACAACTCATCATACCTACGAATATGTACATATATATATATATATATATATATATATATATATATATATATATATATAAAAATATGTAGTCTATATCATACTAGCCGTTAGTTAAAACGTATCTGTTAATACTTATAAATAGGTAAAAGTGCTCTCTAAAACTACTGAACCGATTCTGAAAATAATTTCACTAATACCTACATTACCGCCGAGTGCTCTTTTATATTTCGATAAAAATGTTTGTTTGTTTGTTTACTGTGAGAAATCATAATAAATTTAATTGAAGTCAGAACAAAATTGGAGGATGAGTTTCTTTATCAGCTTAACTGCCTGAACGGGTTGAAATAAAGTGATATAATAAAATTGTAACGAAGCCGAATCTGTACAATAAATATTTTTTGGAAAATCTTATGGAAATAGACATTATTATCGATATAGAGACCGTGTATAGATTTTAGAGTTTTTGTCTGTCTGTTACCGCATCACGGAAAAACCACTGAAGGGATTTTGATGAAATTTGGTATGATGATAGCTGGTTATCCGGGTCAACATAATATAGGATACTTTTTACTGCGGGAAAATATCACATCTCTGAGAAATCTATACTAAACCTTAGAACGTAAGTAGGGACAAACCCGAGCGAAACGAGGGTGAGTCGCTACTCATTAGTAAAGTAATAAAATATTGGGCAAAAAGAAAGCTTGGACTCATCTAAACGCAGTGTAATTCGCTAGTTTATAAAATAAGCATCAAATTTTATGAAAAACTACTTAGTTTCAATCACGCTAATACTATCGACTATTACGAGCATTATAAATAGTAGAAAAGTTTGTATGTATGTATGTCTGTCACTCAAAAAATATATATGAATAGTACATATAAACCTGAGTAGCTTTATCTGGAATAGGTACATAAGAATTTTAAGTACCTAAAAACGCACTCGAGCAAAGCATGGCTAAGACGCTAGTTTTCCGCAAATATATTGAGGCAATTATATATTTTACGTCTTAAACTTAGCTGCTAATGTTGTATTTACCAAACTATCCGCAATTTAGACCATTACAGCTAGGTCGAATCACTTTATTCGCACAAATGTGTGGGCAGGAAGTGCCTGAGGCGAGCTGCGAGATAAACCGGAAGGAGATCTGATTTCCATTGAGAGTTGAGACTCACTGAAAATTGTTTGCAGATTAAAAATTAACCTTGGGGCTAAAAAGAAAAGATGCCGTTTTTAAAAGAATGCCAATAAAAAAAAATAGGGAATGACGTATTTTGATTCTTTAAAATACTAGCGAATTTGGGAAATGGGAAATCAATCCCATACAAACTTTCATTCCCATTTTTACCCCCTTAAGGGATAATTTCCGGGATAAAAGTATCCTATGTCCTTCGAAGGGTCTTAAACTATCTTCTTACTAAATTTCATCTAAATCAATCGAGTAGTTTCGGAGCTTATTCGGTACAGACAAACAAACAAACATATAAATCTTTCCTCTTTATAATATAACTATAGATAACATAATGATTAATTTCGTCTTTTCAATACAATTTTAAAATTTGAATGATCTTTAGAATTATTGTCTGTTTGTCGGTTTGTGTTTGTCTGTGCGCTTGTTCGCGATAATCGCAGAAATGGCCAATCTAATTTGGATGTGGTTTTCATTAATATATTACGGTAAGATTCATTTAATATTTAGTGTTTGTGTTATTTGAATCAGTTATAAATAAATTATATTATAATAAATAAAAAAGTTATGTAATTTAAAGAATTACCTAGGGAATGAGTCGAGAGTGAGTCGCTAGCTTTAAAATTAATATATAGAATTCAAATATAGCACACAAATGATTCATTTAAAACAAATTGATTGAAATATGAAAAAGTTTTTATTCGTGATATAAGTTCATTGAATGTCACGACAGAAGTTTTAACGACAATTTTATAGATTTGTATTTAAAACTGAGCTTTTATTGTAGACACTATTAATGCGTAGTAAGTTAAATCACAATTTAATGATACAAAAGTTAGTAAATGAGTAATACATTTTGTATGTTTGTCGCTTCTTCACGCTGTAACTGCTGAACAGATTTAAGAGTTTGAAATGGAGATAGGTTAGAGAAAGATTAGTATTAGATACCTTACATCCTTTTTTTAAGGTTGGTAAATTCATTTACGCATACCACCATACATATATGTGGTTATGTGGGACTCACCGGGTAGAAAAGCCAGTACTACCCACTAAAACCCAACAGTACCTCCCCCGTGTTAATGGTGGGCGTCGCAGGATCGCTTACGCACTCAACCACGACGCCCCGACGGCAGGTCTACCGAAGCAGACCACAACAACCACGGGGTTGCTCCCACGTTCCACTTTGCTGTCAGGGAAGTACCAGGAGCAACCCACATGGTACACCGCTCGCCGAAGTACCACATCCCAGTGTATCTCTTGGCTTCGCGCTCGGCTGGATTGCCGGACGCTAATGAGCCCCCCATTAATATTATATTTTTATTTCGACAGTCAACATAACTGCGCAAAAAGAAGAGCGTCACCTGGAACTGATACACGAGACAGTCGCCGTTGGGGTGATGTTTGCGAGCAAAGCCATTGTGCAGCTACTAGCTAACCCCTTCGTTGGACCTTTGACTCATAAGTAATAACCTATATGTATACCTATTTATCTAAGCCTACCCTCCATTATCTAGGTCTTAGACCTAACGTATCATAGACCCATACCCAATATATCAAAAATTACGGACAAGTGCGAGTCGGACTCGCCCACCGAGGGTTCCGTACAAATTTGTAGGAAATCTGTTTAACTTTAATTTTCCACTTTTTTTATTTTTTGGAATTTTTCCTTTATTTGTGCTGTAAGATCTTGTTTTTTTGCCAAATTTCGTGATTCTAGGTCAACGGGAACTACCATATCGACCCAAAACAGCACAAGTAAATGGAAAATTCCGAAAAATAAAAAAAGTTGAAATGAAGCTAAATTTTGGTACTTACAAGTTTTCGCGAAAATCTAAATTTGCCCATATCTTTTTATCGTGTTGACTCAGGACCTTGATTTTTATACACCTAATAGGGACTATATACCTCAGTATCTGGTATAAATTTCAACTAGCTAGGTTCACTTGTTCCTGAGATAGTCGGTGGTGACACACGGACAGACTGACGGACAAGAGAGTGATCTTATAAGAGTTCCTTTTTTACCTTTGGAGGTACGGAAACCTAAAAACCTAACAAAACACCACCACACCAACGGACGGATTTGGATGAAATTTGTACACAGATAGGCTATTAGCTGGAGTAATAGTATAAACTACTGTTAGTACCAAAGAGTGTACCTAAACTAAGCAAGGATAGGTCCAGTACTCAATAGTAAACAAAATTTCTAACTTTAATTTTTATTTTTCACCTTTAGGATCGGATACAGCGTGCCAATGTTCACTGGTTTCATCTTGATGTTCCTCTCCACACTGAGTAAGTCCATTATACATATATCAATACATAAAAAACTATATAAAAAAGTCCCCTCGCGATAAAATCAAAAACTACCAAACAGATTTTCATATAGTTTTCACCAATGGACCAAGTGATTCATGAAAAACTACAGGAGATTAGTGTATGTACATACTCGTATAGTCGTCTAGTCCATACTTGTCTGTAATGGCTGTAAGTTCGAAAGTCATTGGTTCGAATCCCGTGTTTATCCATTATGGCAATTCCATACATTGTTTAGTTTCTAATAACGATGCTTATTGTTGATAGTCATCTTTTCTAATCCCATTAAAATTTTATTTAGTATTCGCCTTTGGTCGATCCTACGGCGTGTTATTTGTGGCGCGGGCTCTTCAAGGTATTGGATCGTCGTGTTCCTCCGTATCCGGAATGGGGATGTTGGCGGAGAGATATCCGGATGATAAGGCAAGTTATATCATTTTCTATTTCGCCAAACCATAATCTGCCTAGGCACTTCGTAATATCGCTATTTTATAATTTGGCTGATCATTTATAAGCATTATCAATATAATAATTACTATAATCATTAATAATTTCTTTTTGACAAAAATTTGTGCAATCAATTAATTGCTTAGCACTTAACAAAGTTACTTTGATACATATTTGTAAAACGTAGAATCTACAGTCGGACTAGGAAAGCTGTAAATAAGCTATCAGTACAATCCCCATGATTAATTTTTATTAATTGTTAAGACGCAAGCAAAATTTATTAAATATCTTCTAAAGGGGGCATCGAATTACGTAAGCTCAAAATGGGGGTCCGGGGGTCCAGTATAATCTCATCAAATCTGGGGGCGTTGCTGCTCACGTAATTAATGGATGGGCGTCCATGATTTTTGTAAGATTGTTTACTTTAAGCTAAAATTTGTAGGTAGACTAAAATAGCTAGGAAGTTTCTAGGTAGACGGAGTCCGCCAAAAAATATATAGTAGCATGTTTTGCTGTTTGTGGTACTATTCTCGATTTTGCCATATAGATGTTTGAACGAGATAAATTTACTTGGATAGATATAAGATTTGGAAAAAAATATTATGTTCAATTTAAATCTAATTAGGTAAAACGAAGTTTTTTTTCTAAACACAGGAGAGAGGTAACGCGATGGGTATAGCTCTAGGAGGTCTAGCTTTGGGGGTTCTCATCGGTCCACCTTTCGGAGGGCTCATGTACGAGTTTGTTGGAAAAACTGCGCCTTTCCTGATGCTGTCTGCTTTGGCCCTTGGAGATGGATGTAAGAGAATTTGAAAATTACTAAATCCTGATCAACCTTAAAAATAAAATAGCTCTTACGTTTGGTATTCAGTAAGCCGTTCACACTGTTAATGATAATATTTTTGACAAAAAACCCAATTTTGCATGACCCGAGACTCCAACCCAGGACCTCCAGATCCATAGCTGTAGTAGAGATATATACCAACAATATACAGTTAATTCATCTTCATTTTTTCCATTATATAGTTTTAACCATTAGTATGGAACAGATAGACTGTACATATAAACATAGATATGATGATACCTTACATCAGAAATGATTCATTCTCCATACAAACTTTCATCCCCCTTTACACTCCTTTAAATTAGGATTTCCGAAATAAAAACTATACTATGTCCTTGAGGGTCTCAAACTATCTCCATACCAAGTTTCATCTAAATCGGTTAAGCAGATTTTTAGTTTATTATAAATTCCGAAAAAAAGAACCTTTTTTTACTTTCCTATATTATTAGTATAGACAGAATATAAAAAGAAGAAAAATGTTGACAATGTCAATACAAAATTTATTGTGTAATCGAAATTTATTTTAAAATATATCCAAAAATAACATTAATAATTGAATTAATAGTATAAAATTTTTTTAAAACACAACAAAATCGAAAGTGCATAATATTTAACACCATTCAGACAAAGAAAGACAATAGCATTCCCAAGGAGGGTTGACGTCAGGCAGGCGGCCGGTCGTAAAACTTTTGCCAAATCCTATCAGCAGTACAGAAGATGTACTGCGCCGACCCCAAGTAATTTGGGAAATGGGCAGGGAGACAGAATATAAAACAAACATACATACACACATTTACTTTCCTTTTTATAGTAGTATTGTGATTTATATTTTCAGTGCTTCAACTGATGATCCTACAACCTGGCGTGGTTCGACAAGAATCCGAACCCCCATCGCTTCGAGCTCTCATCACTGACCCTTACATTCTCGTGGCAGCTGGTATATATGTTTTTATAGCTCCATCTCCTTTTTTTAAAGTTGGGTAATGCATTTACGCACCTGTAGACGTACAGGTGTTTATGTGGGACTCACTTCCTAGAAAAGCTAGTACTACCCACTAAAACCAAACAAAACCTCCCCCATCTTAATCGATGCCGCGACGGCAGGGGTTATTTTTTTTAACATTGGGAAATGCATTTAGGCACAAAGTGTGGGACTCACCGGCAAAGCCAGTACTACCTACTAAATATGGAGTCAGAATCTCTTGGATGATCTTTTTTATACTTTGTAATTTTACTACTGGACTATGAATTAACTTTATAATCGATTTTTCAAATAACACTTATAACAGAACACAATGGCATAATCGATATATGCTGTATCCGATTAGCCATTCGATATTTTTAATGAGTATTAAACATGACAAAATAAAAAATGCACAAGGAGATATCATTAGTTAGCTATCCAATTATGTGTGTTATTGTTATGTTTATGTTTGTATTTAGTTGGATTAAGTAAAAGAAACCACTGATATGAATCTAAGCATGTATTGCAATCCACCATCTTTTACAAAGTGTGTCATAGAGTATAAATCAATTAGGGATGAGACAAAAATATTAGTGATGTACAACAGTTATATTTCAGAACATAAATAGATAAAATAATATAATATGAAAAAAGATGTATTTGAAAAAAGATAATATTACACGAATCAGGAAAAATTAAACTAAAACTATTTAAAATAAAACCTTCTTCTTATTTAAAAAAAAATTCATGGAGATCCATCACTAAATGTTTCACCCTCAAAACTAATATCTTTTTAATTTGTATCAAAAAGTACAATATCGAATATACCATACTATCTTACATTAGAGATTCTCAGATTTATTTTTGTTGTTGTTTTTTTTTTGTATTTTTGGTCACGGAAGTCTGGAAAAGTATACATATTTGCTAAACCAAAAATAATGCCGCGAAAAAGTAAAAAAAACTGTTCCAAATTAAAAACCAATATATAATTGTACGGAAATCGAACTGGTTCTCATATTCCCAGGTGCAATAACGTTTGCCAACGTTGGCATTGCCATGTTGGAGCCAAGCTTGCCGATCTGGATGGCGGACACGATGGACGCCCGTCGTTGGCAACAAGGAGTGGCATTCTTGCCTGCTAGCATCTGTTATCTTATTGGTAAGTGCAAGATTGTAGTTTTTTCTGTGTCAGTGGTCGCGAGTTCCAGCCCCGCTGGGGGCATTCATTTGTTTGCTGAGCACGAATGTTTGTACTCCAATCATGGGTGTTTATATTTATAATGTATGTATATGTATTTAAATATTATTTATTATATTATAATGTTTAATTTATTTTTTCTTTCTCAGGCACGAATCTTTTTGGCCCTCTTGGACATAAAATGGGTCGCTGGCTCGCCGCATGTTCTGGACTTCTTATTATCGGTTTTTGCCTCATTCTGGTGAGATTTATACTTAAATTATAATTCATGACAAAAAAACGTTAAAATCGATATTATATGCATCGATAGTGTATCGATAATGAATTAAAAATATTATCTAACTTAATTTATTATATTTGGCATATTTTAATGGCACTTTGAGCAAAATCTAGTCTCATCTTACACATAATAATAAGCGTTTATGTAATCTATACATATAATAAAATTCTCAGTCGAATCTGTACAAATGTTTTTTTTGAAAATTTTATTGAAATAATCATTATTATTGATACAAAGACCGAATCTATAGTTCTTAGATTTTATTCTGTCTCTCTGTCTGGGAACGCGTCACGAGAAAACCACTGGACAGATTTTGATGAAATTCGGTTTGATAATAGCTGGTTACTGTAGTAGTCGTGTGTGTCCACTGTAGTGTCTAGTAGTGGCTGGTATAGGATACTTTTTACCGCGGGAAAATATCATATAAACTAGTATCTTATAAACAAAAAGGAAAATGTTTTATTTCAGATCCCCATGGCACGTAAGCTGGAGCACTTGATCATTCCAAATGCTGGTCTCGGGTTTGCTATTGGCATGGTAGACTCTTCAATGATGCCAGAGCTTGGCTTCCTCGTGGACATCCGCCACGCTGCCGTGTATGGGTCAGTTTATGCTATCGGAGATACTGCCTTCTGTTTGGGATATGCTGTTGGTGAGTGGACATTTTTGTTGCCAGTTCTTGTCAAAAAGTTTTTTTTTTTATTTTTTAAATTGCCATCTTCATAAACTTATTTGAATACTAGCGACTTACTCAGTAGGTATGTGGATTTTAGTCACAATTTCATAGGTTTTAATTTTTTGCACGGAATTCGGTTTTCTAAAATAAAAGTAGCCTAAATTACTCCTTATAACATTAGCTAACTGCCAGTGAAAATCCCATCCAAATCGGTCCAGCACTTTCGGAGATAGCCGGAACAAACAGACTGATAGAAAGACAGACAGACAGACAAAAAAAAATATTGTTTTGTTCTTATAAGTACTGTATGTATTTTTATACGCATTTAATAAAAAAAGCTTTATTTTGACATTAAAAATCCAAATAATTTATATAATATATACTTTTGTATACAACCATAAATTAATTAAAAAAATATTTTTAAGAGTTGAAAAGACTGTAGTACTAAGATAGAATTACACGAATATATTATGACTTTTTAAATGACACTATATTTTTTTCGGGACTACCTTTGTTGTAAAGTTTTCGCAGTGTCGGCAACCAAAAAAATTAAAATAAATATAAAACCCGAAAAAGAAAAAAAATTTTTACAACTAATTCTAAGTACAAAAATTACAAAAACCAAATGGGATCAAATCTTCTGCATCCAGGTCCAGCCTTCTCAGGAGCTCTCGTGAACAGCATCGGCTTCGAGTGGATGCTGGTCATCATCGCTGTACTGAACTTTGCATACGCTCCATTCTTACTCATACTACGCTCTCCACCCGCGAGGGATGAGAAACAGGTGAGTAACAGACATACTTTTGTGATCCATTATATTTTATGTATATATATATATATGAATTATTAAAGCAGTACTGAAGGCAAAAGATTGCGCGATCGTGCTTCAACAAGATGGACTAACCAAAATAAAGACTCGTCATCGAAATTCTACATGGTGGTAAGAGACGCGTTGGACAGAAACCGGTGTAGGCAGATCATTCGCTCCAGAGGCAACCCTAATGCTGACCACGATCCTTAGACATGAGGGACCAACCCCAGAGAGAGATTAAGGCAGCGGTAGCCCTGTGGTAACAAGCTCGCTTAAGTAACCCAGTAAAGCTGATTCAAATCCCGGGTTTCGCACTTCAGATATTTTCATGTGCGAATCATTTCCAACATGTTTAACGGTGAAGGAAAACATCTTGAGGATACCTGCATGTCTGAGAAAAAACTAGCAAGTTTTCGAAAGACATGTGAAGTCCACCAACCTACACTTGGCCTGCCTTGTGAGTATATTGAAGGAAGGTTTGTGCCCAGCAGTGGGACGTTATAAAGGGCTGTATACATACATATGCACATTGTACTTACCTACAACAGTATTTAATATAAAGAATAACATAAGCCAGTGACTAAACCTCGCTTTGCTCGATTTATTAATAGATTTTAGAACCTTAGTATTCATCTTTAGGCAAACGAATAGAGTCACAGTTTGGCAAATTTCATGACTAACAATCTATATTATATTCATTGACTTTTATAAAACAAAATAATTAAAAATACTTAAAGATATAAGTGAGAATATTAAATTATAACTATCATTATTTGTTGATTTAGAGCCTAATCATCAGCGAGAAGTCATCAGTTCGTTACGTGAGCTACCAAAACGAGGAAGAGGAATAAGCCCGCCATTTTAACAACGCCGCCATCTTGAGACCCGCCCGAATCTGTCTTTTTAATAAAATGCCTAAGGTATGAAGTGAAATGCTTAAAATATATTTAAAAAAAAATACAAAAAAAATATGTAGTAACGTCGAAGTAGTTGTAAAAAGGCTAAAATATTTACATTATACAAGAGCATATAATTTTAGTAAATAAATATATTTATCTCTTACGATTTTAGACAAATATCTTATTTAAAAAAAATATTTAAATATACTGTAGTTGCTGCCAATATTGTTTATATATTTATAAAGTAGTGTATATCATTAAAACTATATTCTATAGAATTAATGACCAATTTTCTCTATCTCTTTCTCTATAGAGATCTCTGTCTTTTATGTAATATATAAAATGTACGTATGTATATCAAATATCGCCGTTAAATCAGGGTGGCTGTATTCGTGTTATTTTAAATAGATAAGTTACAATAAAACGTTTATGTACACTGAGAAATTTCTTCAAAAATTTCAAAAATACGTTGCGAATGTGACTTTGACAATATTTTTTATTGTATTTTTATAGACAATAAGTATTTTTGAGACCGACGATGATATTTTTCGCAATAGTATCCTCACATTTTTTATGCACAATAATATTTTTAGTAAGAGAGCAATAATATTTCTTACCTAACATCATTTTTAATATATTTGGAATATAATTAATATTTACATTGGACAATAAAATTAAAAACAATAATATTTTGAGCACATGTTATTTGGGCACACTTTATTTGATTATGGACCAAAATATAATATAAACTAATTTAATATTAATTCGACGCTTAACAAGTTCAGTTGGGAAATTTTTGTCATTACATATTGATTTTCGTGTTACGTATAACAAAACTAATATTAAAAAATCATTAAAATTTGACGTAACATTTATCAATGAATTTATCATCCATCTTCATTACTTTAGCATCATATTAATTAATTTTTTGAGATCATGTATGATTTTGTGCCTACAATTATTGTATAGCAATTTCTTATTATGTATAATAACCGCTATTTATACTATAAATATATAATTTTCCATCAAATATGAATGGTTATGCGACATTTCATTATAAAATATCTAAACTTAGAATATTACTATCAAAATATTATAATATATTCCATATCTTATTATTATAAAAAGAAAATAATATAAATAACCTAATATCATTACATAGTAGTATAGCATTAGATTAATATCTAATAAATACGCTAAGATTTTTCTCATATTCAAAAAGATATTTATCATTACACTAATAACTTAGCAGCTTTTATCGTTAATAATATTATATTTATAATAAAATAAATAATAATAATCAAGTAGTCTTCAGAAATATTGAACTCTTATATCATATAGCATAACTCCCTTAGACGAGAAAAAAAGCGGTATTTAAATGTCATCTTTATGAATAAATAATCTTTATATGAAATGTAATGGAATATTATTTTACACTGATGACTTTGAAAATATATATTATTAACTCAAGATTTTAAGATATTAATTTGAAAGAGACTGATTTCAGTTAAGCATTATCTACTTTTATCGTTAAATATTAACTTTTAACATTTTGATCATTAAAATATATCATAATATATTTTTTTTATTATATTTCAGAAAGTTTACATAATATTTCAATGATATTACTATAATTTATAGAAAATATATATCACACATACTACCTACATATACTATTTTCAAAGCCAACTCTATCCATATGCGTATGGCTGCGTAGACGGAGTAGAAAGAAACGTGAATAAATTTATTCCATTGCATTCATTATGCTAACATAAAAATATTTAATGTTTTAAATTTCATGTCCAGTATAATACGTATTAAATTAGAGCTTTCTTAGTATGGCAAGTAGGAAAAACTAGTATGTAAGCGGAAATATAATCACATAAACTTCCAGTATTAGATGTGCAAAACATGCAAACAAATAATCATAATATATACATACATGTTTATAAACATTTTCTTTTTATATATCCATTTTGTTATAAATTAATTAATAAATGATTCTTTTTCTTTAACAAGGTTTATTACATTGAATAATTTATTTATGTTAATAATACATATATTTTTTTGTAATAAACTTTATTAGATAATTATTCGTTACAATTATTATTATATGCATAAAAATTAGGTCATAGCTGTAATCTCTAAAAGAATTTCATTAAATCATTATTTATTAATCATTCATATTTGATGTTTTTTTTTAATGTGTACAAAATAGTGTTAAAATAAAATAAGCAATAGCTGGGTTCGGGTCCTTTACATTTAGTTAATGACATGAAATAATGTTGATTCTTAGAAAACATTGATTTCTCTCACTAAAAGTTGATTTTTTATGATAGCATTATATAGATAAGATAAATGATAAATAATATTCTATATTATAGTAGTTGTAACATGAATAGCCACGAGCTAAAGTGTATGGTAGTAATAATTTGGAATCTTTGTAAAATATACATATACAATAATTATATAAATATTTTATCATATAATATAATAATGTTATTGTGATAGTCATTAGTGATATTTTGAAGCTTTTAATGATCATTATAAAATGATTTTAATGATAGAACATATAATCTTTTGCCGCAATATTTATATAATTCTAGTCATTTTATTAATATTTATATACTGTTTTAATTATTTATAAGATAACTGTTTATATTGTTTTTTAAAAGCTGATCAATCATAATTGTTTTATAACGTGCTGGTTATGTTTGTATGAAGATTTTATGATTAAGTTTGCAAGTTACGTGGTGTTGTTTTAATAAAGTGTGGGTATATGAACTAAATAAATGTTTTATTTTAAAACCAATTATTATAATTTATGTTGACTTAAATCAGTAAAAAATATTACTATACTACTATTTTCAGTCATTATCAGGTCATGTTTCATGACTATACTCTAGCGACTTCCCTCGCATCGCTCGAGTGCATTTTATATATGAAAAAAAAATTGTTACCGTGAGTGTACTTTTAAACATGATTTCGCGTTTTCTGTAGGTCTATTTAAGACCTACAATTTTCTAGTACATTCTTTTGATATATCTCTTAAGGCCTAGACATTGTTAGCTATGTAAATATAAAAAAATATTTTTTAGACAAAACATCTGTACAGTTCAGGTATCTTGTATAAAACATTTACAAATTATATACACAAACCTTACTTATTATCACTCTTTCTTTTAGTGAAAACCGTATTAAAATCCATTATTTACAAGAAAGCTTACAAAAAGTTAGTAAGTTAAAATAGGTTTAGTACTTTTTACGAGAAATGTACACAAACAGACAAACATTTCAACAACTGTTATTATGTTGTTTTATTCTATACACAATGTTATTAAAATATAGGCTGTTGCTATTCGTCCGATAATCTGATAATTCAAACCTATCGGGCGATAAAGATATAGTCGGACAAATAAATATCTTTTTTAATCTTCTGATTATGGGACAAATTAGACACTTCCTAAAAAATATTTCATGTACAGATTTAAGCTATTAAACAAGAATGGAAACTTAAAGAAAAATACAGTTTAATTGTATAATAACTTTATTGTTGAACCCTATTTGCTGAACTGATCTAAAATAATATCATCACATTTCAAAATATATTTTATTTCTTAAATAACGATCTTTTAATTCTAATTTTACAAATGTTTCTAAAGAATCATTACTGATATTGCACTTTTTCCGAAATGTAAGCAAATATTTTCTAAATTAATTTCTATCGGTAATTTATATTTACAGGAATTTTATTTAAAACAAGCTACTAATCAAATCTTAATGAAAAATCATTATTAGCAAAACAACGACATGTTTTTTTTATCTATTTCAAAGTTTCTTCTATTCTAAGGTTAAAAATTATATAATATTTTTATTTTGGAATTTATTTGAGATCAACAAAAAATGATATATCCAAACCAAAAATTTTGGCTGTTGCCAATTTGTAATGATTAGTCGTTTAATGACTTATATATTTTATTACATTATAATTTTATTTTTTATCTATCCTTTGAATGCAAATGCGTATCCCTCTCCAAACGAATGTGGGCCTCTACTTTGTTCTTCTATGTCATTGTCTCGGTACTGAAAAAGAATTAGACATATCAATAGACCACAAAAACTTCGCTAATAATGTAACATAAAATGTTTGTGTTTTTTTTCATTCTACGTGACATTTGCAAAGTAATCTGTGCTAAACTAGCACGCTTTGAAGCCATTAATAAGATAATTGATTGAATTGAACCTAAAATAGTTGAAAATTTAAAAAGACGATGTTTTTTTTTTGAAAAAATATATGTAGCGAAGTCAAAATATAATTAGTTTGTTGAAAATATATATATTTATATATATATATAACAATTTTAATGTTGTTATATAGATATAGATATATATGAAGCCGCGTCAAAAAATAGAGGTCTTGTTTCAGAATTCAGTTAGTTCAAAATGTTAAAAAAGTTGATTTTCCCTAAGAGTTACAATATTTTGTTGTAGCATTCGTATATGGAAATATATCAAATGAATGTTTTATCTGCGAAGTACCACACTTATTATTATCCAACCTCGAAAAAGGAGGTTATATATTAACAGGTATTTTGTATGTATGTATGTATGTATATTTTTTATTTTTTTTAAAGTTATTACACTATCCTAAGTTCCTTTTGCGATCATACCCACTATTTCGATGTTTCGATTTAATGTAATTATGTACATACATATAAATCTAAGCCGGCATATTTCATACCTGTCCATCATCACGGCCATCTGGTCTCCAATTTTGGGTGTAGTACTGACTGCCTGCGCCTCTTTGAGGTTCGGGACCCTTCAAATTTAAAAAAAATGTTAGAATGACTTTGAAACAAAATTTTTGTGTATTAAGGCAATAAAAATCTCCTTCTATAAAAAATACTCTATTTTGTTATTTCGAGTACTCAATTCAAGCCCAGTTTCAGCTTTTTAGCCTACATCCAATATATATATATGATGATGTTCTCCTAGCCGATTCCGGCCACGGCGGCCAATCTCAATGAGATTAGCCGCGCTCGCTTGAGAAACCGAGTGATGCGGGTTCGAGCCCCGGATCTCACACCTCTGATATTTTCATGTGCGAATCATTTCTAGCATGATTACCTTGCCTTACGGTGAAGGAAAACATCGTGAGGAAACCTGCATGTCTGAGGGAACTTAGCAAGTTTTCGAAAGACATGTGAAGTCCGCCAACCCGCACTTGGCCAGCGTGGTGGACTATGGCCTGATCCCCCTTAGTATTGAAGGGAGGCCTACCCCCAGCAGTGGGACGTTAAAAAAAGGGCTGATTACAAATAAAATATATTTAAGACTAATCCCAAATTGTGTAATAATGAACAATTTTAAAGTTGGTATTTTTTTATTATTTGGCAACATCGCGTCGTTCGCGGTTAAATCCTTAACGCGTATGTTCAAAATACAACGCAAGAGTTAGCGAAATTAAGTTAGTCACGTTGGTGTAGTAAAGTGTGCAAGAGCTGTGGGTTATAATAAGTAAGAATCCAGGTTCCCATTGACGGGTTCCCCAGAGTCAACAAAAAAGGCACTTTGTTACCTGACTCTGCCAGTTTTGTGGTTCAGGCCGCTGCTGATTGTACTCCTTCTGCAGTTCGTATTGTCTACGTTGTTGCTCATACGCTTGCGTGTGGTAGTTATCTGTTTATAGAATAAGAATACTTTAAATAAAAGACCTCTATGGAAGACTATATTTTTGGTTAAAAAAATTTACCGACCCGATTTTAGAACCTACAAACGTTGCCTTTAATCTATACATATAATAAAATTGTAACTACGACGAATATGTAAATTAAATATTTTTTGGAAAATCTTATTGAAATAAACATTATTATCGAAATAGAAGCCGAATCTATAGTTTTTAGAATTTTTGTCTGTCTGTCTGTCGGTCTGTCTGTCTGTCTGCCTGCCTGTTTGTTACCGGATCACGAGAAAACCACTGGACAGGATTTGATGTAATTTAATTTAATTTTTTTATTTTAATGCCCTGCCTGCGTTTGTTTTTCCGAGAGCGTACAACCTGAGACTTTTTAAGGTGCGTGTCAACAGGCTTCTCCTGGGCAAACTCGCTACATCATAGACCTTATCTATGCCTTTAAGCTAAGATAAAGGTCAAGAGTGAGCCCATTTTTAATAAAAAAAAAAATTTGGTATGATGATAGCTGGTTATCCGAGTCAACATATAGGATACTTTTTACCGCGGAAAAATATCTCATTTCTGAGACAAAATACAAAAACTGTATTGTAAGAGTATACTAATATGTAAAACCTAAGAATTTGGTTTTTTGTCATCTGAATGCGGGCGGAGCCGCGGGCAATGCTAGTAAGTATATAATTATTTAGGATGTTTGAGTTTTTAAAAATTATATATTAAATAGAATTTTCAGTTTCTATCGAATTTCATGATTTCCCGGACAACTTTTTCATTTTTTTTCTTTCTTAAAACGTTATTTGGAATATTACGATTCACTCGCATGTCTCGGAGAACACGTAAAGCCGTTGGTCCTGCGCCTTAACTCTCACCGGTTAAATATTATCCAATCGGACTTAAAAATTAAGAGGAACAGAGAACTCTATAAGATATTCTACGCAGTTGGCTAGTCTCAGTGAGATTCCCCCCCAACGTGCGTTCATCTTCGTGGGGGGCTCAGTAGTGCCCGGTAACCCAACCGGGCGCGAAGCTAAGAAACGCACAGGAAGGTGGCCCACTTCGGTGGGCGGTGGGAGGTGGCCCTCTTCGGGGGGCGGTGTACCATGCGGGTTGCTCCTGGTACTTCTCTGATAGCAGAGTGGACCTTGGAGCAACCCCGTGGTTGTGGTGGTCTGCTTCGGCAGACGTGCCGTCGGGGCGTCGTAGTTAAATGCGTAAGCGATCCTGCGACGCCCCATTAAGACGGGGTTTTGTTGGGTTTTAGTGGGTAGTACTGGCTGTATTACGCCGGTGAGTCCCACACGTCGTGCGTAAATGCATTTCCTAACGTTAAAAAAGAAAAAAAAAAGTCTCAGTGAGATTGGCCGCCGTCGCCGATATTAGACAGGAAGACATTATCATAAGTTTGTTCCCACAAGTACTTACTTTGTGCTGGTGGCGCTACTGGTTCGGGGCTTTTCGGTAAATGGCTGCCTTCAAGAATCTGAAAATAAAAGTCAGACTATTAAACATGGACGTATATTTATATGGCTTAAGCCATATTTCATAAAGTATTTCCAATAGGAAAAAAGAAATGTAATAATAAATTATTCAATTATAGAACTTATGGAAATTGTAAAAAACGCTTGCATTGCATTTTTCTCACCTTCATTTCATAAGTAGCTTATATGCAAAATTTTATTTTTCCAGTCATGGTTAGCCTCTTTGAGATTAAGGTGCTTTATCAAATATAAAGTTTTTAAATTGGAGTTTTACAAAATTTTCCGTACTGTTTGTCACAACTGACTGCCACAGTCAGTTGTGACAAACAGCTGTACCTACTCTCCATTCATTCTACTCTCACACTCTCGTTGGTAATGGAAATTATCGGAAAGTAAAGAAATCCAACTCTCAAATATTAGTCTCGCAAAAAAAACTAATATTTTACCTGAAAGCCTTCCTTGCCAGCTCTATACTTTAGCTTCACCAGCTGACCACTTGGATCTTTGTACTGATAGGCCCCAACTCTTGAACCATCAGGCTCTATCACTTCTCCTGCAGCTAAACCATTGTCAGATGCATATTCAAAACGGAAGGCACCCTCTGTTAAAGAAAAAGACGAATAAAAATTAAAAACGAAAAAAAAAACCTTTAGCTGCCTGAAAAAATCGTATTAAAATCCAAATGGGTACCAAAAAACATAGACCATATTTATTTATTTTTTACCATATTTTTGAATGTGAGCTTTTACTTATTTATATTTCATGGAACATATTTAGATTAATTATTATTTGTTACGGACTATTATATATTACTAGTGACTCACCCCCGTTTCGCTCGGGTTCATCCGTAGGTACGTTTTAATTTTTTTTAACGGAACCATAATTTTTCTAAAATAAAAGTAGCCTACGTAACTCCCTATAATATCAGCTATTTTCCAGTGAAAGTCCCGTCAAAATCAGTCCAGCCGTTTCAGAGATTATCCGGAACAGACAGACAGACAGTAAAAATTAAAAAAAATGTGTTTTTCTTATAATAAGTACCGTATATAATTTCATATGCATTTAATAAAACGCTGTTATTTTAACTTTACAAACAGACACTTTATCTGTATACATGAAATATGTACCGTAATAAATGAAAAAAGGTCTTAGTAGTAATTCTATTTTCCTCTTTCCATGATTCCCAAAAAATATGTAGATACTGAAACCTTATGTTAGATTAAGCATTTTCAAATGCTACCTTCACCAAGAAGACCTATGAGCACAGGAAGACGAAGATACTAATCGAGAAGCTGGCATCCTACACCAATACATCAGCAACTTGCAGTACAATTGCTCTCAAACCTCTAAACAACAATGAAGACTCATCTATCCTGAATTATATAATTTCGAAAAAATACCTAACTCTCAGATTTCAAAGCGATATTTATCACCTTAACAGTTTTTTTTAAATAAAAAAATAAAATCATATCAATAAATTCAATAAAAAGTCTGCTGTGTTAGTATACTCTCTTTGAAAAATTCTACCTACAACACAATTATCACGATGGTATTACCACAAAAACATCTATCAATCAAGAAATTTACATGGCTAACGCTGGCTAAACCTTAAGAGATATACTTAAACGAGGCACTAGAAAATTGCAGGTCTTTTTGAGACCTACAATTTTCTGTAGTTAAAAGTTCAAAGTTCAGAAAAATCTGCAATAGTATAATTCGTTGGTTCACTATTACAAGGTTCTATGTTAATTTTAATGAAGTTTAGTAATTTTTACATAGAACTTCGTTATTTTGTTATTGTAATAAAAACAACGTAGAACTACGTAAAATTGAATATTTTGCAGTTAAAGTGCCGCTATCTAGTGGTTTGTTTTTGCAAAACTGTAGCTAATGACACATAGAACCTTGTAGCATTAATAACTAAATAAGTACTAAAATTGTAACATAGAACCTTGTAATAGTGAGCCAACGAATTATGTCTATCTCGTAAAGTACACTCGCAATAACTATTTATACCTATTTAAGAAGTCGCTAATAAAAAAAATACCTGAGCTCAAAGATTGTTTGTGATGCAAAATGGCCGCCTGTTGTTCTTTTGATATTCCTCCATACGGCAATCGCCATGCTTCTGCTCTCGGACTGTCAGTTCCTAAATAACAAAAAAAAATTACTAATGGATGGAAAACATATAAAATCGGAAGAACATATCAGCTTTGTAATCTATACATATAATAAAATTGTATCTAATACGAATCTGTACATTAAATATTTTTTGGAAAATCTTATTGAAATAAACATTTTTATCGATACAGAGGGAATCTCATGGTTTTAGAAAAAATGTCTGTCTGTTTGTAACCGCATCACATAAAAAACCTAAGAATTTGATTTTTGGTATGTTGATAGCTGGTTATCCGGGTCAACTTATAGGATACTTTTTACCGCGGGAAAATATCTCATTTCTGAGAAAAAATACAAAAACACGACTGGAGTACAAACATTCGTGCTCATCACACAAATGTCTGTCCCCATCGGGACTCGAACCCGCGACCGCCGGCACAGCAAGTAGGGTCAGTACAAACTGAGCCAAACGTGTCGTCAGATAGATAGAAAAATTGCCTATTTAATTAATATTATATTAAATACCTCTATAGTTTTCGTACACCGGTGGAGGAGCGTTGGGTCTCCAGGACTGCGCGGTGGTACCTTGAGGAGTGACATCATCGCTTGGGTTGAACAACTGCTTTCCGTAGGGATCCACCTTTTAAATTATATTGTAAAATTAATATGATGATGATGATGTTCTCCTGACCGATTCCGGCCACGGCGGCCAATCTCATTGAGACTAGCCAACTGCGCAGGAGATATTATAGTGTACAAGTGTACGCGCAGACACAACGTGCACTCTCTGTTCCTGTCACTCTCATACTCCGGTGGGACGACCACTCGACACGACCGGTGAGAGTGTCGGCGCAGGACCGACGGCTTTACGTGCTCTCCGAGGCACGGGGGTGAAACACCGCCAACTTCCCAACTCCGGGCTGTTACTGAGACTTACTTTACAAAAAGACTCAATAACTAAACTTGGCCCGACCCGGGACTCGAACCCAGGACCTCCGAGTATGCAGCCGTACATGCTAGCCACTACACCACCGAGGCAGTTAAAACAATTAATATATGTACTTATTTAGATGCATATTAGTATTCGTTCAGTGCTGCAAATTCTACCATAATCTTTTTTTTTCATTGATAACACAGCTCGTTAATAGGTAGTGTACAAAAAAATCGATTTACAAAATAGAGGAGAAAAAGGTACCAAACTCTTTTGTCTTTGCTTATTTACATACAGATATTTTGTGCGTTTGTTAGTAGTTATTTTCGGCAATTATAAATTTTCGTGATTTATCTATACATATAATAAAATTATAACTAAGCCGAATCTGTACATTAATTTTTTTTTGGAAAATCTTATTGAAATAGACATTATTATTGATACAGAGGCAGAATCTATAGTTTTTAGATTTTTTGTCTATCTGTCTGTCTGTTACCGTATCATGAGAAAACCCTGGACAGATTTTGATGGAATTTGGTATGATGATAGCTAGTTAGCCGGGTCAACATATAGGGTACATATATACTTTTTTATATTGTATTCAGCCCTTTTTAACGTCCCACTGCAGGGCACTCTCTTCAATACGAGGGGGATCAGGCCATCTACTTTTTACTGCGGGAAATATCTCATCTCTGAGAAATCTATACTAAACGCTAAAACGTAACAGTCCTAAACCAATTAAAAAAAACCTAAAAAGTAAAAAAAAAATATTTACCTTTGTAATTAAAAAGTAAGTATGAAGTCCACAATAACTTAAATATCCCACGATTTAATTAAAAAATATTGTCTAATGATTTGAGTAAATAAGCATCTGGACTACAATTTTAAACATATTGTCAGGTCCTCGGTAGTATAGTGGTAAGTATCCCCGCCTGTCACGCGGGAGACCGGGGTTCGATTCCCCGCCGGGGAGATTTTTTTTTTGTACCAGCACAGATTTTCATTTTAATGAAGTTATTTGACAAAGTTTAATACTTTCTTAGATTTACTCGAATATTTGACATTGTACACACGACTTTTTTTATTGGGATTATTTCGCGGATTTATTTTGATTTTTGGTTCCCGACGTTATATATATAAATATATCCAAAAATAACATTAATAATTGAATTAATAGTAAAAAATGTTTTAAAACACAACAAAATCGAAAGTGCATAATATTTAACACCATTCAGACAAAGAGAGACAATAACATTCCCAAGGAGGGTTGACGTCAGGCAGGCGTGAGGCGGCCGGTCGTAAAACTTTTGCCAAATCCTATCAGCAGTACACTGAAGATGTACTGCGCCGACCACAAGTGATTTGGGAAATGGGCAGGGAGAAGAAGAAGAAGAAGGTTCCCGACGTTTCGAATGCTTTACAGCGATCATGGTCACGGGAGAGACTGAGGTTATAGACGTCTCAAAGGCGTTATATAGTTACTTGTTGCAGACAGTACCTATCCACATTTTACAAGAATGATTTGGATTTTAGTTAAAATTAAATAAATAATAAAGCTACGAGTAAATTTAATCATAATGCTTAATAAAAAAAAATTAAAACGCTTAGAATTAATATCAACAAATATTGTAATGGTACTTTGGTACCATTTTTGAATTTTTGAAATCATTTTTGTTAAATAGTGGGTAGGCTGTCTGTAACAACTATACCTTCAAGACATGTAACACCTCGGTCTCTCCCGTGACCATGATCGCTGTAAAGCATTCGAAACGTCGGGAACCAAAAATCAAAATAAATCCGCGAAATAATCCGAAAAGACAGTTTTATTTAAAATTGACCAAGCTTTTTTTTCTTGAAATATATTATATTGGTATCTCTTGACGTATTATTTGTTCATAAAAAAGTTGTCACAATGAATCAAGAGCACTTTTGATTCGTCGATTAATTTAAAGATGGTCAGTGTGGTCAGTCCGTGATGAAACTACCACCCGGAAATAATTGCCGATACCACTAACAATGACTTGTCAGGAATGTATATTTGTGTATGTTTGTTTGGTTTCCTAGAAATAATCCTGAGTGAAGCAAGGGTTAGTCTTTAGTTAATATTAATTTAAACATATAATAAAATTGTAACGAAGCCGAATCTGTACATTAAAAATATTTTTTGGAAAATCTTATTGAAATAGACATTATTATCGATACAGAATCTATAGTTTTTAGAATGTTTGTCTGTCTGTCTGTTTGTTACCGCATCGCGGAATAACCACTGGAGGGATTTTGATGAAATTTGGTATGGTGATAGCTGGTTATCCGGGTCGACATATAGGATACTTTTTACTGCGAGAAAATATCTCATTTCAGAGAAAAAATATTGGTACATTAACACACAGCACCATCTAGCTCCGTGGTAAGCTACGAGGCTTGTGTTATGGATACCAGATAGTTGATACACTACACATTTATAACTTTAAATACATACATATTTTAAATATAGTAATTTACGATAATTAAAAATATCTTACTATATCAGCTCTTTGGGAGGATGCCCACGGAGTGTCCACCGGCTGGAACATTGCTGCGCGAGGGGCCTGGCACAGTAGACATAGATAGCTGTTTAGTATTCAAGTATACATATATGTTTTTAGGAATCTAATTTATATATATAAAAATCTATTGCTGTTCGTTAGTCTCGCTGAAACTCAATAACGGCTGAACCGATTTGAATAATTCTTTTTTTGTTTTGTTGGAGGTATATGAGGGATGGTTTAAATATAAAAAAAGCCATAGCAAGGAAAAACCCATAAGAACAGCTGGTAAATCGAAAAGTTGAGAACTGGTTATTTTGTATGGGAATCACTACTTCGGATTACTTTCAATAGTGGTGTACCTATCATCTACAACAATACGTCAAGTTTAAGTTTGAAAAAAATAATATATATATATATATATATATATATATATATATATATATATATAACAGTATATAGTCCATCTATTCTATATTAAACGTTAAAACGTACTTAGGGACGAACCCGAGCGAAACGAGGGTGAGTCGCTAGTCTAATATATAAAAATCTCATGTCACGATGTTTGTGGTCGCACGCCTTCGTAACGGCTCGACCGATTTTAATGTTTTTTTTTTGTATATTGAACGCAGGCATAACAGCGGATTCTGCTAGGATTCTATAATACTTTTTTATATTTAAGCGAATATTTGATATTTCAAATAAAACTATCTTTTACACACAAGCACACTTTCAAATTTTTAATATTAGTATGGATATAGATATATTATTAATAGGTAACTGTAGTGGATTAAATCAGGGTATCCAAATCCCATCCAGCTATTATAAATTAAAAATATAAAAAACCCCTACGCAAATTGTCATTTAACGATTACACTGGCACGCGTGAAGCACTTAATCGAGTAATCATACGCCAAAATGCCTTACGTCATTTTGGAAAACAGCTGATACTCTTACACTGCTGGACCGATATTAACCAAACATAACTAAGAACCACCGCAATTAAACTGACTTTCAAATGAAAAAAACCGCATCGAAATCGGTTCATCCGTTTGAGAGCTACGATGCCACAGACAGACAGACACAAACACACAGACAGACAGACAAACATCGACGTCAAACATATAACACCCCCAGGGCCGGATTTAACCTTAGCGCCGCCCCTGGGCACTGTAAAAAATGCTGCCCTATTATCGACATTTTGAACAAACTGTTGAAAGTTTAAATTTTTCAATTATTAATTTTTCGAAATATGCCAAAAAAATAATAATTTGTAAATGATATCAATTTTTCGAAAAATGTACCTACAAGTCAATCTTTTTTTTATTTTTTATTTTTTGGTAAATAAAAAAAAGCATTTTCAATAACGCGAAAAATTTTTTTTTCCCACCGTCCGAATTTTGCCGCCCCTAACAATTTACCGTCCTGGGCACTAACCCCGAGTGCCCCTAGTGCAAATGCAGGCCTGAACACCCCTCTTTTTGCGTCGGGGGTTAAAAACATGAAGGAATAACGAAGTGTGTGTATACCAACTTATACATTATACACATTTATATGGTTCATACAAGCGGGATTCGAACCCAAAACCTTACTGAAGGAGGCAAAGCCCCAAACGGTCTTACCTAATTTCGTCATCTAGATATGAACCGTGGCATAACCCACAGTCAACGGACTAGAACGAATGGCGAGTGACCAATCGCTAATTAAATACAATTAGTATTTGCACGCGATGTTTTATCTATACATACTATACATATATATACAAATAAATAAAATTTAAGTATCAGTTTGTAAATTTACAGTTTTTTAATAAAATGCGAATGAAAGTATATATATATATATATATATATATATATATATATATATATATATATATATATATATGAAAGTAAAGTACTTATAAGAAGAAAACAATTTTTATACCTAATTTTTGTCTGTCTGTCTGTTTGTTGAAACAACTTGGGCAAAAAACTAGCGGCTCAACCTCGCTTCGCTCGGATTCGTCCCTAGGTACGCTTTAATTTTTTTGAGTGGACTCAATTTTTCTTTCCTAATATGAAAGTAGCTTTAGTTACTCCTTATAACATCAACTATCTGCCAGTAAATGTCCCACTAAAATCAGTTCAGTCGTTTCAAAGATTAACCGGAACAAACAGACAAACAGACAGACAGACAGACAAACAAAAAAAAATAAAAAATGTATTTTCCTTATAAGTACCGTATATAATTACATATGTATTCATTAAAAAGCTGTTATTTTGACATTATAAACAGACACTACAATTTTATTTATCTGTATATAGATTAGGGTTCCGGCCAAAATAATTAAAAACTATAAAATTGTAAACAAAATCCCCGTACCTAGGGACTAATATTATAATTACGAATATGTTAGTTTATTGCAAGAACAACTTCTTTGAAACAACAACGGACCGACGTGATTGCTTCGAAATATTGTAAAATATTGATAGAAAAATTATAAATCTCTACCGCTAGCTTTGGAAGCCAAGTGAAGCGGGTTCAAATCCCAGGTCTCGCACCTCTGATATTTTCATTTGCGGATCATTTTTTGATTTTTTTGTCCAATCACTTAGTTTTAACTTAGAAGGTGTTGAGTGTCTTGAAAATTGATATTCTAAATCTAAATGAACATGTCCTATTTTATTTATTTAGAATTATTTTTTTGGGATCAAAGGCAGCCTATATCCCTCTCCAGGATGCAATCTATGTCCTTGCTAAATTTTATCGAAATCTGTTCAGCTATTAAAGCGTGAATAGGTAACATACAGAGTTGCTTTTACGTTTATAATATAACTAGCATTGCCCGCGGCTCCGCCCGCGTTTAGTTGACCAAAAACCAAATTCTCAATTTTTACATATTAGTATACCTACTCTTACATTGCAGTTTTTGTATTTTTTCTCAGAGATGAGATATTTTTCTGCAGTAAAAAGTATCCTATATGTTGACCCGGATAACCAACTATCATCATACCAAATTTTATCAAAATTTGTCCAGTGGTTTTCTCGTGATGCGGTAGCAGACAGACAGACAAATAGACAAAAATTCTAAAAACTATATATTCGGCCTCTGTATCGATAATATAATGTCTATATCAATAAGATTTTCCAAAAAACATTTAATGTAGGTACAGATTCGGCTCAGTTAGAATTATATTATATGTAATATAGATTAACATATTATATTTGATTTATTCTGAACTAGCGACTTCAAGTGAGGCTCCAGTATTACAATAAAATTTATATGGCTAACGCTGGCTAATAAATATTTATATCTATTTAAAACGTACCCAGCGACGAACCCGAGCGAAGCGAGAGTGAGCCGATAGTAAGTAAATAAATGTTAAAAAAAAATATAGCTAGCGGGTTTTATTATAATAAGGAAAAAAAAATATCTTTCAAAGGGAAGTGAACCATTGCTTTAAAAGTACAAAAAAATTACCCGTTGTTTGTTTGAACGCGCTAATTTTTGAATCTATTGGTCCGTTTGAAAAATTCTCTTTGCAGTTTATAACGGTTAGTATGGAATAGATTATATTATATACATAGTTTTTTTTTTGAGTCAGGAAAACCTGTTGCCGGGTACCCGCCGCCTGGGGAAGAACAACGGGTTATGTAGGGCTCCTGCCGCGCCAAGATGGTAAACGCGCGGCAGCCTACCCACTAAAACCTGACTGTGTCCACCTCTGTCGCCTTGAGGTCGGGGCCACGGGAACCAGAGAATCATCCGCAAACCCCGATATACATAGGTATAGAAAAAAAAAAAAAAAAACAAAAAAAAAATACAGTCGAATTGAGAACCTCCTCCTTTTTGAAGTCGGTTGAAAATAGATAAGTACATCAAAAAACTAGAAATCGTTATCTATTTTATCTCGAATGATTATAAATGCCGAAATATTATTTCTAAATACAAACTTTCTACCCCTATTTCACCCCTTTAAAGTTTCATTTTTACGATATAAAGTATCCAATGTCCATCTCCAAGGTCTCATCCTTCTCTATACTAAATTTCATCAAAATTGGTTCAGCGGCTTAGACGTGACAACCACAAACAAACAGACAGACAGAGTTGCTTTCTGATGAGAGTCTGTCTGTTATCTTTTTACGCTTAGTCCACTGAACCGATTTAGATGAAATTTGATATGAAGATAGTTTGTGACTCTGGGAAGGATATAGTTTCTATCCCGGAAATCATTCCTTAAGGGGGTAAAAATGGAGGTGGAATTTCGTGTGGGGGTTCAATCATTTTTCAAGTAAGGGATATATGTATATATAATCTAACTATTCCATATTAATAGAGTTAAAACGTATCCAGGAACGAATCCGAGCATAACAAGGGTGAGTCGCTAGTTTTATAATCAAACATCAATCAAAGTTGTAATTGGCAACCAAAACTGACTCACCTGTTTAAACGTCTGCGGCGCATAGTACTCGCTTTCTTGCGCGTGCGCAACTGCCACGATGACACACCAGAAACATATTAACTGGAAAGAAAAAAATGTTTATAATATAATTTTAACTTTTTGTATTTAAATTAAATTATTTTTGGAAGTTTTTAAAGATGTTATTATTTATTTCATAAAAAGATACACATATTTTCGTGTAAATTTCCAAATATTTTATGTGTTCTTAGAGATAGAACTCTATGAAATTTATTAAAGTACATTATATTTGGTTCACAAATTACTAGCGAAGATACTTATCGCGTAACATATGCACGTAAAACGTACAACTGGATTGATTATCTCCTTTTATTGCAGTCGGTCAAAAATACACATTTTTTACATGACCAATGCATGTTGAAAGGAAAAATCTAAAAAAAATGGAATTTTCGACCGTTCACAAGAGAAAATCTTATGCCGCCCAATTAACATATTAAGTTTTGATCATTTTTTACTATTAGGACAAAAAGTTACAAAAAATATTGCAGCCACAACTGGCCACGGACCTTCTTCCAATATGAAAGGGGCACATAAACCACCAAGCTGACCAAGTGCGAGTTGGCAGACTTCACACGTCTTTCAAAAACTTGCTACATTCTCTCAAACATGAGGTTTCCTCACGATGTTTTCCTTCACCGTAAGACAAGTGGTGATCATGTTGGAAATGATTCATACATGAAAATATCAAAGATGCGAGACCCGGGATTTGAACCCGCTTCATTTGATTTTCCAATCCAACGTTATCTCTGGGCTACCACTGCTTTAAGACAATTTTTTTTTAGTTTATACATATTAAAATATATTAATTAATATGGGATGTTTTTTTTTTAATTTAAAAAATATTTAATTATACTATTAGCATTTTATCTCACAATCACTTACCCTCATAGTAACTGTCTGTCGGTACGAGCGTATATTGCGGTCTGTCGAAACCCAGTCCTATATATAGAAAATTAAGACGCGATGGACCGAAAATGAACTGGTTTATGAGAAATCGGTAAATTTTATCGCAAATCAACTTTTACACGTGACTTTACTTGACTTTTACAAGTATTTTTAATCGTCAAATTAATTTGCAGATTAGTTAGGAAGTTAACACTGGCTAGAAGGCAGTTCTGCTGTAAAGACCTCTAGAATATCAACAGTTGCTTGTTTAAATGCTGAGTTACAGCATTTTCATTATATAGCACTAGGCTAGCATACGAGTACGTACCTTTTTATATTTATAATTTTACTAGCAAAACCCGCGGCTTCGCTCGCGCTAAAACTACAAAAAAATACTCTAAAAAGGTAGGTTTCACACAAACTTTCATCCCCTATTTTACCCCCTTATGGGATAAATTTCGAAAAATGCTAAAACACGTATTTATTTAATTCTATTGAAGCGCATTAAAACCAAGTTTCAAGTAATTCTGATCATAAAATTTTTTTTGGATTGTATTACGAGTATAACGTGTTTTCCCGTGGGAATGAGATAATATCCCGCGGTAGAAAGTAGCCTATGTCACTCTCCAACCCTCCAACTATCTCCACAGATAAAATCACGCCAATCCGTCACTTCGTTTCGACGTGAAAGACAAACTAACAAACAAACAAACAAACAAACAAACAAACAAACAAACAAACAAACAAACAAACAAACACACTTTCACATTCATAATATTAGTATGGATACCACGCCTTTAACTGCCTCGGTGGTGTAGTGGCTAGCATGTACGGTTGCACACCCAGAGGTCCTGGGTTCGAGTCCCGGGTCGGGCCAAGTTTAGTTATTGAGTCTTCCTGTATAGTAAGTCTCAGTAACAGCCCGGAGTTGGGAAGTTGGCGGTGTTTCACCCCCGTGCCTCGGAGAGCACGTAAAGCCGTCGGTCCTGCGCCTTAACTCTCACCGGTCGTGTCGAGTGGTCGTCCCACCGGAGTATGAGAGTGATAGGAATAGAGAGTGCACGTTGTGTCTGCGCGTACACTTGTGCACTATAATATCTCCTGCGCAGTTGGCTAATCTCATTGAGATTGGCCGCCGTGGCCGGAATCGGCTAGGAGAGCATCATCATCATCATGGATAGCACGAAGGATATTTATATTAATATCTCTATAAAACTAAAGTGTGTTTTTTTGTTTCATCACCATCATCTACGGAACTACAAATCCAATTTAAATATATATATATATATATATATATATATATATATATATATATATATACATATATATATTTTGCATTTAATGCTTACTAGTTTTTGCCCACAGCTTCATTCGCGTGACAAGTGGGGTAGGGATCAAGGGTAGCCTATGTCCATCCCCAGGATGCAATCTATAATCCTTGCTAAGTTTTATCCAAATCTGTTCAATGGTTTAACGTTAGCTTGAAAAGGTAACAACTAACAGACAGAGTTATTTTCACATGTATATTATTAATATGGAGTATGGATTACTGGCTGACAGACGTATTCTATCCATATTTTAATGCAAAATTATTTATGGTCTTTGACGTTGCTAGCACGGCTGTTGATAATGAGATCCTGGGTTCGAGTCCAGAGTTGGTCAAAAGATAAGTATTTAGTTTTTCGTTCAGAAGTTCTCAGTAAATTATGTCAATAAAGAATTTATTATCATTATTATTAATTGTACCGATGTTGTTGTTCACCTTATCGTGGTGGTGGGGGGAGGATGGGGGTTTCATAGCATCCGGCAACCCTTTTTTTTTTTTTTTTAACGTTGGGAAATGCATTTACGCACGACGTGTGGGACTCACCGGCGTAATACAGCCAGTACTACCCACTAAAACCCAACAAAACCTTCCCCCGTCTTAATGGGGCGTCGCAGGATCGCTTACGCATTCAACTACGACGCCCCGACGGCAGGTCTGCCGAGGCAGACTACCACAACCATGGGGTTGCTCCAAGGTCCACTCTGCTATCAGAGAAGTACCAGGAGCAACCCGCAAGGTAGCATCCGGCAACCCTGCTGGGCGTGAAGCCAAGAGAAATACAGGGAGGTGGCCCACTTCGGTAGGAGGTATACCATGCGGCTTGCTCCTGGTACTTCTCTAACATCAAACTGAACTGTTGGAGCAACCCCTTTGTTATGTAGTCTGCTTAGGCAACCCTATCATCAGGGCGTCATAGTTGAGTGACGCCCCATTAAGAGGGGTAAGGTTCTGTTGGGTTTTATAAAATGTATGTATACAGGTGATATGCGTTAATGCACTTCCAAATATTAAAAAAAAACAAGAGAAACTTATGTTGCCGCGTTTAACTTTTTGTTTTTTATATTTATTGTATTCTGTTTCTTATTAGTATTTTCAATATGTGGAAACTTGAATTTTTATGTATGTATGTATGTATTCAGCCCTTTTTAACGTCCCACTGCTGAGCACGGGCCTACGTTCAGTACGAGGGGGATCAGGCCATAGTCCACCACGCTGGCCAAGTGCGGGTTGGTGGACTTCACATGTCTTTCGAAAACTTGCTAGGTTTTCTCAGACATGCAGGTTTCCTCACGATGTTTTCCTTCACCGTAAGGCAAGTGGAAATCATGTTAGAAATGATTCGCACATGTAAATATCAGAGGTGCGAGACCCGGGATTTGAACCCGCTTCACACGGTTTCCCAAGCCAGCGCGTTACCACTGGGCTACCACTGCCTTTTTAGTATTTTATGTGTTATCCTAATATTATTTAGTACATTTAGCTTCGCTCGGAGTTCTTTTCTGTTATATCGTATTTTTTAGATCAAACATAAACTAAAAACTTGAATAAATACAAATATAAACAAAAGTAAAAACTTTCTATCCGACCGGGATTCGAACCCAGACACCTGTGATTGTCAATCTTGCGCTTTAGCCTCTTGACTACGTTGCTTATACCCGAGAATGCGAAATTAGCGACCATATTTTGAGTGGAATAATGCAACCGCATGAAAATTCGAAAACACGCGTTTTGTCAGACATAAAACTAATCTAAATCGATTTATCGCCCCCGAAAACCCACACATTACCAAATTTCTGCGAAATAAAGCCGTTTCCGAGATCGCCGGTGTAAAGAAATAAATAAATATACAAGAATTTCGCGTTCAAATATTAAACTAGCGACTCATCTTCGCTACGCTCGAGTACGTCCCTACTTAAATTTTAAGGTTTAGAATAGATTTCTCAGAGATGAGATATTTTCCCGCAGTAAAAAGTATCCTATATGTTGACCCGGATAACCAGCTATCATGATACCAAATTTCATCATTATCCCTCCAGTAGTTTTTCTGTGATGCGGTAACAGACAGACAGACAGAAAAAAATTCTAAAAACTATACATTCGGTCTCTGTATCGATAATATAGTCTATTTCAATAAGATTTTCCAAAAAATATTTAATGTACAGATTCGGCTTAGTTACAATTTTATTATATGTATAGATTACTTATATAATATTTTCGATAAAATAAACAAATAAGATTCTGGTCACGAGGCATTATCAAATTTCATTAGACGTTAACGTCTGAAGTATGAGCGAGTGTTAATCAAATATTTAATACGTGTATTTAATTACAATCGATCTAAATAAATCAATAAAACAAGGCCAGTATTTCTTTTCAACCGAAACAAATTGTTGTTAGAAATTAATATACTAATTAAACGTTCCGTAAAGTTTGTGCTTTTATATGATCCTACTAATATTATTACAAAAGGCAGTGGTAGCCCAGTGGTAACGCGCTCGCTTGAGAAACCGAGTGAAGCGGGTTCAAATCCCGGGTCTCGCACCTCTGATATTTTCATGTGCGAATCATTTCTAACATGATTACCACTTGTCTTACGGTGAAGGAAAACATCGTGAGGAAACCTGCATGTCTGAGAGAACTTAGCAAGTTTTCTAAAGACATGTGAAGTCCGCCAACTCGCACTTGGCCAGCGAAGTGGACTATGGCCTGATTCCCCTCGTACTGAAGGGAGGCCCGTGCCCAGCAGTGGGACGATAAAAAGGGCTGAATACACTAATATTATAAATACGAAAGTTTGTAAGGATGTATAGATGTTTGTTACTCTTTCACGCAAAAACTACTGAATGGATTTTAATGAAACTTTACAATAATATAGCTGGTATATCAAAATAGCATATAGGCTACTTTTTATCCCGGAAAAAGGTACGGTTCCCGTGGGATAGATTCCTTTGTTTTTCTAGAGTTCGAGAGTGAGAATGGGGGTGAGAGTGGAATGAAATTTTGTACGCGGAATCAACATAGGAACGAATCCGAACGAAGGAGAGGAGTCGCTAGTAATATTATAAAATGTGAAAGTTTATGATGTTTAGATGGATGAATGTTTGTTACTCAATCACGCCAGAACGGCTGAACGGATCTGGATGAAATTTGGCACAGAGATAGATTATAGTCTGGAATAACATTTGTTGTGGAAAAATGTACGGTTCCCGTGGTCTAGGTTTGTTTTCGTTAATTTATATATAATTAACGCGAAAATTTGTGAGGACGTATGAATGTTTGTTACACTTTCACACAAAAACTATTAAACAGATTTTGATGAAACTTTACAGTAATATAGCTTTAACACCAGAGTAATAGGCTATATTTAAAAAAAATAGAATATTAATAAAACACAATATAAAATTAAAAAAAAAAAACATTTTAATATTAATTCAAATAATCAGAAACCCACGGTGACATATCGCTTGTATATTTTACAGGAGGAACGTCGTAAGGCAAAATGAGACGGTCCTTCAGATTTTCTTCCAACGGAAAGTAGTCTTGGTTGATCTGAAAAAAAAAATTACATATTATAAATTAACATTTTCAACCGACTTCAAAAAGGAGGAGGTTCTCAATTCGACTGTTTTTTCTTTTTTATGTTTGTTACCTCAGAACTCCGTCATTTATTAACCGATTTGGATAATTTTTATGTCGTTTGAAAGTGTATACTTCCAGATTGGTCCCATTTAAATTTCAAAAAAAAAAATACCACCCCTAAGCACACCGACTTCCAAAATATTTGATTAGGTATGTACCTATAGTAAATGAAAACTACCAATCAGTTATTTTTTACTTTTTAGTGCTTTTGTTTGAAGTCGGTTTTTATTTTTTTGTTAAAAAGTTTTTAAAAATAATATAAATACGAGTCTTTCTTTTGGGCTAACTTCAAAAACTACTGAACAGATTTTCATAGGATTTTAATGTCTGTGTGTAATATCGAAATAACAACTTTTTACTAAATGCGTATGAAATTTATACGGTACTTATATGAACACAATTTTCTAAATTTTTGTCTGTCAGTCTGTTTGTTCCGGCTAATCTCCGAAACGGCTGGACTGATTATGACGGAACTTTCACTGGCAGATAGCTGATGTTATAGGGAGTAACTTAGGCTACTTTTATTCTAGAAAACGTGTTAGGGTTCCGCTCAAAACAATTAAAACGTACCTAGGGACCCGAGCGAAGCGGGGTTAAACCGCTAGTATATTTTAAAATATGTATATAGAACATATACAAAACCATTTCGTATTTAATGAAATATATTTTAGTGACTTATAATTTTAAACTGTGATAAACAAGTCACGAAATCTAAACAGCGCCATCTGTGAGTACTAAACACAAACTTGTTACCTAATTCCTGATTTTAAAATAAATAAATAAATATGTTGGTACATTAACACACAGCACCATCTAGTTCCATGGTAAGCTACGAGGCTTGTGTTATGGATACCAGATAGTTGATACACTACACATATATAACTTTACATACATACATATTATAAATATAAACACCCATGACTGGAGTACCAACATTCGTGCTCATCACACAAATGAATGCCCCAAGCGGGACTCAAACCCGCGACCGCTGGCACAGCAAGTAGGGTTATTTAAAATAACATTATTTCTTTTCCATTATTCCACAGTATTTGTACTTCCAAACGAATACTGAATCTGTCCACAGATTAAAAAAAAAAGAAAACTCACCACAAACTTCGGCAAAAACAACACTCCGGCTTCATAACTCATAATTCTTAACGCTTTATTTCCTTTATTTATCGAACCCCAAGCAGCTTTACTGATATTTGCTGAGGTAAGTAGAAAGTACGACGCCATCTTGTTGTCGGGCGACACTCGAGTGTATGACTTTATATGAGGCATCGCCTTGTTACGGTGTATAGATGTTGATCGCCATTGGCTATAAAAATAATAATTAATAATCTATTATCTTCTATATATATAATAAAATTGTAACTAAGACGAATCTGTACGTTAAATATTTTTTGGAAAATCTTATTGAAATAGACATTATTGTCGATACAGAGGCCGAATCTATAGTTTTTAGAATTTTTGTCTGTCTGTCTGTCTGTTACCACATCACGGAAAACCCACTGGAGGGATTTTGATGAAATTTCGTATGATGATAGCTGGTTATCCGGGTCAACATATAGGATACTTTTTACCGCGGGAAAATATCTCATTTCTGAGAAAAAATACAAAAACTTCATTATAAGAGTATACTAATATGTAAAGCCTAAGAATTTGGTTTTTTGGTCATCTGAACGCGGGCGGAGCCGCGGGCAATGCTAGGTTTAAATAAAACTATCTTTTACGGATTATTTCCCAGATTTATTTTGATTTAGTGACAGTATCTCCGTGACCATGATTACTGTAAAGCATTCGAAAAGTGTGGAACCAGGATCAAAATAAATCAGCGAAAAAAATCTGATAAGATAATTACATTTAAAACTTCCTTTAGAAAAACAAAAACATATCTATCCCACGGAAACTCAAAAAACGTGTTATTCTTATGTATGAGCTATATTATTGTAAGAGTTTCATCAAAATCCATTCAGTAGTTTTTGCGTGACTATACATCCAAACATACAAACATCCTCCCTCACAAACTTTCGTATGATTCTTTCGTTATATTTTTTAAATTATTTAAACTTGAAATAGGATAAAACCTAAGGCATCGTTGACATTACGTCATTTTTATTTTTTTCTAAACTTGCACACTTCAATAAATATAAAAGTGGAAGCAATATGAAACCTTAAAGTGCAACGATGAAAAAATTACAAGATACACAATCAGTGAAAAAATGTCCTCACCGAATGAGCGCTCATTTGAACATTTGAGCGCGCTTTTATTTTATTTTATTTTTTGTAAAAAATTTTTGTCGTATATTTATGTCAACTAGAACAATCACCTAAACACAATCGGTGACAGTTTTAAGAGAACTTTTGTATGGGATTGTGTATATAGTACTTTATAACCGAAACTATCTGATTAGGTTTATCGACTTCGAAAATATCTGATTCGAGGTATCTATTCTAAATGAAAACCCCCGTTTAGTTATTTTTTAAATTTTAGTGCCTGGAAGTGGGTTTTTTTTAAGTTTTTTTTTATCGATGATTTCTTTACTTTTTTTGGCAAAAAAAAAAGTCACTTACTATAGAAACTCTTTCAGCCACAACTGTTTGTTGTTCACATTCGCTCCGTACGGAAGGCAGCCCCCGCCGAGGATGCCATCGTGGGATTGCTTAACGTTTTCTATAAACAAATTTGTAAATATTGAGTCTTAAATAAAAACAACAAAATAAACTTTAAATTAAATAAAACCTATCAATTTATGTACACTAATATTATAAAGAGGAAAGATTTGTATGTTTGTAACGAATAAACTACTAGGCCGATTTAAATGAAATTTGGTAAAAAATAGTTTGAGACACTGGGAAGGTTTTTTTTAATTAGCTTGCTTTTAGAATTTGTAACTTATGAAAAAACCATTTTTTTTTAAGAAAAAATAATAATTAGCTTGGGAGTAGAAATTGTAGCTTATGAAAAAAGAAAATTTTTTTACTTAACATTTTGAGGTAGCCCACTGATTTTTAAAATAATTAATTTTAATTTTTATTTACTTTCGCTGATTTCATTTCGGGAAAAAATATATAAAAAAAAATCACAACTCGTTATATTCTATTTCATTTCAAAAAATAAACAACATTCAAGTTTTTCAATTATGTCACTTTTACTTTAAAAATAATATTTATTTTAATTTTACTTTACTAAAAATAAAAAAGTATTTTTTACCTAGAGACGGGTAAATGATTTTCAATGGGGCTGGTTGAGTCAATGTTTGGGGCTGATCTTTTGTTTTTGTGAAATGATGAAGGAAGTCACCGGTCAGCCATAACTGTGAAAAAAATAAAATATCTTAAAGGAACCAAAATTAAATATTCTAAATTATATTATTTAAATCTGAAAGCAATATATGAATTATTAATGAAAAATATATACTTTAAAAAATATTATATCGTTTAAAAAAGTACTATAAAATGTATCTAAATGTCTTTATAAGTATCTATAATTAACTATGTTCAGATTAAATATAACCAAAACGGCAGAAAGGAATAAAAAACCTAAATAAATCTAGTTACTTGTCTACCATCTGTTTATCAAACGCAAAAATATATCTTAAATTAAGGTATCTCAATCATAAAGTATCATAAATTAGTAGCATAATCAAGTATCATAAAGTATCTCACGCTAGGCTTCGCCCCGTAACTGCCGATGCTACTCGCTTGAGCGCACAAAGGCCAAGCCCCGAGGGAGTGTTGACGTAAAAGTGATCCCACACGCGTCATACCAAAATCCATATCGAAATGTGACCCAGGAACTGATGAGACTAGGAACACACTGGAATTTTTTTTTAATTTAATTAACCGACTTCAAATAGACTACTTAACTTGAGTCTTGTATTTTAGCCCCTAAAGAGAAACACCGACATTTAAAGTAATTTTGAAGTCAACATACATCTTTTGTTGTACTTGTAATAATTTTTTTTCTGATTAAATAATAATTAATAAAATTGTACAACAAAATGATCTAATAAATATGATACAAAAAATATATAAAAGGATGTCTAGAAGATAAACGAACATCTAAAAATACAAACAAAGTCTAAATAGATTCAAAAAATCAACATTAACTATTCCACTATCTCAAAATTTTGATCTTAATTTTCATTTAATAAAACGTATAAGCAATTAACAAACGAGATAATATTCAAAATTACTTAAAAAATGTCAACAAAATCGATTGAAAATGATAATTTACGCATTAAAAATGAACATATCAATAAAATTACTCACTTTATTTGACTAAAATCGCATCTCTTAACTCTGTCCAGATAAAAGACAAGTTGTGGCAAATGATAGTGCCCCAGATATCTAATCAAACTCTTCTTGAACATCGTCGGGGATTCCCCGTCGTGGGGCATAGAGTCTGGGGGCAGTTCTGGACATCGGGGGCTGAGCCATAGACTAAAACAATATTTAAGTTATTTTTTATACTCAAAAATAATATTTTGTATCAAATTGGGTATTTACATTAATTCACTTGAGTACAATTTCATGTTTAAAATACTTTAAATTATAATGTTGTATGAAATTTTTGTAATAATTTTGTTTTTTGATGTGCACGGGAGTTAAACACCACCAACTTCCCAACTCCGAGGTACTACTGAGAATATCTTATCAAAAAAATCTCAGTAATCAAACTTGATCCGACCCGAGCCTCGAACCAAGGACCTCAGGATTTGCAGCCGTACATGTTAGCCACTAGACCACAGAGACAATAAGGCAGTCAGGCATCTGTTCTAGTATAGTGTTATGTGATATCTATACATCGATCAAAAAATACTAGATACACATTAAGCGACAAAATATAAATATCCTCACTAAATGAGCGCTCAAGTAAACTTTTGAGCGCGCTTTTAATTCTTTTTTTTGTGAAAATAACTTTAAGCATTGCATTTAAAGTTTAATTTACATTGTTGTATATTTATTTCAACTAGAACAATTACCTAAACACAATCGGTGACAGTTTTAAGATAACTTTTGCATGGGATTGTGTATCTATTCGTAATACTTTTTTGATCGATGCCTATATATTGCTGAAAGGAAGGCGCTAATTGATTATATAAAAAAAAATCACCCTTGCGTCCTATTCTCCCAGTCGTCGGTATACAAGTTGGCAGTAGACACTACCACCCTCATCGACCCATCTTCATAGCATAAAAGCATCATTTTCCTGAAAAATAATAATAATAATAAAGACGAATCTATTTAACGTTATTTCTATCAAAATCTTAATATATAATAACTATAAAAACAAAAACAAATCTATCCCTCAGAAACCGTATATTTTTCCGGGATAAAAAGTAGCCTATGTGTTATTCCAGACTATAAGCTATCTCAGAGCCAAATTTCATCCAGAACCGTTCAGCCGTTCTGGCGTGAAAGAGTAACAAACATCCAAACATATTGACAAATTTTCACATTTATAATATTTATACAGACATACAGATAATAATAATAATAGTACCTCACGTACGTTTTAAAGTTAGTATAGATTTCTCAGAGATGAGATATTTTCCCGCAGTAAAAAGTATCCTATATGTTGACCTGGATGACCAGCTATCATGATACCAAATTTCATTAAAATCTATACAGTGGTTTTCTCGTGATGCGGTCACAGACAGACATACAAAAAATCTAAAAAAAACTATAAATTCGGCCTGTGTATAGACAATAATGAATATCTCATTAAAATTTTCCAAAAAATGTTTAATGTACAGATTCGACTCAGTTAGAATTTTATTATATGTATAGATAGATGTCAAGTAATCTTATAAACTAATAAATTTTTTTATATGTTATGAAATTATTTGTAATATATTTATTACAATAAATATTGAACTTAGAGAAAAATATTCGCAATAAGTGAGTCGCTTTTATAAAAGATATATTATCTATTATTATTATTTAAACGTACTTATAAAAACGACGACACGTTTTGCTCAGTTTGTAGTGACCCTAATTCCTGTGCCAGTGGTCGCGGGTTCGAGTCATGGCTGTTTATATTTATAATATGTATGTATTTAAAGTTATATATGTGTAGTGTATCAACTATCCGGTATCCATAACACAGGCCTCGTAGCTTACCATGGAACTAGATGGTGCTGTGTGTTAAAGTACCAACATATTTATTTAAATAAACACTCACGTGTGGTGTGTCCCAAACGGTGTTGCCATATTCACATAATGCGCTTCAACATTCGGTTTCTTTTTGCTTATATTTTTCAAATCTTGCCCGCAATCGTCACCATAGAGAATTGTTAGTTTTTTTGCACTAAAAATGGTTTAATTTATTTATAGAGGAAACATATTTTATAACTTTATATCACGTACTATACATACATTCAATGATATTTTTTTCATACATATGTACATAATACCCCTCCTTTCCACACCCCCCCCCCCTCTTTTCCTTAAATTTTTTTCATTTTTAGGGTCCGTAACTCAAAAGGTAAAAAAGAAACTCTTATAATATCACTCTCTTGTCCGTCTGTCTGTCCGTGTGTCACCACCGATTTTCTCAGGAACGGGTGGATCTAGTAAGTTGAAATTTATACCAGATACTGAGGTCTACAGTCCCATAATATATTAAGTGTATAAAAATCAAGGTCCTGAATCAACACGAAAAAAGATACGGGCAAATTTAGATTTTCGCGTAAGTACTTGTAAGTACCAAAATTTACCTTAATTTTCGAGTTTTTTTATTTTTCGGAATTTTCCCTTTACTTGTGCTGTAAGATCTTGCTTTTAACCAAAATTGACAATTCTAGGTCAACCGGAAGTACCCTATAGGTTTTGGATCCAAAACCTATAGGGTTCCTGTTGACCTAGAATCAAGAAATTTAGCAAAAAACAAGATCTACAGCACAAATAAAGGAAAAAATCCAAAAAATAAAAAAAGTTGAAAATTAAAGTTACCAGATCGGTGGGCGAGTCCGACACGCACTTGACCGGAATTTTTGTTCATAACGATCATTATGATAGATAGGCAAAATTATAGTATATATACAATTACTAAAGTATGGTAACTCATTACCAAGAACCTTAATATTTATGTTTTTGGTTTTATTCAAAGCAACCAAATCCGTCCAGCCGTTTCAACGTGAAGGAGTAACAAACTTTCACACATACGCACAGTACCAATATAGATTATATCATGTGTACAGATAACAAATACCTGTTTACCTATAGCCAGCAAAGTAATAGTGTGCCAGCAACCAGCTAACGTCCACCATAAAATTTATTTGCAATGAACACTTTAGCTCCCCAAGACTTTGATCTAGCAGTTCTGAAATTTTATTATTTAAATATTATTTTATGACATTAATTAACGTTGAGTATAGATTTCTCAGAGATATTTCCCGCAGTAAAAAATATCCTATATGTTGACCCGGATAACCAGCTATCATGATGCCGAATTTCATTAAAATCTGTCCAGTGGTTTTCTCGTGATGCGTTCCCAGACAGAAAAATTTCAAAATACTATAGATTTGGCCTCTGTATCGATAATAATGACTATTTTAATAAGATTTTCAAAAAAAATTAAAATACGAATTCAACACAGAATTTTATTATATGTATAGATTAGGGAAACAAACAGTACAATCCATACTAATATTATAAATGCGATAATAACTCGGTCTGTTAGCTTTCCACGCTTAATTCTCTAAGCCGATATAGATGAAATTTGTATTGAGATAGTTTGAGACCCTGGGAAGGACATAGGATACTTTTTATCCCGGAAATTATCCTTAATTGTGTGAAAGGGAGCGAAGCGAGGGTAAGTCGTTAGTATTACATAAATAACAATAAAACTACATACATATATAAAGAGGTCTAAAACTTAAGTCTTCCGTGACCATGATTGATGTAAAGCATTCGAAACGTCGGGAACCAAAAATCAAAATAAATCCGCGAAATAATCCGAAAAGATATTATTATTAATATATTTTTTTAATCACGCATTGACTTTAAAATAAAAAAAAATAAAAACGCAAAATACCTAGAAAAGTGATAGAGAAAGGCTGCGTGTGTGTCGGTTTAGAATCATTTATAGTGGTATAAAATATATGGTATGGGGCACTTTGTTCATGTTTTAATGCCATTCTGCCCCGAGGTAATACGACTTTTAGGAACTCTTCTGGACGTTTCGTTGGGGGCACAATTGGTCGGTAATCTGAATCTGGAAAAAAAATGAAATTAAATTGATCAAATGAAGCCGCTAAAGTGCGGGCGGTCTGAGCATGTCTCTGAAAACTTGCTAGGTTCTCTCAGACATGCAGGTTTCCTTCATCGTAAGAAAGGTGGTGGTCATGTTGGAAATGATTAGCACATGAGAATATCAGAGGTGCGAGACCCGGGATTTGAACCCGCTTCACTCGGTTTCCCAAGCAAACGCCTTACTCAATACGCTGAGCTACCACTGCCTGATAAGTGTATTTATAATTAAAAATAGATATTATTCTTAACAGTACAATATAGTACAGTACATAAATGTGAGTTTGTATGTATGTGTTTGTTACTACATCTATACTAATATTATAAAAAAAAATTTGTTTGTTTGTTTGTTTTTACCGAATAAGGTCCAAAACTACTGAACCAATTTCGACGAAATTTGGTAAGAATATAATTTGAGACCTTGGAAAGGACATAGGATAGTTTTTATCCCGGAAATCATCCCTTAAGGGGGTGCAAATGGGGACTTTATACTGAAACGACTGGACAGATTTCTATAACTTTATTTGACAGATAGAACTGTGCTCTACAGTAGCATGTAGGTTAGTATTCAAATTTATCAAAAGGAGGCACTACCTGTTTATATTATTATAAATTAAAAAAAGACACCTAGATCATTCAACCGAGTTGTGAAGCAAGAATAAGTCGCTAAATTGACTAACGACTTACCCACGCTTCGCTCGGGTGCGTCCCTAGGTACGCGAATTTTGTTCGCAATTTCATAAATTTTAATTATTTGCGCGGAACCCTAATCCTTTCTCTTAAATTAAAGTAGCCTTTATAACATCATCTATCTGTCAGTGAAACTCTCATCAAAATCGGTCCAGCTATTTCAGAGATTAACCAGAACAAACACAGACAAAACATTTTAAAATTGTTTTATTATAAAGAACTTATATAATTTCATATGCATTTAGTAAAAAGCTACTATTTCGATATTACAAGAAGCCAATTTAATTTTTGTATAGATTATACATACCTCTTATTCTAACTTCTAAGCCTGGCGTAGGTGATTTGCTTTTTTGCCTTTTATAACTTGTTTCATTTTTATTAGTATTTTTACTCTGTGACATTTCATTTGTTTTTAAACTCTCTTTACTCTGTGTGACAGAAGATTGATTTTCAACATGTGAAACACGACTGGTCCCTTGACTCTGATTGGTTATTGTATTATTTGTTTTCGATTCTGAATTTCTTATTTGTATATTTTTACTTGATTCTTGATTATTTTGAGATGTATTGGCAACACTGAAAATTATTCATATTATATGATTTGAAGTCTCAAGAGAAAAATATATTTTCAAATGCTTACATAAATATAAAAGTATATTGTAAAATATCATCGATCAAAACGGTACTAGATACATATTACCATGCAAAAGTTCTCTTAAAACTGTCACCAATTGTGTTTAGGTAATTATTGTACTTGAAATAAATATACAACAATGTAAATTGAACCTTAAATGCAATGCTTAAAGTTGTTTTCACAAAAAAAAAAAACGCACTAAAATATTCTAATGAGTGTTTATTCAGTGAGGACATTTTTTGTCGCTGATTGTGTATCTAGTACTTGTTTGATCGATGTAAAATATACATTACTTAATAAGAAAGTATTAAACACAAACCTGCTATCATTTGTACATTTTCCTTTAGGTACATAAAACTTTTTCTCTACAATAACATTTAATTGATCAACAATCATATTTTTCTGCAAACTGTACTTCTCTGGAATATTATAATCTCCTGTACCACTGTAAGTGTCCAATATAGCTTCTACTGTTAGCAAAAAAATACATATTAATAATAAAAAGATATTTTTTTTAATTGTGTCGCTTTAACAAATGAAATAAGATTAATAATAATATCAACAATAATTTTAAGTATAAATTTATAATTTTGGATTTTTTGTGGATTCATTTTGATTTTTCATTCCCGAAATTTCAAATGCTTTACAGCACACATTCACAGGAGAGACTAAGGGTTTAGATGTCTCAAAGGTCTTGATATAATTGTTACAGACACACACTGTCCATGTCCAAAAAGGTAATTTTATTTAAAAGCACAAATATTACATAGATCTAAGACAGTGTAATGAGAATGCCACTGATCAAATTTTATGATAAATATTGTAATGTCATAATGAATTGTCATAATTAATAAAATGTTAAAATTAACTATTTGACTTATATATGGTACCATTACAGCATTATTGAACTTACAATGTGGATGGCTGAATTCCCTAAAATGAGCAGGATTTAGTCTATAGCATGATTCTCCATAGTTGCATTCTTTTTTTACTCTCTTCAACAATTGGTCACCTGAAAGTAAATAGAATGTTATATTAATTGAGGAAAACAAAAAGGAAAATAGCTACTAACAATATTTTTTTACTAATTTAATATACAATTTTAAAGTGTGTAATTATGTTATGGTATAATTATTATAATTATTGTGCTTTATAAGATTAAATTAATTTTGTATATATTACATGTTAATATAAACTCGTTGTTGTCTATTAAAATCTAAAGACATTAGTAAAAATATTACTAAAATAGTTTTAATCATCTTGAAAAGAAAGTTTAGTAAAGTTAAAAAAACTATGAATTATAGATGAAAACAAACAAACTTACTGTCCATATTATTCATTCGTTTATTGGAAGGGTTCATAATTATTTAAGATTAAAATATTAACTTTAAACATGTACTCAAATATGTAATATTGTTTTTTTATAATAAAAACAATTTCTTAACAGCTGCTACCTTCATTTTATTTTGACAATTATGATGACAAGACAATTGACAACCATGTATGACAAATAAAAATGACAACTTAAATTTGTTAAATAAATAATGCCAGAGTTGCCAAGTGCCAACTTTCACAAGACCACCCACCCCCCCCCCCCCCAACGTGCCTTCACCTTGTCGTGGTGGGGGGGCTCAGTAGTACGCGGCAATTCAGCCGGGCGCGAAGTCAAAAAACGCACAGGGAGGTGGCCCAGTTCGGTGGGCAGTGGGAGGTGGTCCTTTTCGATGGGCGGTGTACCATGTGGGTTGCTCCTGGTACTTCTCTAATAGCAGAGTGGACCTTGGAGCAACCCCATGGTTGTGGTGGTCTGATTCGGCAGACCTGCCGTCGGGGCGTCGTAGTTGAATGCGTAAGCGATCCTGCGACGCCTCATTAAGACGGGGGAAGGTTTTGTTGGGTTTTAGTGGGTAGTACTGGCTTTTCTGGTGAATCCCACATCTCGTGCATAAATGTATTTCCCAACGTTAAAAAAAAGGGCTGCCAACTTTATCTTTTAGGAGATAATAATAGACACTATAAAAAATATCGTACTTTGTTAAAAAATCTAGAAAAAAATGTTACGCATTGAAATTTCAATTAAAAATACGTAATACTTTAACATGTAGGATTAAAAACAAAGTTCAACTGGCTCTTATAGTCGTTTTGTAACATAATAACTAAAAATGAAAAACTAATAAAAAAGATCATAAGGTCCTTAAAGTCCCTTTGTAGCTTTATGCAACATTATTAAGCACCTGGATAAAACCTATTCTCTTTCATGTTTTATATAAAGTGTAACAAGAAAATATGCACATCCTAAAGAACTAGCAACATTAAGTTTATGTATTGACATTTGACAGCTGACACAATTTTAAAGTTGTACACACGAGCAAACTAAACCGTCACTAATCTGTTAACTCTTTGTTATTGTTTATTTTTTAGTTTGTGGATATACACAAACATTTTGCGAGTTGCTGATCTTTTGAATTGGAAATTCAATAGTTAGAAATTGTGTAAAACATTGAAAATGGACGATCCTTTTGTTACTTGTCCTTACAATAGCTCACATCGCGTGCCTCGATCTCGAATTCAATCTCATTTGGTTCGGTGTAAGGAAAAAAATCCCAATTTTGTTATTTGCCCTTATAACGCTACGCATAGGTTACCAGAAAGTGAAATTAAAGGTCATGTAGTGAACTGTCCGTCGAAAGACGCGATTTTCCCAAATGAAACAACTGTTCAAATTAAGCCGGACGAAGTTAAACTGAAGCGGCCGCCAATGGACGAAGAAGATATGTGGGATGATTAAATGCTAAACATTTCAAATCTTTCTTATGATGGAGTAAAAAGTAAATTTTCTTTGGGGTTGTGTTCACAATTTTATTTTATTCTTTGTACAATTAATTATTTATAAACTACAAATTTTAAATTCTAATATATCTCACTCAGTAAAGGGCTTAATTTTAATAAATCAGACAGATTTTTATCAAATAAATTGTCATGGCAACTAAATATAAAAGTGAAACATACAATTTTATTCATAAAACTCATTCTTTTATTTGTTTATGACTTGAATTTTCAATAATTAGGTATCTCATGTTTTATATTAAAGTTTAACATTATTTGACCAAATTTTTTGTGTATTAGTTATTACTATTAAACCTCTTTTTTCAGATTTACTTCAACATATTATACAACTGGAATTCAAGCTATACAATAGACTATAGCACCGATAACTAACTTGGAAACAAATTTTAAGGCAATTAAGGCATTAAACTTAATCTATACTTAAATACGATTTCTTCGCCTCTTCTCGAAACTTTTGCATTTATAATATTAAATGGGTGAAACTTGTTTGTATGGTTGTTTGTTGAGAAAGAGTATTTCGTTAGTTTTTTTTTAAAATTTAATCTGATTAAAGTAATTATTGTTGTTTTATTATCTTGATTTTATTCATTCTATATCTCAACAAAGAAGGAGATTTTCAATTTTGCTAAAAGGAGGTTTCCTTTCTTTTTAATTTAGCTGTTTGTTTTCACGATCATAAATTAAAAATAATTAAAATATAATGATTCTATGTTTTTTTTAATGTGTAAAGTCAATTTTGATTTGCGTTTCTTGGGTTTTAAAACTTAAAGACAATAATCCCTAAGGCTAGCTAATTTCACGTTAATTTCAGTAAGCAAATATGTAAGCTATATTTTTATTACAAGTTTTTTTTTATTTTGTTAATATGTAGGTAGTATTTGAACTTAAAGGTTCATATTAGCTAATAAGTATATGTTTCTATTTTTTTTTAAATTCATCTTGCAACACAATCCTTCATTTAGGATCTTTTAGTAAAAAAAATTTTTTAAATACAGAAACTACAGTATTTAATACTTTTGTTTTTGTGCCAAATTCACTTATTTCTAAATCTAAGTGTTTTATATTTAATAGTTTAATGTGATTTTTAATAAATATTGAAATAAATATATTTGTGCGTTATTTTCTTTATTTTATGGTCGCGACTTACATGAATTAAATAAACAACCCTGACGGCATTACAACGAACTGAAATATTTAAATACAGTCGAGTTACAGAAACAAGCCTGAATATACCATACCAAAGCGAACTGAAAACAAGGGAAAAAGTTAATAATGGAAAATAGTATTGTGCAGTCGGTGACATGTTTACACTTGCTGCGAATCTTTCATCTTGTTATGTGTGTACCCAGCTTTTTAGTTTAGGCCAGTTGTACACTTGGAGTTTTATTTAAGTAAAAAGCTCTTATTTCGATATTACAAACAGACACTTGCAATTTTATTTATTTGTGTAGATATATATATTTTCAAATCATATTTATGGAATAGAAAATATATAAGTTAACCCATTATTATCTCTAAACTATTTTGAAGATATAAATAAAAGACCAATAACTTTTTTATACTTTTATTACATCAATAATACATCAATTTTTTAAATTTTTAATATGATAATATTATTATATGAATAGATTCTATATAAATATCTCTGAAAGTGTTATATCTGGTTCAAAGGTAAAAGTGAGTAAGTTTTAAATTATATTATTTTGGGAATGTATTATTTTATTTTTAGTATTCATATTATTTTTTAATACTAAAATACTAGAATTTTTAACTAAAAAGGTACAGATAAAAACACTAAGAATACCCTATAATATATATCTTTATACTTACTAGCGACTCACCCTCGCTTCGCTTGGGTTCGTCCCTAGCTTGATTCCCCATACAAACTTTCATCCCCATTTTCACCCCCTTATGGGATGATTTTCGGAATAAAAAATCCTATTTCCTTCTCAGGATCTCAAACTATCTCCTTACCAAATTTCGTTTAAATCGGTTCAGTAGATCCAGAGATTACCCCCTACAACGTCACAAACTCACAAACTTTACCTCTTTATAATATTAGTATAGATTAATTAAAAAATTACAAAAAACACTTTCAAACAACCTCCTCAATTGAGCACCTCTTTTTTCTTTTAAAGCCATAAAATTCTTGTTTAAATATATAATTTTATTTCGTGTATTTCGAAAACTGCTCTAACGATTTGGATCAAATTTTGTATTTAAATAAGGTTTTGCTTTTAAAATTTATCTAAGTACTAGCTTGCTTCCCAATACAAACGTTCATCCCCATTTTCTACCCCTTAAGGAATGATTTCCGGTATTAAAGTATCCTATGTCCTTCCCAGAGTTTCAAACTATCATCTTACCAAATTTCATCTAAATCGGTTCAGTAGATCCAGAGATTACCCCCTACAACGTCACAAACTCACAAACTTTATCTCTTTATAATATTAGTATATAGTTGTCTTTTCTGATAAAACGCAATTTTTATATCCGAAAAACGCCAAGCGAAGCTCGTTCGCTTAATTACTATATTCATAATTGACAAAGTAATCGAGCGACTTAAAAAAGCCGAATTGAGAACCTCGTCTGTTTTCAAGTCGGTTAAAAATTAGAAAACGTTTATAATATTTTTTTTACTTTTTTTTTCTATGCCAAAATTTTTGTCAAAGATCAAAGTAATCTCATGACTCACAAAAAAATGCCGAATTGAGAACCTCTTCTGCTTTCACGTCGGTTAAAAATTAGAAAACGTTTATAATTTTTTTTTTACTTTTTTTTGTACGCCAAAATTTTTGTCAAAGACACTTAGTCACTTTTACCTTCCCACATATAATATTTTATAAGAAAGTAATATATTTCAAAAATTTTCTACTTATTATAATATATTTAATTATCATAGACATAGATTTGGATGTTTTGAAACTCCTAAGGAGTTAGGGTATATATGGGGGAGCGGGGGGGGGGGGGGATTTAAAAACATTAATTTTTATTTATAATTATAAAACATATTTTTATCCGACTGCGAAGAAGGCAAAGTTCAGAAGAAGTATTACAAAATATATCTGATGGCCATTTCTTTTTAACTCTAAAACTAGTAAATAAATGAACTGATATTATTAATGATACCTAGTATAATAAAGAAAACCAAAATGGCGGATTCTGGACGCCATTTGGTGTAACTTGAATTTGTTTTTAGTCGCGCAGTCGGTGTTTTTTTTTTCATTTTAATATATGCTTGATAAATAGACACTTAAAATTTTCACATTTTGGATATTTCAAACTCCTAACGAGTTAGTGGACGATGGGGGACTAACATTAATTTCATAAATATATATTTTAATAGACACGTAGATACCCCTATCAGGTAGAGAAAATAGTAATTTGGCACAATTATGCGTGCGGGAGTCGAACCCGCGACCGTGTTTTTTTCCGTAGGCCGTTAACTAACCGGTCTATAGGCAAACACTCATATCTAGGAAAAAAATATGCCAAAATGGCGGCAAGTGTATCAACACTATTACTTTATATCAATATTTTACCTAATAATGCTAAAAAAAGAGGTTGTATCCACATTTTTTTTAAGTAAATATCGAGATATTCAGTATCTTAGTGTATATGTGGAATTATGTGCTAGAGTTTTTCAAATTTTTTTTTTAATATAGTTATCATTGTAATGAACCTTCTACTACAAGCTGCTGTTTTCTTAGATATTTTATAATACCGATGAAAACGGCTATTATCATTTTTCAATCAATTTTATTTATTTTAGTTTTATATGCAATGGAGGTCGCAGGTTCGAGTCCTGACTGAAGCTTATAATTTTTTTATATTTTTCCTTTTTTTCGTATTTTTATTTTATTTTGAATTTTTTTGACACAGATAATAAATAACATGGATAGAACAACTATTGTTAAGTAATTTAATTAATGTTCTCAGTTGAATTAAATGCTAAGTATATAGTAACTTCTGGACCGCGCCAAAAAAAATTAAGACCATACATACACCAGTGTTTCCAACAAGAAAAATCTTCAACAAATAAAGATTTAATTAAATAAGAAAATTAAAAAATAAAACACATAATTTGAGCGAGTTATTTTTAAATAATAAAAATAAATTAATTTAAAAAAAAAAATGAATAAAAATATTTGAGCGATTATTAATATTTCATAGATATACGTGTTTGCTCAGGGACCGTCCAAGTATATATTTATTCGCTCTGACTTGCTGGAGTAGCAGCTCGAAGTGACTTCTCTAAGGTCTTCAAAGATGGCGTGATTTTACTGCCCAGATCCTCCACCACGCTTGACAAATATACTGTAAAAATATATTTATAAGTTTGAAAAAAAATGATTAAAAGTATATAAGAATAGTTGTCTTTGTGAATAAAAAAAAATTAGTAGTCTTTTTTTGAAAAAAAAATTGATTTTTTGAAGGAAACAAAAAATTGTCTATCAAAAAGAAGGAAGATATCTATAGTATACTAGCGGACCCGACAGACGTTGTCCTGTCTACACGTCTTTAATGTGAAAATTTCAAACTTTTTTTATAATTTTTTTGGTGAAAATTATTATTCAAATTGTGAATCTAAACCATTCCCAGATCCCCTTGAACACACACAAAAAATTTCATCAAAATCGGTCCAGTCGTTTCAGAGAAGTTCAGTGACATACACACTCACAGAAGAATTATATATATATAAAGATAATCTATAAAAAAACAATGTGCTCAAAAACACTACTAAGCAAAAACCTTTTCGTACACACGATAAAAAAAAATATATAAAAAATCACATGTGAAAAAGACATGTTTATTTCTAGTATAGTAATAGACTAATTTAATTAAGTCTGTTGATAAAATTAAAAATAAAAATATTTTAATTCAATTAATCCAATTAATTGTTAAAGAAATCGTAATCAAACTACTCTTATACATAAAAAAAAAACTTGTATGTGTGTATGTTCGTTAGTCAAATTATGAAAATTAAAAAAAAACGGCTGGACGGATTTGGAAGAACCTTAATATACAGATAGACGACTATGACCACAGTTATTTATTAGTAAATAATAAAAACATATCCAAGAGTAACGTTAAATATCTGGTAACTCAAAAAAAAATGTAAAATATAAGAACCTATTAAAAATTGAACCCCTTACCAATGTCAGTGAGGCATCTCTTAGTCCCCAGAGCGTCCATATTGCGAATGTTCAATATCTTTTCCGCATACATATCGCATGTGTGCACGCACAGCTATAATATAAAAACCACAATAAACCTTTCGGTATATTTAATTTATTAAATAAAAAAAGAGAAAATTTAAAATATTAAAAAAAAAAAAACAAAAAAAAACTTTAAATATATATTTTTTGTCAGTTAACACAAGATACTAAAAAAATATACAACCGAATGCAAAACCTCATCAATTTTCAATCAAATCAATTGTCAAAAAACAGTTGAAATGAAACCATTTTACTCAATTAATTTGAAATATAAATATTCTATTATTTTTTTCGTTATTTTGTTAATATCTTTGTATGCTACACATATATTAAGTGCAATCCCGTTATATTGGTAATATGATTACCTCGGTAAGAAACTGCCATGGCGATTGCTTCTCGGACACGTGCATTTCCAAATGCTGTGGCAGCGTCATCAGATACTGACCGATCTGTAAATTAACACAAAATAAATGATCTATTCCACTTGTATTCAGCCCCTTTTAACGTCCCACTGCTGGGCATGGGCTTCCTTCAATATGAGGGGGATCAGGCCATAGTCCACCACGCTGGCCAAGTGCGGATAGACTGAGCATGTTTGTCAAGAACTTAGATCTACTCAGATATACACGACGATGATGTTTTCCTTCACCAAGTGGTATACATATTAAGAGAATAATTCGCCCTTAAAATTGAGAATGACTTTCATATAAATATGAAATGTTCAAGAGCCGGGATTTGAACCCACTTCACTTGACTTCCAAGCACTTGACTTACAAGCGCGTGGCCACTGAGCTGCCACTATGAACACAAGTTAATAAACAATAAAAAACTTACCTCAGTAATGTATTCCTGTGGGGAAAGAGCAAAGTCCGGGAGATCGGTGGATAGAGCATCGTTGTTATGCCACACCGAGAGCTGCGGGATTTTATCTGTGTAGAAAAAAAATTAATACTTTCTTAGATTTACGTCGAATATTACAATAAATAAAACTATTTAAATAAGCACGATTGCTGTAAAGTATTAGAAACGTCGGGAACCAAAAATCAAAATAAAGCCGCGAAATTATCCAACAACATAGTAATTTCTTTTTAATTCTTATGGAGCATATGAGTGTGATTCATATTGAAATTCAAAATATTTTATACAGCATTAAGTTATTACAATTTTTTTATTGAACGTCATGAGTCTACTACCAGTAAGAATGTATATTATATTTTTTAGTTTAGATTTTATTTTCATAAATATTTAAGAAAAGATTTTTACTATCCATTCTTTATTCCCTCCACGACCGCGGACACGCCGGCGTTATAGTTAACAATAGATTTCTTAGAAATTTAATTAATTTCTTAGAAATTTTCCTGGAGGTGTTATATTTAATACTAAATACGCGCAAGTTCCGTCAAAATCAGCCCAGCAGTTTCGGAGATTAGACGGAACAAACAGCCAGACAGCCAAAATTATTATTATTCAAATCAGTACTTATAAAAAAATCTAAATCCCGTTACACCTACAAATCTTGAACCCGTTATTTCGGTAATATATTCGAAAATCCCTAAAACCCTACTCACCCAGCTGCACATCAATAGGGCTCCTCAGTATGGACCGAGCGAGTCCCTTCAGAGTGTCCCTAGCACGACGCAGCCCTGAAACACTGGGGGGCAAAGCCCTAGTCACATTCCTTAGATCCTCGTCAAGCAGTAACGAGGGCAGATCTTCCAGAGGACCGCCTGATGAGACTTCTGTGGATAAATTTTAGTAATCTTTAACTTTCTTAAGGTTGATCATTTCATTTAAAAATAAACTAATTACATTTTTTTTAATTACGACATTTATATGATTTTAATTCTTAAAGAAAGTAAACAATTAATAAAATCAACTAAAAATTTCTAATTTTTATAGTGACGTAAACCCACTACGAATGATATTGTTAAAATTTATATCCTAAAGGTATAAAATAAGAAACTTGCTAATTTATGTACTTCGACACAATTAATATATTATTATTATTACTAGCGGCGCACGCTCGCTTCGCTCGGGTTCGTCCCTAGGTACGTTTTAACGGTCAGTATGGAATAGATAGGCTAAATATTATATTACTGCTCCGCTCACTTGTGTAGTAGCATGATGATACATAGCCTATATAGCCTTTCTCAATAAACGGGCTATCCTAATGCAAAAATAATTTTTAAATCGCATTAGTAGTTCCTGAGATTAGCGCGTTCAAACAAACACACAAACACCGCCCCTTTATAATATTAAGTATAAATTGAAAATAACAAATTAAAAGCACTAAATTAAGCCATGGTCTTAGCTACGTATAATCAACAGACAGCAACAATCTCACATATGCATTAGATACTTAAAATTTTAATACTTTTTTAGATATACGCGAATATTTAACATTTTAAATAAAAACCATCTTTTCGTATTTTTCGCGAATATATTTTATTTTTGGTTCCCGACGTTTCGAGTGCTTTACATCAATCATGGTCACGGGAACCAAAAATCAAAATGAATCCGCGAAAAAATCCGAAAAGACTTAATTCTACTTAAAATCCTCATTAAATTCTTAAACGTGTGACACGGAAGAACCAAAAAAATAACCACTAACCCACGTCACTCTCCTCAACCATTTGTCTCTTGGCAAAAGTATCCAACAGTACTCCTGTGGCGTTCTCAAGCACCAGGGATGCTGGGAACGTCTCACTGAGAACACCTGTTACTTCACCAGCCTTCACCGATGATAAGAAGCTACTCTCGATCTTGCGAGTGTGAGTGGTGATCAGGTTTAGAAGGACCGTTGTGAACGACTGATTGTTTAAAAAGTAGAAGAAACACATCAATGATATGTATGTATATACAACTATCGACTCACCCTCGCTTCGCTCGGGTTCGTCCCTATACGTTTTAATGTTTTAGAGCGGAATCCTAATTGTTTTTCTAAAATAAAAGTAGCCAAGTTACTCCTTAAAACATCAGCTATCTACCAGTGTAAGTCATGTCAAAATCAGTCCACCCGTTTCGGAGATTAGCCGGAACAAACAGACAGACAGACAAAAATTGTAAGAAATGTTGTTTCGGTAGTAAAAAGCTGTTATTTTGACATTACAAAGAGACACTTCAATTTTATTTATCCGTATAGATAGATTAAATTAAAAATTCAAAAAATCTCAACGCAATAATCTATTCATTGATGCCATCGATCAAAAAAGTACTAGATACACAATCACATACAAAAGTTCTCTTAAAACTGTCACCGATTGTGTTTAGGTAATCGTTCTAGTTGAAATAAATATACGACAATGTAAATTGAACCTTAAATGCAATGTTTAAAGTTGTTTTCACAAAAAAAAAATTAAAAGCGCGCCAAAATATTCTAATCAGCGTTCATTCAGTGAGGACATGTTTTGTCGCTGATTGTGTATCTAGTACTTTTTTGATCGATAATTAAGGCCATTTCAATGAATCTAAACACGATATTTCTGCAGTATTTTAGTAGATTTGAGTATTCTGCAGATTCCAGGTGATGATGCAGCATCAGGCCTAGGTTTTATATATATATATATATATATATATATATATATATATATATATATATATATATATATATATATATATATATATACATATAACCTAGAAACCTATAAGAAAGTAGGTGAGATTTTTTTCTTAAAAAATTAAATGGAAGCACCCTTGGTCTATTAAATACAGTTTACATTTCTTGAAGATATCACAAAATATACACCCACATTAGAAATCTAATTCTTTTTAAAGTTCGGTCAAAAATTAAATATATTTTTTTTAATTCCATAAAAAAATACTACAAAAGAGGGTACTTTCAATGTTTCCAATTCCCAATTTTACGGCAAAATTCTCAATATTTTGGACAATTTTAAAATACAAATATTAGCCAAATCCGTCCAACCTTTCTCAAGTACGCGTACCACCAAACAACATTTCATTCCTATTTATACAGATTGCTTAGTATTTAAACATTTGTAACAATCAGAAATCGAATACAGAACCAACATAGAAGAACACAAACCTCAACAGCCGTGGCGTAGTACGGATATATCGCAGAGCCAGCGATTTTGGTTCCTTGGTTATAGGCGGTTTCCAACCAAGTCTCGCATTTCTCGGCTACGACCAGAATGGCCCTGGAACCTTCTAGAAGGTCCTCCTATGTATGGAGACAATTAAATGTACACACAATTCATAGAAAATTCTATTAATTCTTAAGCATAGAAGATATTGAAGAGGTATGGAGAAAAATTATTCAAAACGTCTTTGACGACACGTTTGGCTCAGTTTGTAGTGGTCCTACTTGCTGTGCCAACGGTCGCGGGTTCGAGTCCCGCTGGAGGCATTCATTTGTATGATGAGCACGAATGCTTGTATTCCAGTCATGGGTGTTTATATTTATAATGTGTTTATTGCGTATGTATTTAGAGTTATATATGTGTAGTGTATCAACTATCTGGTATCCATAACACAATCCTCGTAGCTTACCATGGAACTAGATCGTGTTGTGTGTTAAAGTCCCAACATATTTATTACTAGCGACTCACCCTCGCGTCGCTCGGGTTTGTCCCTAGCTTGATTCCCAATGCAAACTTAGATCCCCATTTTCACCAACTTAAGGGATGATTTCCGGAATAAAAACAATCCTATGTCTCAGGGTCTCAAATTATCATCTTGCCAAATTTCATCTAAATCGGTTCAGTAGATCCAGCGACTACCCTACAAAATCACAAACTCACAAGCTCTCGATAATATAAGCACAGGTGCAAAAAATAACTAAAATCAACCACAAAACTACACAACCCACCTGTTTTAAAGAAGGATCTTCCAAGTGAGCGAGGAGCACTTGCGCTTGCGCATCGGCATATTTCGGTAGCAGTTCTTTCAATGGCGCGAACGCAGCGCAACCGAATTCACGCATCACCGTGAATGTTAACTCCTCTGTATAGATTTTAGATAATTAACATAGCTGTTGTTATTTACGACGCCACAAGAAATAATAGCTTTTTATTTTAAACTAACGACTCAGCCGCGCTTCGCTCGGGTTCGTCCCTAGGTACGTTTTAATTTTATTGGGCGGAACCCTGATTCTTTTTCTAAAATAAAAATTAGCCTATGTCACTTCCTATAATATCAGCTATCTTCTAGTGAAAGTCCCGTCAAAATTAGTCCAGTCGTTTCAGAGATTATCCGGAACAAACAGACAGACAGACGAAAATTAAAAAAATGTGTTTTCTTATATACGAGTGTAAACGCATCTAGTAAAACCCTGTTATTTTGACATTACAAACAGACACGTCAATTTTATTCATATGTATAGTTAGTATATTCAAATTAAAACTATTTTAAAGGGTATTTTTTGCAGTTATACTTCTTTTGGGACGTTTGGAAAAAATTATGAGAGTAAAATTTTTACGATGCGCGCGCACATCGACAGCCAAAAAGCGACATGATAAAGTTAGCTGCATTCCTTTTACAAACAGAGAGTTGTGACATACGGGATAAAATCTTTAGCCATTTTTGTTCTGTTACGCCAAAGAAATATTACTTCTTAGGTGCGTACATAAGTACACACACACGCTTTTTTTTATTTGTATAATAATTTTTTATCTATATTTTATATACATATATTATAGGATTACAATCTTTAATCTTACCCCTATCAAGCCCAGTAGAATCGATAATGGAATCGATGGTGTTGATGAAATCATCGATTTCGGTTCTGAGATCACACAGCATGGTGATACTCTGCTCAGGGCCCTGACAGAGCTTGAATTTTGCTGTCACTACCTGTTAGCATATTAAAATTTGCATTGTTTTTTTTTTGAGCGGATCCCTAATTCTTTTTATAAAATAAAAGTAGCCTATGTTACTCCCTATAACATCAGCTATCTGCCAAAGTCCCGTAAAAATCAGTCCAGCCGTGCCGGAGATTAGCCGGAACAAACAGACAGACAGACATAAGCTTTAAAAACTGTGTTTTTTTTCTATGTACCGTATATAATTTCATACGAAATTAGTAAAAAGCTGATACTCTAATATTACAAACAGACACTTTAATTTTATTTATCTGTTTAGATAAATATAATGACTTCAAACAACTTTGAAGCCATTAACAAGAAAATTGAATTGAATTTGGACCAAAAATATTTATTTGAAGACATTCAGAAATTATGTTATACCAACGTACGTTTTAACGGTTAGTATGAAATACAAGTCTTTGAATTTCTCGGTTATTCTGTACTATAATATGCATGTATTATACATATAAACCTTCCTCTTGAATCACTCTATCTATTAAAAAAACCGCATCAAAATCCGTTGCGTAGTTTTAAAGATCTAAGCATACATAGGGACAGACAGACAGCGGGAAGCGACTTTCTTTCATACTATGTGTATGTGATATACCGTATGCAGAAGAAGCATACAAAATTCATTCAATTCATCAAAATTTCGGATACATTCGGTTGAATTTTAAATAAAAAAAAAATATTTAAATATATTACTAGTTAAAATAATTATAATTAATTATAACTTTTTTAAACTGGTTGATTTAATTTTCGAAATTAAAAAATGAGTTTAAATTAAATGTTATTTAAATTATATTGTAACGTAGTTACGGACAGTTGTTTTGTTGTAACATAATATAACGTCCGACATATTTAAACCAGATTGTCAAATAATTCATATTATCTTCCTACAGATGTTTTGATTGATATATTTAACATATTATGGCTATAAAGATAAACATAAAACGGTACAAAAAAACTGAAAAAATATGCAACTTTCCCTCATTTCGGTGACATCAAACAAAAACTGTTGTTTTTTCAACAAAAAAAATCATTTTTTTTTTTACTAAATTAAACTTTTTTTTAATTTTTTTTATTTAGGTACTTCTTAGCAACAGAGCTAAATGCCAATCCCATCGTTCCCTTGATAAATTAAACTTAGTGTGTAGTATTAATTTTTTCTTTTTCATATAAACTACTGATTATACCTACTAATACATACCTTGATAGGCGACGGGTTGAGTGATAGAAGCAAATCTGTGTACAGGCGCACTAATTCTGCGAGGGGTGTTTCTGACTTCAGTACATTTTTGAGCCAGTCCACCTATTAAATTATAATATTATACTACTAATAGTCTATGCCCGCGGCTTTATCTGTGTAGCACCTTTAACTATAACCAGCCAGAGTTTCATATAAAACTAGCGACTAGGTATATTTTAATTTTTTTGAGCAGAACCCTAATTCTTTTACTGAAATAAAAGTAGCCAAGTTACTCCTTATAACATCAACCACCTGCCAGTGAAAGTCCCGTCAAAATCAGTCCAGCCGTTCCAGTGATTATCCGAAAGAAACAGACAGACAGAGCAAAAATTTAAAAATTGTGTTTTTCTTATAAATACCGTATTCAATTCCATAATATGCATTTAGTAAAAAGCTGTTTTGATTTTGACATTACAAACAGACACTTCAATTTTATTTATCTGTATAGATGTATAGATATAAAACTATCTCCATAGGTTTATATATTGGGTTTAGTTAGTAAATGATCTTGCCCTCTTATGTAATTATGATATAGTCACCTCGTTACTAGAGATATGAGTCAAATAATATTACCTTAGAAGGATCGTGACGCGTTAAATTTCAATCCCGTTAAATCGGTAATCATTTATATCGGTAATCAAAGCATCCATCTGGGTACTTTTCATTCAAATTCATCCAGTTTCCAACCATACACAAACATACACACACTATTATATTATTATTGACCCTCCATATCTTTTGGGTAATATTGATTTTAGATGTCCAAACCTTCCATACAATTAAAAAAGATCTAAACCAAAACAAAATTTACAATAATCTTACAAACTTTTCTTACATTGATCTTGTAGTGATAATAATACACACTTTAACCATAGATATAATGAACTGTTCTTTAAAAATTTCAAGATATTATACTTTAAATTGTGTTTATATGATACTAGCGTTTACGTCCCGATACAAACTTTCATCCCCATTTTCACCCCTTTAAGGGATGATTTGCGGGATAAAAAGTATCCTATGTCCTTCTCAGGGTTACAAACTATCTTCTTACCCAAATTTCATCTAAATCGGTCCAGCAGTTCCAGAGATTGTCCTCTACAACGTCACACACTCACAAACCCACAAACTTCACCTCTTTATAATATTAGTATAGATTATATATGCATAATATATATGTGTCAACTTTTTATCGCCTAAAGTTTTCTACTCTAATTATATGTTTCATAATGGTGAAAACTTAATTGGTAAATGTGTGTATATTTTTATTTTAAAATAAAAAAAAAATTACGTGTTTCACAGCATCCTTAGACATGACCCGGGTGAGAACCCGCACGGAGTGCGCCGGCGCGCGCGCCCAGCGCTTGCACACCTTGCCGGCGGCGGCGCGCCGCCAGCACCGCGACGCGGACAGCGTCCGGTGCATGCCCGAGTACAGCGACACGTACGTACCGGTCCGTTCTATTTCCATTCAAATTAAACTTAATTACACTTTTTTATTTTATCTTTAAAATGACGACGAGGTATTTATCAGTAAAGAGAATAATATCCCATAGTTTTTTTTTTCAAATAAGAAAGTAAGTCATTAATATATAGTAAAAATATTAAAGGACTAAGAATAGATACTTGTGGAACACCCATCCGAAAATGAGATCTAAAGGTTTCATATATTTTTATCGAACTTTTTATATTCTTTGACTAGCATCCCGCCCGCGTCCAGATGACCAAAAACCAAATTATTAAATTTTACATATTAGTATAATCTTACATTGCAGTTTTTGTATTTTTTCTCAGAAATGAGATATCTCGCCGCGGTAAAAAGTATCCTATATTTTGACCCGGATAACCAACTATTACCATACCAAATTTCATCAAAATCCATCTGGTAATTTTTCTCTGATGCGGTAACAGACAGACAGACAGACAGACAAAATTCCAAAAACTATAGATTCGGCATCTGTATCTATATAATAATGTCTATTTAAATAAGATTTTCCAAATAATATTTAATGTACAGATTCGGCTTAGTTACAATTTTATTATATATGTATAGATATCAAATATTCGCGTTAATCTGAGAAACAACAATAACATACCGCGATCCATTTGGGTTAAAGCGTCCACGAATGAACCGCTAATGGCAGCTTCCAGCCTGTTGTAAATATTCTCCAGCTGCCTTTTCTTTCTATTGTATTCGGGACAATCATTCATAGTCTAGAAAGAGATGGAAAATCTAAAAAACTAGTTGTTTTCCTCCGGCTCCGCTCGTATATATATATATACGTCGACGAAAAATCTACGTATTTATGTAGGACCAGCCAATCATCGTCACTCCACTCGGGTTTGTCCCTAGTTACGTTTTAATGTTTAGTATAGATTTCTCAGAGATGAGATATTTCCTATATGTTGACTCGGATAACCAGCTATCATCATACCGAATTTCATCAAAATATGTCCAGTGGTTTTTTCATGATGCGGTCACATACAGACAGATACAAAAATCAAAAAACTATAGATTTGGCCTATGTATTGATAATAAAGACTATTTCAATACAATTTAAAAAAAAAACCATATTGAGATTTGACTCAATTACAATTTTATTATATGTCTATACATATATAGACTTCTCTCCCAATATTTCATTTTTTTTTATTAGTTACACTTGTTCCCATCAAATTTCATAATTCCAGGTCAACGGGAAGTATCCTATATCAGTTATGTGTATTGATTTAATCGTATTCAGCCCTTTTAGACGTCCCACTGCTGGGGGTGGGCATCCCTTCAATACGAGGGGGATCAGGTCACAGTCCACCACGCTGGCCAAGCGCGAATCGGCTGAATTCACGTTCTCCTTACACGTAAGGAACCCTAAAAAAAATCAAAGACTACTACCTACCTCTAAACTATCACTCATAGATCGAACTTGTTCAGCGACTTCTTTCAATTTCTCCGTTTGCATGGGAACCCCCTCATCCAAAATCTCTTCTAGTGAGGTGGCTAAAGCCCCCCATTTTTCCGTTTCTTGGAGAGCTGATGCTGCATACTGTAGACAAAAATACAAAAATACAGAATATATATATCTTTATATATATAATTCTTCTGTGAGTGTGTATGTCACTGAACTTCTCTCAAACGACTGGACCGATTTTGATGAAATTTTTTGTGTGTGTTCAAGGGGATCTGGGAATGGTTTAGATTCACAATTTGAATAATAATTTTCATCAAAAAAATTATTAAAAAAAGTTTGAAATTTTCAAATTAAAGACGTTTAGACAGGACAACGTCTGTCGGGTCCGCTAGTATATATATATTATTCAGCATTTAGTACCAGTCTAGCCGTAACGTCATATTAATTATTTACCAAACAAAACAATATTAAATGTGAAAGAACAATGGAATCTTATAAAAAGAAATTAAAAATACATATTGGCAATAAATATATTAAATAAACCATCAAAAACCTAATCTTTCTATATTTAATATTAAATTATATGTTACCCACAGATCATATAATACTATACTTGTTACTAAATTATTATTAAAGTTAAAACTAATTTGAATTGAATTAACAACATATTATATGACAGTAAAATTTTATACTTAAAGCCACATCCAGTATTCTTATTCCGAGTTCTAAACCATAAAATAGTTTGTATTACCCGCAAAATATATTTTATCTATACATATAATAAAATTGTAACCAAGCCGAATCTGTACATTAAATATTTTTTGGAAAATCTTATTGAAATAGACATTATTATCGATACAGAGTCCGAATCTATAGTTTTTAGAATTTTTGTCTGTCTGTCTGTCTGTTATCACATCACGAGAAAACCACTGAACAGATTTTGATAAAATTTGGTATGATGATAGCTGGTTATTCGAATCAACATATAGGATACTTTTTACCGCGAGGAAATATATCATTTCTAAGAAAAAATACAAAAACTGCAATGTAAGAGTATACTAATATATAAAACCTAAGCATTTGGTTTTCGGTCATCTGAACGCGGGCGGAGCCGCGGGCATTGCTAGTTTTTTATATAAATATTAGCTGCCCGTTTACAATGTTACCTAAGTAAAAATAATGTTTATCAGTAAGTGTATTGTATTATTTTGAGAAATAAATAAATCTTAAACCTCATTTAAAAAAAAAAACCCTACTTCATATAAAGTCAACTAAATAGAAGAGAACAAGTTGATGAAGAAACATAGTATTATCCAAACAGAGATATACACACACGCAACTAGTCTAAAACATGTACAAATGGATACACAGGCCTATAATTAGATTTTAGGTCTAATTATCGCATTCGCCATATTTAATAATATACACTCCCAAAGCCACAGACAAAAAATATTCATAATAAATAATTTTCAGCAAATTATTATCATCACATTTAATTATTAAATTTTCGCTTTTTGCACACATTAAAAAAAATTGCAGTCAAAAATTATAAAAATACGATTTAAGCCAGTTTTGCACCGAACAATAAAATTAAAATAAATAATGTATGTATTCAGCCCTTTTAACGTCCCACTGCTGGGCGTGGGCCTCCCTTCAATACGAGGGGAATCAGGCCATAGTCCACCACGCTGGCCAAGTGCGGGTTGGCGGACTTCATGTCTTTCGAAAACTTGCAAAGTTCTCTCAGACATGCAGGTTTCCTCACGATGTTTTCCTTCACCGTAAGACAATACATAAAAATATCAGATGTGCGAGACCCGGGATTTGAACCCGCTTCACTCGATTTCCCAAGCGATCGCGTTACCACTGGGCTACCACTGCCTTAATATTGCCTTAATAATGTATTAATTTAAAAAAAAAACGACTTAGGTCAGCTTTGCACTGAAAAATAAAATAAATTAAAAAAAAACAAACCTCCAATTGACTCTTCAGTTTATCAATCCGTTGAAGACTCTTGATGCTTGTTCCGGTCTCCTTCTCCACACCTATGACGTGCATCTCGAGGGTCAACAGCTTTTCTTGGAGAAATTCACATTCTCGTTTCAAAGCTTCCGAGTTTTTGGCAGCATGAGGGGTGGATGAGGCAATCTGTATTGAAAGTAATATTTATTATTATCTATCTATACTGATTTATAAAGCAGAAAAGAAGTAAAGGTTTGAATGTTTTTTTACATTTCTTTTAACTCTGGGCTGTTACTGAGTATTTCTTGATAGAAAATCCCAATAACTGTACTTGGACCAACCCGTGACTCGAACCCAGGACATTACCTTGTCCAGTACATGTTATCTACTAGAGTAACAGCATCCCCTCCTCCCATGTGCCTTCCCCCACACACTTGCTCTGTCTAAAAAGCGTTGTGCCAATAAAAAGAAGATAATGCTACCTGAGATGATGTCTCATCCAGAGAATTGTTGAGTTGCTTCATATATAACTGCAGCCTTGCCACCGAGTTGTGTACAAATTCCTATGAACAAACAAAAGTACAATTTTCTTACTAATAATATAAATGTGAAAGTTTAGATGGATGTTTGGATGTTACACAATCTTGCCAGAAAGGCGAAAGTATCTGGATGAAATTTGCCACAGTGATATATTATATATATTTTATCCAAGAACAATGTATGGTCCCATGTGGGATACATTTATTTTTATTTTTTTTATGTATAAAAATATTACTTGACTATCACAAAACAGAAAGGAATAAAAAATTCAAATTTAGAAATTAATAGATATTTTATTGAAATAGATTTTTAAATTGTCAAATTTTGACATTTAGTTAAATGTCAGTACAATGAGGACCCGAAGAAGCTACCACCAGTTCATGAAAATGAGGTGAGGAACAGTTGATCCCTCAAAAGTAATATTTGTTTTCGAAACCGTCATACATTTTTTTTTCTGTGTGAGTATGATCTAGAATTAGTTCCAATATCTCCAAAGTATTTACCTCCTTATTTTGATTTCCACTCCCACCCCAGGCTCTATTGATCCATTCTATGGGGTTGAACACCAGTCCAGCGAATGATCTTAAATCCTGCAGTTACAAATTTAGATAAATAATCATTATTTTCTTAATATATTATCATATCCTACTGCGGTCAATAAAATAATTCAAAATTATAAATATATAAATGTGAGACATTGGGAAACGGTCAAAAACTTACAAAAAAACCTCCAGGTACTAAAATGTAAAAAATAACTAAACTGAGGTTTTCATTTTGAATAGATACCTATTACCTAATCAGATATTTTCAAAGTCGGTTCCAGCCGATGCAAAGCAAATTTAATATATTTCGATACATAAAATACATATTTACCTATTAGATATTCATATCTTAAAATATTGTAGGCTGGCACCAATTTCGAAAATATCTGATTAGGTATCTATTCGAAATGAAAACCTCTGTTTAGTTATTCTTTACATTTTGGTGCCTGGAAGTTGGTTTGTATTTTTTTTTTCATTTTTAGTGTAGACGTAATATGCAGGTAATTTGTAAGAAGAAAGTTTTTTTAATAACATATTCGATTCAGCCATTTATTTAAAAAATATATTTATTGTTGATTTTTTTTAAAACCGCTTGACCAATTTTGATAAAATTTATATGGGACCTGGGAAGTATACCCTTTGAAACAGAAAAAAATCCAAATCGATTCAGGCGTTTTCGAGTAATTGGTGAACATACATAAAAAAAAAGATTCTGACAAATTGAGAACCTCCTCCTTTTTGGAAGTCGGTTAATAAATGAAGCACTGGTGCCTTCAAATAAGAGAACTAATTGTAAAAATTTACTCAATATTCCTAGAAAAAAGAAATATAAAAAAAGTAATGAAAAATACAAATTAAGATTCACTACAGAATGGTGATGACGAGAGACACAAAAAAAATATTAGCATATCATCTCATTCAGGATGGGTGAAATGCCAATTTTTTTGTCTCTCTGTTTCTAGTATTTTAATCACTTTCATGACATCTTAATCCAAATATAGCTCCATAAGCTATAGCAATGACTAGGGGTTGTGATCTAAAATACATGGATATGCCAAAAAACAACAAAAGCTAATGAATAATGAATAATATTAATAAATATATATATATATATATATATATATATATATATATATATATATATATATATATATATATATATATATATATATATATATATATATATATATATATATATATTGTTTATAAAAAGGATATAAAAAATCTACAAAGTTCCAGAAGGACATGTCTGTATGCTTGATTGAAACTACGCAGTTCGAGGGTAGATTCGTACTGGCGATATTTTGTATTGATCATACATTTGCCCGGGTCATCTGCGCGCGTTTGATTCCCACCTATTTTATTGATATTTGAGGGGGCGGTGGGAGGAAAAACTAGGTTTTCTCTGTCTATCCTAGGAAACAGGGCACAGCTATCCCTAGATGCATCGCGCTATCGTATATATATGTATGGATGCAATAAAATCAATAACATCGGTTGATCGTCCTGGATTTCATTTTTATAGTATTACGCGTGGAAAGTACCAAATATGTAATTTAGCTGTAATATAAGCAACGGTGTACCGTGTATATAATAATTTTTGGAATTGTTCAATGTAATATAATTAATTGTAACATAAACAAGATTTTAACTTTTCAACGAGAATAAGTAAATTATGTTTATGCTAAGATTATTTTCACTTACCATTGTCGAAAGAACTTCTCAGCAACAAATAGCAGATGTTTTTGTTATTACTTATTAGTAAATAAACACTCCACTGTTGACGTACGTCGACGGATGCTGCCAACGTATTGCTGTACGGCAGACGTCCGACATTGATCACTGTGACCAGTGACACTGATCTGTCAAGTGTCAATAATACCTACTATTGATGTTAAATATTAAACCATTATAGAAAAAAAATGTTAAATTTAAACAAATCGATTAAAATTCAGATTTTAAAACGATAATAAATACATGTATTAAAAAAGTTATGTTATGTGAAACATCTTTTTCTTTTGTGTTGAAAAATGCATTTGCGCATATGTAGACATACAGGTGGTTATATGTGGGACTCACCGGCTAGAAAAGCCAGTACTACCCACTAAAACCCAACAAAAACTACCCCGTCGTAATGGGACGTCGCAGGATCGTTTACGCACTCAACTACGACGCCCCGACGGCAGGTCTGCCGAAGCAGACCACAACAACCATGGGGTTGCTCCACAGTCCACTCTGCTATCAGAGAAGTACCAGGAGCTTACCGAATGGTGCACCGCCCACCGAAGTGGGCCACCTCCCTGTGCGTTTCTTGGCTTCGCGCTTGGCTGAACTACCGGATGCTAATTTCATTTGAATTTAAATTTCAAATGTTTTAGTTTTTAAGATCATTATCGAGCTAAAACTTAAGAATCTGCGTCATTAAATCAATGAAAAAACTATAACAGTTCTTGTCTATGACTGCTACCAACATGGCCATACGTCATCGTATATAAATTCATCGGTCTTATTTCGTAGTAAGACAAATTAACTGTAAAAATAATTCTATTTAATTTATTTGTGTATTTAGTGTAACTATTACTATTAAATTAAATTAATTTTTAATGTTGCTATTATTTATTATAATATGAGGTAAGCAAAAGTTCAAACTTGATCTTTGTAATTGGTCGATTTCAAATTATTGTAATATGAATAATAATACGACGTATTATTGTCATATTAGTTATAGCATTAATTAGGAAGTGTTCGTTTATTATATATTTATATAATTTTAAGTAATTACTATTATTTTCAACATTTCTTTAGGCCCATAATGCATTATTGTAATTTTAAAATTGTATTCGAAAATAAAATGAAAAATAATCGTCGTGGCATAGTGAGGCATATTTAACTGGATCTGTTTACGGATTACGGGTTCGAATCCCGCACGTAACAGAGATGTATGCTTAAGTAAGACTATTAGATTTTTTATCCAATTATTTTATGCCCATAAAAATTTAAATATTGCCCTAATTAAATCTCATAAAAGAACATAATTTAACTGGTATATATTTATTTTAAAATCTATATCAAATTGTGCATATTCACTATTTGCAAATTTTGCTTTTAACATTTTCAGCACATGCATGAATAAAACTCAAGATGATGACAATTCATATAAAGCATTAAGAAGACGCGTAGAAGTGCCATGTGAATTTTGTGATAGAATATTTAAAAATAGGTAAATGTCTACTGTCTTATTTGAATTTTAAGAATTTAAATAAAATTTTCGTCTAAAATGTCCGGAGATTGTTGTTGTTGATTTTTTTTTATTTTTATATAATAGTTGTAAAAAAAAACAAAATAGGTTGTATATTTAAAAATAAAATATGAGTTATTCATGAAAAATATATTAAGTATCATTCAATTTCCTATTTTGGAACAACAGTTTAGCACAAGTTAAGATTATTTGTCTTTTTTATTTTCTATTTATTTACATAGGTATGCTTGCCTGACTCTTTTATGAAGTTAGACCCAAATAATAATGAAAACAATATTTATTTACTTTATTTGAAGATTTAAATAAAACTATCATTTCGGATTTACGGTTCCCATCATTTTGAATACAACAGCAATCATGGTCATTGAAGAGACAGTATCAAATATTTGCATAAATCCATAGATCAAAAAAGTACTAGATACACAATCAGCGACAAAAATTGTCCTTACCAAATGAGCAACATTTGAGTGTTTTAATTTTTTTTTTGTGAAAACAACTTTAAGTGTTGCGTTTAAGGTCTAATTTACATTTCAACTTGAATAATTAATTACCTTAACACAATTGGTGACAGTTTTAAGCGAACTTTTGCATGGAATTGTGTTTCTAATACTTTATACGATTTGTTTTTAAAGTTAAATTGTTTAATAATTCATACTTATTTTCCGTTTCAGGTTCGACAGTGTAGTGCACAATTCATCACATATAATAATACCTCTAATTAAACAAAGTCTTTTCATCTGTGATATATGCAATTCCTTTTTTAAATCTCAAGACGATCTCAATGTGCATCACTTAAACAAGCATCCGGACATATTTATAAAGCATGAGGAAATAAGTTACGATGCATACCCTAAAATAAAAGAACCAACAGAATTAAGTGATTCAAAAGAAATAAATAATGTTATAACAGAACCTATAAAGAATAGGTTGAAGTTTGAGGACGATGATGTGACTTTTAAGGGGATTTTAAAAGATTTAGTAACAGAATGTAAAGTGAATGTGCAAATTTGTGATCAATGGGATAATGTTACCAAATGCTATGAGGCTTCCGATGCTAAATTTAGTGAGGGTTTCGTTAAACCAATAGTGCATGTGAAAATTGAGGAGGAAAAAAGCTTGGTAGACAAATTGGTGTTAGATGAGCCGTTGACAGATGAATATTTGTACGATAACTTTGTAGGCAATGCAAATAATCAAAAATTTGAAAGTATCCACTATTCTTTGTTGGTTAAACCGGGAATTTTTAATTGTAGATATTGCTATACTTCTTTTCCAGACAGGTAAAATATTTTACTAAATGATAAAAGTAAAAAAATTTTTGTACAAATATTTAAAAATTCAACATTAAAAAAAAAAGTTGGCCGTCACAAGACACCTGGCAGATGTGAAACATCTATGTTCTGTTAGAATTCATCTATACTAATATTTTAAAGAGGTATAGTGAGTTTGTGACGTTGTAGTGGGTAAATCTCTGGGTCTACTGAACTGATTTAGATGAAATTTGGTAAGATGATAGTTTGAGACCCTGGGAAGGTACTTTTTATCCCGGAAATCATCCCTTAAGAGGGTGAAAATGGAGATGAAAGTTTATATTGGGAAGCAAGCTAGGGACGATTCGCTAGTAATTAATATAAACCTATAACGAAATATGGAGTAAAATAAAGAAAATATAGTTTTGTTAATAACATTAATTAATTTCTCATTATTTTTATTTTAATAATAATTACAGAATATATACATTTATTTATAAATAGAATAAATAATATGTAAGTATTTGTAATAGTAGTTTGTAATTAATTTTAATTGAGAGCGGTGCCTTAGAAGCGTCATGCCGTTTGCCGTCACGGCATATGTGTTGGTTTTAGTGCCATTAGATGTTTCACATCGAAAAAAAAAATGTTCAACCTTAAAAAAAACATTTTTTTTGTTATAATGCTTAGAAATAGAATGTTTAATGCCTATTAAATAAATAATTTTTCCTTTCTTTTCAAGGTTTTCATTAATCCAACATGAAGTCGTCCATATGAAAATAGGCAAATATATTGCTGGAAACCATTATAATTTAAATAAACATATACAAAAACACCACTGCAATATAAAGAAAATTGCCATTGAAACAAAGAAGTGTGAGAAATGCAGATTAAAATATAGAAAATGTCACCGGCACACCAGGGATTACAATTCAGAAGTTGTAACGCCTAGCGTAAAACTGTTGAAAGTATGTGATTTGTGCATATCTTTCTTCAGATGTACGATTAGAAAAAAATATTATGTGAAAGGGACGACAAAAGATGAATTGGGAGTTAGATATCCCTGTGAAGTCTGCGGCATACTTCATTTTAAATTAAAAATTGTTGAGCGCATCACGAATTATCAATATGGTTTCAAGTCAAAGAAAAAGAAAACGAATGAAGACAGGTTGAAACTCATACAGCATAGATTGAAGAAATTAAATTTGCTGAATAAATATTGATTTTGTTGTTGTTTTTTTTTTTAAAGATGCCTCGCTTAACCTAAGTCAGGGTTCAAAACGATAAATATCATTGATTATTATTGCTGATGATGTTCTCCTGACCTACTCCGGCCACGGCGGCCAATCTCATTGAGACTAGCCAACTGCGCAGGAGATATTATAGTGCTCAAGTGTACGCGCAGACACAACGTGCACTCTCTATTCCTGTCACTCTCATACTCCGGCGGGACGACACGAGACACGACCAGTGAAAGTGTCGGCGCAGGACCGACGGCTTTACGTGCTCTCCGAGGCACGGGGGTGAAACACCGCCAACTTCCCAACTCGGGGCTGTTACCGAGACTTACTATAGAGAAATACTCAATAACTAAACTTGGCCCGACCCGGGACTCGAACCCAGGACCTCCGAGTGTGCAGCTGTACATGCTAGCCACTACACCACCGAGGCAGTTCTTTGATAATTATCATGATAAATATCAGTTGATAATTATCTTTGATAACTATAATCGAAAATATTTAATTTGCAACTCTTCAAATTGTCGATCAGCTAACTGAACTCTCTCAATCAGCTCAAAAAAAAACTTGAGTAAATGCAGTTGAGGAAGACGAGGATGATATTCCTCTCATTAATGTAATAAATGGTGCCAAGTACTTGGTCAAATTTATGTTGTTTTTAATTCCAACTTTGTGTCAAAATTATGAAAAAAATATATATGACGACACGTTGGCTCAGTTTGTAGTGATCCTACTTGCTGTGTCAGCGGTCGCGGGTTCGAGTCCCGCTGGGGGCATTCATTTGTGTAGCACGAATGTTTGTACTCCAGTCATGGGTGTTTATATTTATAATATGTATGTATTTAAAGTTATTTATGTGTAGTGTATCAACTATCTGGTATCCATAACACAAGCCTCGTAGCTTACCATGGAACTAGATGGTGCTGTGTGAAATGTCCCAACATATTTATTTATTAAGACTAGCTTGATTGTTAAAAGAGTATAATTTATTCTAACAAGGATTGCTAAGCTTATATCTGTTTGATAATTATCAAAATATATAAAATTTATCTTGATAATTTCATTCCCTGACCTATAAGTCCACTTGGTAAATTCTTATTTGTTGTTTTTTTTTGGATTTGGTATCTAATGGTGTTTGCACCATAACATTTCAACTTTTTTTATATATTTTAATTTTTTTTTTATACGAATCGCTTTCTTTTTTATTTTATTTTAACGTTCTTATGTTACTACACAATATATTTCAAAACTACGGTGCTTCTATCCTGCGCTATAAATAAAAAAATTAAATTTTACTGAAAATGTCTCATTTTGCACGAAAATCTCAGGTTGTCATTCAAAGTTTGGCGTCTCACAAATAGTTTGGTTTTTCTTTTTTTTTAATAATAATAATAATTTATTGAAGAATAAAAACAAATAAATAGTAAATAATATTACATACTAAAACAAACATACATATTTATACTAATATTATAAAGAGGTAAAGTTTGTGAGTTTGTGACGCTGTAGGTAGTAATCTCTGGACCTACTGAACCGATTTAGATGAAATTTGGTAATAAGATAGTTTGAGGCCTTGGGAAGGACATAGGATACTTTTTATCCCGGAAATCATCCCTTAAGGGGGGTGAAAATGGGGATGAAAGTTTGTATGGGGAATCAAGCTAGGGACGAACCCGAGAGAAGCGAGGGTGAGTCGTTAGTATTATTATACAGAACAATCCTAGGTTTTTTTTGCTCAGTTTAACTTAGACTGTGTCGACACAAAAGATATGGTAGATCGTTTCGTTCGGGTACACCTCTAGGAAAACAAAAACAAACCTATCCCACGGGAACTACATTTTTCGTTGGGGGGATATAGAGTGTAACTTGGAGTAAGACATAGGTAACAACACCTTTGAGTGTGAAATGAGAGTGGTATATGAAATACTAGCGGCTCACCCTCGCTTCGCTCGGGTTCGTCGCTAGGTACGTTTTAAATAGATATAAATAGTTATTAGCCAGTGTTATTAGCCATATAAATATTTTTTTTTCGTTAATTTTTCTGACGTTTTAATACTTAGGTATTAACCTATTCCGGAATGAGAGAAATCCAAAAATTCAAATATAAAAATTGGTCCAGCCGTTCTTGAGTCATGTATACGGGAACGCAGTCGAACGGGCTAAAAAGTATCCTATGTCCGTCTCCTGGGTCTAAGCTACCTCCCCACCAAGTTTCAGCCAAATCGGTTCAGCCGTTCTTGAATTATAAATATTGTAACTAACACGACTTCTATACTTATTATAAAAATAAGTCCCCCGGCCGCGTCTTTCTGTCCTCCTGTCTGTCCTCCTGTCTGTCTGTACGCGATAAACTCGAAAACTACTGAACGGATTTTTATACGGTTTTCAACAATAGAAAGAGTAATTCTTGAGGAAGGTTTAGGTATATAATTTATTATGCTTTTATGTAAATTAGCTGAAATACGGCGACAAATGTTGAAGAGGTCGCAAAAAATCTCGCCAAATGGGAACTTTCCACGCGAACGCCGCGTAAACTAGCAAAGATACAGTTAAGTAATGTACTAGAGAATTCAAAATCTATAAAAATGCTACAAAAAAGTCCGCGATAGCATATCTCTATCTCTTACGGTTGACTTACAATAACCACTTTTATGTTAACATTTTTAATTAAAAACATTACGTTATTTTCAAAGTTATTTTCTTTAGTTCGGTATTAATCCTTATCCAAATGAATATTTTAGTTAGCTTAGTCATTTAATGCAGATTAAAATTGCTCTTTACACTAAATCAATCAGATGAATAGTTTTTGAGATATCGTTGTTAGAAGTAATTAGTAGCGAAACATTTTTAATGCTTGGCGAGCATTGAGATGCCTACGGCGAGTCCATCCCCTCTGCCCCGCATCGCTCGACCGCCTGCTCAAGCTATATAAACCGGGCGATGTAGCGCGCGATCCTAGGATACTTTTTACCGCGGGAAAATATCTTATTTCTGAGGAAAAATACAAAAACTGCAATGTAAGAGTATACTAATATGTAACACCTAAGAATTTAGTTTTTGGTCATCTGAACGCGGGCGGAGCCGCGGGCAATGCTAGTATATTATATAATAAGTTATATACGTATTTATCCAATATATAAGACACTGCTTGCAATAGATCCTGTAGTAATTATGTACCTACTATACAATCTATACATCTATAGGTACAGATAAATAAAATTGAAGTGTTTGTAATGTCAAAATAATAGCGTTTTACCAAATGCATATGAAACTTATAAGAAAAACATATTTTTTTATTATTTTAGTCTGTTTGTTCCGGATAATCTCTGAAACGACTGGACTGATTTTGACGGGACTTTCACTGAAAGATAGCTGATGTTATAGGGAGTAACATAGGCTATTTATTTTATTTTATTTTAGAAAAAGAATTAGGGTTCCGCTCAATAAACGTACCTAGGGACGAAACTGAGTGAAGCGAGGTTGAGTCGCTAGTTCTTTTATATATATAGATTTACTTCTTTAAGAAACATCTCCATTCTAAGTTTTACTTTATTTTTATGTACATAATATAGGTCAATATACGTACAACTTTACGCACTACAATTAACGTGACATGCAGTCTACGAACCGAGTTATAATTAAATTAGACTTTTGGCGCTTCGCACCTTTTATTAATAGATATTACGTCAAAAATCATATGTCTTTGTTCTGATTGTATGAGATTTTTTATCTACGTCTTTATTTTTGTATTTGTTTTCTTGGTATCTATAATAATGCAAATGTCTAATTATAGTGATAAAAGTTTCAATAATAATAATTATTATTTCCATGCGTGCGTGCGTGCGTGCGTGCGTGCGTGCGTGCGTGCTTGCATGTGTGTTGATGCGTGTGCGTGTTTGTGTGTTGGTGCGCGTGCGTGTGTGAGTATATGTATGTTTGCAAAGTAGTTGGTAACTCGTATTAAATACAACTGGTTGATAAGTATAATCTCGTGTATTCTGAAGACTATATCAAAGCCTTTTTTTTTTTTTTTAACGTTGGGAAATGCATTTACGCACGAGGTGTGGGACTCACCGGCGTAATACAGCCAGTACTACCCACTAAAACCCAACAAAACCTTCCCCCGTCTTAATGGGGCGTCGCAGGATCGCTTACGCATTCAACTACGACGCCCCGACGGCAGGTCTGCCGAAGCAGACCACCACAACCATGGGGTTGCTCCACAGTCCACTCTGCTATCAGAGAAGTACCAGAAGCAACCCGCATGGTACACCGCCCCCCCGAAGAGGGCCACCTCCCACCGCCCACCGAAGTGGGCACCCTCCCTGTGCGTTTCTTAGCTTCGCGCCCGGTTGGATTGCCGGGCACTACTGAGCCCCCCCACCACGACAAGGTGAACGCACGTTGGGGGGGGAAACTATATCAAAGCCTGTGACGAGTCGATGAAGTGAGGTTAGGTTGGCTTATCTCTGTCTTCTTGAGATATAGAAGCTATGTATTATGAAGAGTAGTTCAGAAGATATGCTGGATCAGATGGACATACATATAAAGCTTTGACAAAACCTTAGCAGTCGGGTTATGTTTGAATTTCATACGAAATCCCGTTCGCAATGATATAATTTTCATCCAGTCACTAACTGTTGGCGTGTTGCCTGTCGGTGGAGGTCGTAGGTTCGATAACCACTCGTGATTGATAATATATCGCAGCCCCTGTAATTATCTTAATGTCGATTAATTAGAGGGTATATATTAAATCCGCTTTAATTAATCGATCTAAAGCAAGGATATGCCAGATAATTTATATGTATATAAAATGTAGGTAGTAGAAATTAATTTATTTATACCAATTAATAACATCTTTTGTAAAAACGAGGGTTCCGTAGCATGAAACCTATGCCCGCGGCCCCGCCCGCGTTCAGATGACCACATACCAAATTCTTAGGTTTTACATATTAGTATACTCTTACATTGCAGTTTTTGTA